GCCCCTTGGATTAGCTCAGTCTTCAGAAAGTATGGTCGGTTACTCACAAATGCAATCCGCGAGCTTCATTTTGATACCCTCAAGAGACCACTTGAAAGCAATCTATATAATGTTGACGTCACCCCCCTTCTCGGTTTTTTTCCTTCACACTACGCGCTCGATATGTTTTGAGCGTTCGTTCGGTCGCGCTGACCGCCCGTTTGAATTCTCCTCGATTCGCCGCCTCTTTTTGCGTCGTCCCCCCTCCTTACCACACAACCAGCACCTCAACTCACTCATATCACACACACACACACACGCACACACGCAAGACCTTGGAACTTTTTCGAAATTATTCTTCTTTCCTTGATTTTTGATTTGATTTTGAATTTTTCATCTTTTATTTGGTCCGTTTGGGTGGTTTTTCGGCTAACTGAGGAACTACTCGGACTCGGGTACGCGTTTCGAGTTGAAACTTTGGTGGCTCATAGACCAGGGTAAGAGTACTTGGAAATGAGAGAGATTATCTGCTAAACCCCATGAGCTTCTGAGAAAAAGATTTTTGAAGATGAACCGCTTAGGCTTGAAAATTATCAAATTCTTGCTTTCCTCCTTCTTTTGGCTGGAAAAAAGTTTTTTAGAGTTTTTCATAGCCGGATCATTCAAGACGATTGTATTAAAATATAAAATAAGGTATTTTGAAAATTTTCAGGCCTAATTTTCGCATTTTCTTCTAATATTTTCTCAGTTCTCTATCGGGTTTAGCAGATATTCTCTCTTGTTTTCAAGTATTCTGACTTAGGTCTAAAAACCACTGTTTCAACAAGTTTCAACTCGAAATCCGTACCCGAGTCCGAGTAGTTCCCTAGTAAGAAATACTCAGAATTGTTGTTCTTTTCTCGATTTTTGATTTAGTTTGTAATTTTTCATTTTTTGTTTGACCCGTTTTGATGGCATTTTGACTTGGAACTTCTCAAATTGTGGTTCTATTTTCTGAAATTCAGAAGTCCTTTTTGGTAGTACTTTTTTGTCCTTTTTCGGTGGTTTTTTGGCTTGGAACTGCTTAAAATGGTTGTTCTTTTTCGATTTTTGATTGATTTTAGAAGTTTCTTGATTTTATCAGCCCTTTTTTCTCGATTTTTCATTTGCTTCAGAAGTTCTATAAGCTCTTTTGCCCCTTTTTGGTGGTTTTTGGTCCGTTTTGATGGTATTTTTGCTTAGAAGTACTCAAAATTGTGGTTCTTTTCCCGATTTTTAAGATAATTTATATAAGATTTCGTCTTTTATTTGCCCTGTTTTGGTAGTTTTTTGCTTGGAATTGCTCAAAATGGCTGTTCTTTCCCGATTTTTGATTTGATTCAGAAGTTTTAAAAGCTCTTTTGTCCCTTTTTGGTAGTATTTTTTGGATCCGTTTTGACGGATTTTCGGTTTCAAACTACTCACAATGATTGTTCTTTCTCAATTTTCGATTTTTTGGGAATATTTTTTGCCCCGTTTTAGGGGTATTTTGGCTTGGAACTGCTGAAAAATGCTGTTCTTTCTCGATTTTTGAAAAAATTTGAAGTTTTCCAGGTTCTATATGCTCTCTTGTCCTATTTTGGTAGTATTTTTGGTCCGTTTTGATAGTATTTTGTCTTGAAACTGCTTGAAATTGGGGTTCTTTCCTCGATTTTTGATTCGATTCATAAGTTCTATACGCTCTTTTTCCCTTTTTGGTAGTCTTTTTGCTCCTTTTTGGTGTTATTTTGGCTCGAAACTACTCAAAATGGTTGTTTTTTATTCGATTTTCAAGTATACTTCAAAAGTTTCGCCCTTTTTTAGTGGTAATTTAGCTTAAAACCGACTTTTGAACACTCTTTCTGAGAATATCGATCAGTTCTTGCCTGGAACTACTCGAGAAATTTGCTTTTTTTTGATTTTCAGAATTTTTCGGTTTTTATCTGTCCCTTGAACAGTTCTGGTAGCTTTTTTTGTCCCTTTTTGGTGGGATTTTGGCCTGGAACAGATTTTCAAAAATTTCTCCTGATCTTTTTGCTTGATAGGAATCTTTCTTGTTTTTTTAAACTTTATAATGCGGGTATTTATCTTTTTTAGCGTTTTTTTTAATCTTACTACATTTTTTTGATAAAATTTAAGATCAAAAAAAATTTTCAGCTCAACTTTCGAACTAGGATCATTTTTTGCTGTTCTAATTACTCTGAAAATTTGAAAAAAAAGGTTCCCGAACTCCTTTACAAATCAAATGGAACGTAGGGAAAGGGGGCTCATTTTCGTCGTGTTTGCTATGAATTGGATGAATGATAACACGTCGCTCTGTGATAATTTGTGTGTCTGAGTGTCTCGATTCGATTTTTGTTACCTGTAGATGGAGCTGATCGGTTCAATTTATGGATTTACCTTGATTTTTTTGAATTTTTGTTCGAAAAAAAGTGTAAAATAATGCGATTTTTTTGATGGGGAAAAAAAGTGGAAATTTTGAAGATTTTTTTCATTGCTGTTGATCTGTACAGAATAATTCATGGATTCATTTTTGATTTTATGAACTTTCTTGAAAAAAAAAAATGGGAAAAAAATACTATTTTTTTGGCGATTTTTGGATCCTTTCTTCAGGTAAAAAAATTTTTTTTTTTTTATTTTTTTGGGTAATTTTTTTGGTTTTTCTTCTGTTTATCATCTAATCAGGTGAATTTATGGATTTATTTCTGATTTTGGGATAAAAAAATGTGAAAAAATCGATTTTTTTCTACTCTATTTTTTTGAACAGAAAATTGGAAAAATTCACATTTTTTTCTATTTTTCGGTTTTTTTCTGATTTTTTTCGTTTCTCACGGTGACTTTTTTTCCCAACGGTTTTTCTCACACCCTGATAATTTCTGGCTTCTCTCCGTTCCCATTCCCACACAATTTGATTGATTATTTTCTCCAGGACGGGTTTTTTTCGAAAAAGCCTGCAAAAAAATTGAATTTTTTTCTCGACGTAAATTAGATTTTTAAAGTTTCCAGTTCAATTATTTTTGCTCTAAATGTAGTTTGGTGTGGGGAAGTTTCCATAATCCTCGAAATTTTAGTCTCAAAAATGCAGTTTACTGTTAAAAAAATCATTAGAAACCCGTTTTCAATCAATTTTTTTAGTACAGTTTCGCTACTCAGGCGTCATTGTTTTTTTTTCATTTTTCTTCATTTTTCTCATTTTTAGTTTGGAATAAAGACGAAAAAAAGGTGTTTGAATGTAAAAATCACTTAGGAATGCCCCTAGAGGGACCACTCTCTAATATTTCTTCAGTTTGAGTCGATTTAGCTAATTTTCATCGGTTTTTATGTGTTTTTATGAGTTGAATAGAGGATTTTATCAACCTTAAGTGTCCACTTGGAGTTTTGAATCTATTGAATGCAAAAAAGTCGTTTTTTCGGCTGTTTTTTCAGAATAAAATCGAAAAACTCTCTTAAAAATTTCCCTAAAGTGACCACTTACATCTTTTCTTGCCTTTGTAATGAAATTTCCGTACAGAAATCTGGAAATTCTCTCAGAAATACCCCTAAAGTGACCACTTTGTCGCATTTTGAATACAAAAAAAATGAAATCCCTAAAGTGACCACTTACAGCTCTCCTTGCATTTTGAATGAAATTTCCACTTAGGTATCGAAAAACTCTCTCAGAAATACCCCTAAAGTGACCACTTCCATATTTTCTTGCATTTTTCGCAACAAAAACAACTAATTATTCAAAAAACCCCTAAAGTGACCACTTCCTACCGTACAAAAAACAAAAAGTTCTTTAAAAACCCCTAAAGTGACCACTTTTCTCTCCTCCTCCTCGGTTTGCAGTTTGAATCGACCAAAATGAATTCCCAGCCGACATCGTCCGTTTTTTTTTTTGGCTATTCTTCCGTCTTGGTTTCCCTGTGTTTTCCGTTTCTCTGCTTCTCTGCCGCCCTCCCTCTCTCTCTCGCTTCCTCTCGCTTCTCAGGCCTCTCTAGCGTTATTCGCCGTCTCTTCATCATCTTTTTCGCGTTCTTTTTTTCCTCCTTCATTTTTGGTCGTTCCCTGCGTTATTGGCTTTCCTGTGTGAGAGAGTGTGTGTGTGTATTTTTCCTATACCCATTTGATGAGCGTTTTCATCTTGCAAATTAGTTTTCTTGCGCGGATTTTTCGATTTTTTCACGGGAAAATTCGCGTTTTTTTCAGTGAATATTACGTTTCTTCTTCTTTTTCGAACGGTTTCGATAATTTCCCGACACTAAAATCTTTAAAAATTAATCAATATACGTATTTCTAGTGGTTCTGCATCGAGAAAAATTTAACTTTTTGCGAATTTTTTTGCTTTTTAAGATTTTTTTAAAGTTTTTCTCTGAACCGTTTGCAATGAATTTCATGGCTTTTTTTGATTTTCTAACGGAGCATTTTGTGTACGAATAAGTAATCATATATGCTCGAATAAGCTGATTTTTTTCGGAGATTTTAATTGAAAAATAATGATTTTTTTAAGTCTTTTTTTATCCATAGATTCAATCTTTTGACTTTTTTTTTCAGCTTTGATAGTATCAAAAAGTTTTTTTCTAGAACTATTTTCTATATTTTTCTGAACACTTTTTAAAGCTCTATTTTCGTCTCGAAAGATCACTTTATTTTAGTTTTTTCCATTTTTGTGCGTTTTTTTAAAATCCGCATTTGTTTTTGAAAAGGATCAATGCTCTCAAAAAAATTATTAGGTCATTTTTCAAGTTTCCTATTCATTTTGAACCATTTTCGCTTTCAATCTTGCTTATTTTTTTCCATTTCTGAATCAATTTTTTTATCGATTTTACTTGGAATTTTCGGGAATTTTTCCGCATTTTTTTATCCGTTTTTTTAATCAAATTTCCCATACAAAAAGCTGATTTTCAGATGTTAGGTTGCTGAGATAACGTGTCGCGGCGTTACCAAGAAAAAAGAAGACGATTTTTTGAAGCCTTTAGAAGACGTCGCCTACAATTATTTATCCGCTTTACTCACTTATTCACCGCTTCACTTTTTATTGAAATATGGATGACGGCGACGAATACGTCCCGCAGTTGTCGCAACTCGGCGAGTACGGCATGGACATGGCGCCGTTGCCCACCCAGCCACAGTATCCGCCACAGGTTTGCCATTTTTTTCCTAGGTTGAAAATTGATTTTTCAGTTGTAGTTTTGGTTTTTCGGGTTTAAAGATGATTTTTTGAGTTTGAACATTGGTTTTTCAAATTGAATTTTGATTTTTCGAGTTCAAAATCGATTTTTCTCATTGAAATTTGGTTTTTCGTGTTTAGAGTTGATTTTTCGGGTAAAAAATCGATTTTTCGTGTCGAAAATTGATGTTTAGAAGTGATTTTTCGAGTTAAAGTTTGGTTTTTGATTTTTGAGTTGAAAGTTGACCTTTTTTCCTTGGTTAAAGTTCGATTTTTCCAGTTGAAAACGAATTTTTTGAGGTAAAAAGTGACTTCTCGAGTTGAAAATTTGCTTTGCGCTGAAAATTGGTTTTCTGTTTTTCTAATTGAGGTTTAGTGTTAAAAATCAATTTTTCTAGTCAAAAGTTTATTTTTCGTCTAAAACATTGGGTTTTCGAGTTTAATATTGGTTTTTTTCAAGCTGAAAAATCGACTATTCTAGTTTTAAATCGATTTTTTTGAAGTTAAAAATCGATATCTATAGTTAAAAAAATGGATTTTCTGAGTAAACATAGATTTTTTGAGTTGAAAATTGATCTTTTGAGAAGAAAGTTGGCTTTCGTTGTCGCTAAAGAATTGGTTTTCGGAGTTAAAACTAGATTTTTTGAGTTACCTAAGCCTTTATGAGCTTACGTAGGTCACAAACGGCGCTGTTTAAATTTTTTCGCTGAATCAAGCTGGAAAATATTCCCCGGTGCATTTTCGTACAACAAAAAGCAGTTACTTACCCGTTTTTGAGCTTAATTGAATATTTATGTAGTCTGTACATGGGTCTGATTGAAGTTTTGACTGTTATTCATAAGTTATCTGATGAATTGCGCTTGAAACTAACTGCATGCATTTAATTAATGAAAAAGCAGTTACCTGCTCATTTTTAACATGAAGGATGAGGTTTGTAGGCCAAAAAAGGCTTTAGTCAAAGTTTATCACTTTAATTTCGAAGCTGTTCGACAAACTGGCCTTTAAATTGTACCCGTATTTATTTTATCAATAAAAAGCAGTTTCCTGCTCATTTTTAAACTCTAATAAAGAGGATTGTAGGCCAAAAAAGGCGTTGGTCAAAATTTATCAGAGTAAATATGAAATTTAGGTTTTACACTAAACCAAGGTACTTTTTCTGATAAAATAAGCAAAAATCTACAATTTCTGAGCTCAAAAGTTCGTTCTAGTGTGTAGTCCCATTGGAGTCTCCAGTTTATTCAAAAAAAAAAAAAACCGTCCTTTCATTTTCCCTACACTAAAAGCTCCACTATCGAACCTTAAAGGTCACTCTTAATGGGTTTTTGCATTCAAAAAATGTCACTTCTGAATCATTTTTACACTTAAAAGCCCTGAAAAACACTTTAAATCATTGTCACAACAAGAAGTCTGCTCCCAACTGTACTTTTACACTCGAAAAGGGAGCGTTTGACTCTTTTTTAGCACTCAAAAACAAAAAAATCCATTTCCACAGCTCACACTGAACCATTAAGAAGGTCTACTCAAGACCGTACCCTAAAAATAGAATCTGATTCATTTTTACACTCAAAAATCCACTCCAAACCGTAATTTTACATCAAAAAAGTGCCGTCTGATACATTTTTTGCACTCAAAATATCGAATCTGATTTATTTTTCACGAAAATGTCTAATACGACACATCTTTAGACCCAAAAATCTACTGCAAATCGGAATTTTTCATCGAAAAATCGGATCTGATTCATTTTTTACACTCAAAAATCCACTCCAAACCGTAATTTTACATCAAAAAAGTACCGTTTGACACATTTTTAGCACTCAAAAAATCGAATCTGTTTCATTTTTCACAAAAATCTTCATTATGACGCATATTTGAAACCAAAAATCTACTCCAAATCGGAATTTCACATCAAAAAATCGAATCTGATTCATTTTTACACTTTAGAATCTGCTTCAAACTGTACTTTTACATCAAAAAAGCGCCGTCTGATTCATTTTTCACGAAGATGTTCAATATGACGCATTTTTGAACCCAAAAATCTGCTTCAAATCGGATTTTTACATCGAAAAATCGGATCTGATTCATTTTACACCCAAAAAGTCAAACCTGATTCATTTTTACACTTAAAAATCTGCTCCCAACCGTACTTTTACAAAAAAAAAGAGACCGTCTGACACATTTCAAGCACTCAAAAAGTCCATTTACAGGGCATGTCGGGCGGAATGACGGCCATGACGAATCCCTACGAGCAGCAGCAGCACATGATGATGATGCAGCAGCACCACGCCGCCGCTGCCGCTGCTGCCGCCGCCGCGGCGGCTGCTGCAGCTCCACCTCAGCCTCCCGCCAAGAAACCCCGGGCCAAGAGCAAAAAAGTAACCATTTTCATGAGAAAATATGCGGCCTGATCCATATAGGGATAAATAATTCGGGAGAGCAGTAAGTTTGGGAAATTATGATAAGCTTCAACCCCAGAAAGGTGGTCACTTTTAACCCTACTGTCTCCAGCTCTCAGTGGGATTTTTGAATGAGGCTAGGCTTGCTAGATGTAGATTTTCACGCTGATTCCGAATCTGGTCTCAAAAATTGCCTTAGAGGCCTGTGCAAAAAGTTAGGGGCTGTCTAAGTCAAAAAATGTTCTGAAAAAGGTTTTTCAGGACATTTTTGGTGTAAAAGTACGTTTTTGAGTGGACTCTTGAGAGGAAATAAGAATTAGAGAATACAGAAATGAATAAGTCCAGGAGAAGCTTGAAAATTTTAGGAAATAATGATAGTATAAGCTTCAGCCCCAGGAAGGTGGTCTTGAACAAGAAATTTCATTTTTACCGCACTAGGGAAGGTTCTCAGCTCATTTTCTGAATGAGACTAGGCTCACCAGATGTAGTTTTTTACGCTGACTCTGAATCTGTGCTCAAAATGGGCTTTAGATGCCTGTGAAAAAAGTTAGAGGCTGTCAAAGTCAAAAAATTGGAAAAAATTGGATGAAAATTGGAAAAATTGGATGTCTTTCTGTAAGCTCTGAAGGTTCTGGAGGACTTATTTAGAGTTAAAATACGTTTTGTAGTGAATCCTTTGAGTTTTACAGAATTTTGAGAGCTTTACAGAATCAAAGAAACTTTCAAAAAGTTTATTTATAAGCTCTAATGAAGGTGATGTTGAAGAGGAATATAATTTATTTTTCAAGTTCAAAATTTTAAATAAGGATTTTTTAAAGTGAAATGAATACGAGAAATACTCTGATTTTTATATTGGAAGTAGATTAATTTTTTTGAATAAATTGATAAAAAAATTTGGTCTTAACCATAGTTCTCACAGGAAAACCGGATCAAACTCTGACTTTTCAGGCCCAAGCAGCGGCGGCGGCTGCAGCTGCGGCCCAAGAACAAATGGATCCGATGCAAAGTATGGCGGCCATGTCGAACAATCCGATGATGCGGCCTTCCATGCAGCAAATGGGCGCCATGTATCCCGGGGTGAGGGTTTTTATAGGAAGTTTGAGTAGACATAGGAGAGGGTGGAAAAAGGCTCCATAAAGGGACCCTTTTTGCGCAATTTTATCGGCTGTTATGCTCCATTTTTGCTCCCTTTTCCACCTTGAGCCTTTGAAACCCCAGAAAAAAGGGGAGGCTCGATAAAGGGACCTTTTTTGGTGCCTTTTTGCAGCCATTTTGCTGCCTTTTTGCATCCATTTTGCTGCCTTTTTGCAGCCCTTTTTTGAGCCTTTCTGCGGCCACTATCCACCATTCCAAATTTGCCCGAATTTAAGAGAAATAAGTGGAAAAGTCTCACATTGAGCTCATTTTCCTGACGTTTTATCTGATTTTCTACGTTTTGTGATTTCTATAGGGAAGTCTCACATAAAGCTTATTTTTTCAAAGGTTTTTCAATTTTTCTGAAAAGAAATGTTTTTTTTAAAGCTCTGTGAAGCTTCCATTCACAATTTAGCTGATTTCATAAGTTTATTAAGCAAGAATGGGTCAGGTGAAGAATCTAGAATTTTTTTATTTTAAGGTTTTTTTGGTTCAAGGAGGATGATGAGAAAAGTGCTAGGATTTTTGACGTTTTTTTTCTGCCCCTAAAACGATTTTTCCAAAAAAAGAGCTCTAATAGATTTTTTCTATGTCAATTTTGCTTCTTTTTGACTTTTGTAATAAAAAATATTCCACGAGATTCAAAAAAGATCCTCTGGTGAAATTGAGGCTCAAAAGACGTGGGAAGAACTCTAATGGTCACTCAAGAGGCTCCCGAAGGGCTTCTTGAGAAGGGCACTAAAGTGATCACTTAAACCACCTCCATAATGTATACGTCTTAGTGGCCACTATAGTAGCTTTAGTGGTCTAGTAGTGCTTAGAAAGGCAACTGATTTTTATCCACTCAAGTGGCCTCTTATTCGACTACTATAGTGGCCACTAGGACGTCAAAACCCTAAAGTGACCACTAAAAGATTTCCCAGCCGTTTTAGGAGCTTCTGCGGAGAGGGTCCTCAAAGTAATTTTTCCGCTTTGCTTGGGAAATTCGAGTTTTCGATCAATAAAATCAATAACCAATGATATTTTTCGTAAATGACATGACTTTTTCAGTCCCAAATGGGAATGTACCCGGGACAAGCTGGCGGGCCGTACGCGGGCGCTCCGGCGAGCACAAGCGGCGCTCAGCAGGGCTATCGGCCAGGCCCTGCTGGCGCCGCGGCGGCCGTCCCCGGGCAGCAGTACCCGCCCGGCTATCCCCAACAAATGCACTACGCTCAACAACAACAGCAGCAGCAGGCGCAACAGCAACGAGTCCCGCCCGGTTATCCCCCGCAGCCCTACGGATACCCGCCGCAAGGGTATCCGCCCAACGCGCAGTATCCGCCGCACATGAGGCCCCAGTTCCCGACCGGTCCCGGACAGCAGCAGGTGAGGCTTTAACATGAGCAATAATCAGCCATACTGCAATTTCACCAAACAACTACGGCTTTTTTCAGTCTTGAACAGCTTTCAAAAATGCCCGGGTGTTTCTGAGCACTTCTAGGGATCACTTAAGGGCCCGCACACCACTAAAGTGGTCCCTAGAAATGTTCAGAAACTCCCAGGGTTTGCACTACCAAGGCCCGAGTTTTAGAAATATTGAATGACGTTCCATTTTTCAGCCCCATCCTAGCCCCTACTGGGACCAATATCCCATGATAATTAATACTTTAACATGAGCAATGATGGGCTAGAAAGTGCAGTTCTAAAAAAAAAAAAGGGTTTAGTTAAGTTTACAGTTGAAAACGGCCTAATTTCAGCCTTGAACAGCTTTGAAAAATGCCCGCATTTTCCTGAGCAGTTCTAGGGATCATTTAAGAGCCCGGACACCACTAAAGTGGCCCCTAGAAATGCTCAGAAACTCCCAGGGCGCTTTTAATTTGCACTACCAAGGCCCGAGTTCTAGAAAAATGGAAGAAATTCCATTTTTCGTAGTTTCAGCCCCATCCTAGAGAGTTTAGTCAAGTTTACAGTTGAAAATGGCCCGATTTCAGCCTTGAACAGCTTTGAAAAACGCCCGGATTTTTCTTAGCAGTTCTAGGGATCACTTAAGAGCTTTGAAACCACTAAAGTGGTCCCTAGAAATTCTCAGAAACGTCCAGTTTGCGTTACCGAGGTCTGAGTAATGGTTATTCCAATTTTCGTGGTTTCAGCCCCATCCTAGCCCCTACTGGGACCAACATCCAAGCTACTACCCGGGAGCTGGACCAGCTCCGCCGGCTGCAGCTTCCGCATCCGGGCAAACCCCGCAACAACCGGTCAACTCGCAAATGGAACAGTGGAATCGGCAGCAGCAGGAACATGCCAGGGTGATTATTTAATTTCAATGGATTAAAGTTGCAAGGAGAAGAAAAGGAAAGGAAAATGCTGAAAAATAGGAATTCAGACAGTTTTTAGTCATGCCTCGTAAAGTATTTATTCGAAGAATAATTTTTCAATAAACCTCAGGATTTAGAATTTTTCTGGTCCTAAATAGTTCCATTTAAATTCTTTTTAAATATAGTTCAGAGCGATAAATGAGGTTTCATGAGAAGAATAAGTGTTGGAACGAATTTAAAAATTTCAAGATTTTACTGATTTTTTTGGTCTCAGTTCAAAAAGAAGCTTGATAATTTTTTTAAAAACTGCGATAGGCTGAAAAAAATTCTTTAAAAAATGGTTTTTTTCAACGATGAATTTTCATTTTTTTCGGTCTTTCAATGTGTTGAAATTTTTTTGATAAGTTCATTTCATTTTTTTCATTTCAAGTGTTTATTCGCCATTCCGCAATCAGCACGACAAATACAAAAAAATAAAAACATCAAGACAATCAAATAAATCTAACAGCTGATCTGTGGAAACGGCTGGAGGAAAAGATTGTCTGAGTAGACGGTGCTAACCCCCATTTGGTATTTAAGTTTGTTCTTTGTATTTTTAATAAGTTAGAATTTTTCTAGATTTTAGTAGGATCTAATGATTTTAAAAACGATGTGTTTGATTCGAACCATGAGGTGAGCATAATCTGAAACTTGCCGATTTCGTATTCAATGATAGTTTCTCTCTCCAGTTGGTTCCAAATGGGTATGACTCTATGATTTAGGAAGCGTTGTTTGATCAATTCATTCATTGGTTGAACAAGTCTCATTCCATTTCCTCTGAGTTGATTATTTCTACTCGAATTCATCATTAATTTAACAGGCGACTCACTCCAAAAATATCCATGAATGTATTTATGAACGCAACAAACGTCTTTAAAAAGTCTTGGAAAACTAAAATTTTAATTCGACCTTTTTAACTAAAAATTTTAGCAGCGAGTTGAAATATTGTGACTATTATCCAAATTTTGATGAAGCTTAGGTACTTAAAACACCTGTGGGTCTTGAAAAAGACCAGATACTTGAAAAAATGAAGAATTATCCGAAAAATACTGGAAAGTTGAAAATATTTTTCCAGCAGCAAATGTACCACATCGAGCTGGAAATGCATCGGATACAACAGCGGCTACAGCAATTGTACCAGCAGCCACGGACCCCGATGTTGGACCAGGAGATTCAGCAGGTTAATGGAAAGGCTTTGAAGAAAAATGAAGAAAAAAATCACTACACAAACTGGAAAATTTAAAAAAAAGAGGTGGAAGAATGAAAATAATTTTTTTAAGTCACTTCTTTTCCGTATAATTTTCTAACTTCTCATTTTTCTCGATTTTTGTCTCCGATTTTATTTTCTCAGAATTCTCACCTTGTTCCATCGATTTCGTGGTTTTTAGAATATTTTGTTATAGGGAGTCTTTCGGGAGCCTTCCGGGAGCTTTTTGGGAGTTTCTCGGGAGATTTTTTGGGAGCTTTTCGGGAGTCTTCCGGGAGTTTCTCACTTTCTCCCTTTTTTTTGGATTTTTTGTTATAGGGAGTTTCTCTCGGGAGTCTTTCGGGAGCTTTTCGGGAGTCTTCCGGGAGTTTTTTTCGGGAATTTCTCGATTTCTTCCTTTTTTTTTGGATTTTTTTGTTATAGGGAGTTTCTCTCGGGAGTCTTTCGGGAGCTTTTCGGGAGTTTCTCACTTTCTTCCATTTTTTTTTTGGATTTTTCGATGTTGTGATTTTTTCGGGAGTTTGAAAAAGACGATAGCCAAAAGGACAGTTTTTCCTTCATAAGAACATAAATAATTATGGTTTGAAATTATTCGGGTCTTGAAAGGAAAAAAACCTCGATTTTTGAGAATTTATCGATCGGAATTCATGCAGACATGTACTGCGCTATTTGGGTTGAGGATAAGTTGGAAAAAAGGGCGTTTCAAGTTTTTCGATCAATATCCTAGTTTTTTTCGCTGGTATGAAAAAAAGCCAACGAATTTTTGAATGTTTTCCGATTTTTTTTATAGGGAACTTTTCTCATTTTTTTCCCTCTAAAAACTTTACATGTATTTTTATCATTTAATCATGAATATATATGCATAGACAGATTCAAAATGAAGATCTTATCGAAAAAAAAGTCGAAGAAATTCTCCGTCGGAAAGCTCCTTAGCAATTTAATCATGAATCAACTGTCAACTTTGAAAAAATCAGAAAAGTCGCCGTTAGAATTTTCGCTGCACTTTTTTTCATTCCCCCGTTTTTTGGTTATAGCCGATTCACGGCTAGCTTGGGACGCCAAGGGGGCGTGGCTTGTCTGCGCCCTCCACCAACCAGACACTTTCTCCGTCATTATCGTGACAGGACCCTTTTTCTCGATGGCTCAAGCCAGTCTTGAATAACCTATAATTTTAATCAATTTTTCTCTCTCTTCCAGACGCAACACCGAATGCAGTACATGCAAGGAGAACATCACCGGATGATGACCATGATTTCGGCAGCTGGTCAGGCTCCGCCCCCACAGCTTCATGTACGTTTTTGTCCCTACCAGATCATGAAAAGATTCAGAGAAATTCAGTTTTTTTGTGGTTTTTGTACAATTTTAAGCGGGAAAAGCTGAATTTAGGAGCAATTTGTGTTATAAATTTCAAAAAATCAAAAATTTTTCGTCCAAAATCGTGAAAAAATGGACTTTTTCGAGAAAAATCGAGGTATTTTTTTAAAGAAAGTATATGAAAAGTTCAATTTTAAGGGGAATTTTAAGGATTTTTAGACGGAAAAATCTGATTTTAGGACAAAAATTGACTTAAACTTGTGTCATAAGTGATAGAAAAACGTAACAAAAAAATATGTAACTTTCAAAAAAATACAAATTTTATAAGTAAATAGTTTAATTTATAGGTCTAATATTGTTAAAATTCGATTTTTAGCCGTTTTTTCAAATGTTTTTTTCAATTTTCAACCCTTGTAAGGCAAAGTTTCGTTTTTTTTGTCACTTTTTCAACGTAAACTTTATCCCGAATGTTCCAGACGCCAAGCGGCTCGGGACATCCGCCGACGATGGGCCCAACTGGCCCAACTTCGGTCGGATCAGCGGCCGGAAGTGCCGGAGGCAATTCGACGCCGGCTTCGGTAGGAATTTTTGATGATTTTTATTCTGAAATTATTGATTTTTGTGTTTCTTTTTTGCCATTTTTAGATTTTTTTAAAGTTTCTACAGTTCGATTTGGTTCTAATAAATCTATTTTTCCAGCACCAACCGACCCCATCAACCCCTGTACAAGTGACACAAAGCGGGAATCAAGTTCAGGTTGGGATTTTCCGATTTTTTACAATTTTCTACTGAAAAACAAGGGTAAAATGAGTTCTGAGATTTTAAAATCGTTTTTTAGAGATTTTAAGTTGTTTTTAAATTTGTCCAGAAGTAGTTATTTTTTTCAAGAAAGAAATTTTTTTCAAAAATATTTTTTTCAAGAAATCTAAAAAAAGTGAAATTTGAAAAACTTTGCAGCAAAGTTGCTCTATCGCACTTTTTCTCAGTTTTTTTGCTGATTTTAATCATTTTCCGGTTTCACCCTTCAAAAATCTTGGCAAAATATTTAAAAATTGGTCTAGAAGTCACTACTTTCTCAGATAATTCGATTGGAAATTGAAAAAATTTGGAAAAAAATTTTTTTGCAGCAAAAGCTGCTCCATCGCACTTTTTTTGATTTTTCGTTTTTTTTTTCTCATTTTCTCTATATTTTCCTGTTTTTTTCTGATAAATCTGACATGCAAACCTTGAATTTGAAAAAAAAATGATCATTTTTAAGCAAAGTTGCTCTATCGGACTTTCTTAATATTTTGCCTTTTTTTCTCATTTTCTTTGTATTTTTTTCTGTTCCCCTTGTAAAAAGCTCTGATTTCCATGAAAATTTGAAGTTTTTATGAATTTCCTTTAACGATTTCTCAGCGTATTTCAACGGTTGTGTCAGAAAAAATACGAAAAAACGCGTTTTTTTGATCAAAACTCTTTTGTATGTAGTTTGATCTTTCTGAAACCTTCTTGAGTTTTGATTACTGTTATTTGTAAAAATTTCGTGGAATACCAGGAGAAAAAACGCAATTTTACAGAGTTTCAAATAGATTGAGATCCATAAAAGGAATTTCATGCAAATTTTTTTTTTCTGTTTTGTTTCTCTGTTCTGATGGTTACTGTAGGTTCTTAAATAATCATCTTCTTTTTTTTTCCAGCATGTAAACTGGCGAATCTATCGGAATTTCCTTCGAAAATGATTTGATTTAAGGTGAACATAAAGCCGGAAACTGGACGAACGCTCATTTCGGTCTACCATCGGTACGGCGAGTCGCCACGGGGCGACGAAGCCGCCGCTTTCGGCTCGGCCGGCAGCGGAAGTTCGACGGAATCCAAGGACTCTGTCGTCCCCCCGGAACCCACACCAAGTGGTCATCTACAGCGTCAACAGCAGCCCCAACAGCATCGACAGGTCGGCTTTTTGGAGCGCAACAGCCTTTGAAGTCATTTTGGGAGCATTCAAGAATGAATTGAAAATCTCTCCATTTATTTTGGAGTTTTTTAAGGCGCAGGGCGTGGCCTAAATTTTCAAATAGGTTTTTAGCACTTTTTAAAGGCGCAGAGGCTGAATTTTTTTCAAATAGGTTTTTAGCACTTTTTAAAGGCGCAGGGCGTGGCTTCATTTTTTTAAAAAGATTTTTAGCACTTTTTGAAGGCGCAGGGCGTGGCTTTATTTCTTCAAGTATACTTTTAACACTTTTTAAAGGCGCAGCACGTCGTCTAGATTTTTCAAATAGATTTATGGCACTTTTTAAAGGCGCAGGGCGTGACTTGAAACTTTGGAATATGTTTGTAGCACTCTTTAAAGGCGCAGGGCGTGGCCTAAATTTTTGGAATAGATTTTTAGCATTTTCTTAAAGGCGCAGGGCGTGGCTTGACTTTTTAAAACAGGTTTTAAGCTTTTTTTAAAGGCGTAGGGCGTGGCCTGAATATTTTAAATACATTTTCAACACTTCTTAAAGGCGCAGAGCGTGGCTTGAATTCTTAAAATAGACTTTTAGCACTTTTTAAAGGCGCAGGGTGTCGCCTTACTTTTTCAAATAACTTTTAAGCACTTTGAAATCATATTTTTTTTTCCAAAAATAAGAGATTTTCATTATTTTTTTTCAGTTGCCGGATGGATCGAATGGCATGGGATACACCAACGGAACGCCGACGATCCAAAATGGAATGGAAAATGGGGCTAAGGTAATCATTTTCTAAAGATTTGAAAAATTAGATTTTCTTGTACCTTTTCCAGTTTTTCGAGCATATCAGAACCAAAAAAATGAGACTTCTAAAGAAAATTGTTGCTTTTTTCGTGCTTTTCTGGTCTTCAAACGAAGACTACCGTAATCTTGAACGTCAAAACTTGTGTTTTTTTATAAATGGCTTTCGAGTTTCAAAAAATTATGGCAACTTATAAGCTCTGAAGTCGTTTTTCCGAGATTACGGTAGCTTTTGCGAAATTTTTCACAAAAGCTACCGTAATCTCCGACCTCTTTGAGAGAAAATTACAGTAATCTGGCTTTTTTGAAGAGAAGTTACAGTAACCTGACTTTTCTTAAAGGATAGTTACAGTAATCTGACGTGTTGGAACGAAAAATACTAATCTGTAATCTGTAATCTGACTCAAAGTTACAGTAATCTGACCAAATTTCTTTACTTTTTCCGATTTTTGAGCAATTTTGAATATAAGCTACCGTAACCCGGAGTACCTGAACTTTGGGGCTCTTTCTAGTACTTTGTTACCGTTCCATTAGGTCCCTGAAAAGGTTTTGGGTCAGATTACTGTAGCCAATAAGTAATTTGGTCAGATTACTGTAATTAATAAGTTTGGTGGTGAACCGAGACTTCTAAAAAAAGCTATTTCTTCGAAATAAAGCTACAGTAATCTGAGCAAGACAAGAGAAAAGGAAAATTTGAAGAGCTACAGTAACCCTGAGTACCTGACCTTTGCAGCTCTTCCTAGTTACCTTAGCTCCTTCATTAGGCCCCTGAAAAGGTTTTGTGTCAGATTACTGTAACCAATAAGTAATTTGGTCAGATTACTGTAACCAATAAGTTTGGTGGTGAACCGAGACTTCTAAAAAAAGCTATTTCTTCGAAATAAAGCTACAGTAACCTGAGCAAGACAAGAGAAAAGGAAAATTTGAAGAGCTACAGTAACCCTGAGTACCTGACCTTTGCAGCTCTTCCTAGTTACCTTAGCTCCTTCATTAGGCCCCTGAAAAGGTTTTGTGTCAGATTACTGTAACCAATAAGTAATTTGGTCAGATTACTGTAACCAATAAGTTTGGTGGTGAACCGAGACTTCTAAAAAAAGCTATTTCTTCGAAATAAAGCTACAGTAACCTGAGCAAGACAAGAGAAAAGGAAAATTTGAAGAGCTACAGTAACCCTGAGTACCTGACCTTTGCAGCTCTTCCTAGTTACCTTAGCTCCTTCATTAGGCCCCTTAAAAGGTTTTTGTGTCAGATTACTGTAACCAATAAGTAATTTGGTCAGATTACTGTAACCAATAAGTTTGGTGGTGAACCGAGACTTCTAAAAAAAGCTATTTCTTCGAAATAAAGCTACAGTAACCTGAGCAAGACAAGAGAAAAGGAAAATTTGAAGAGCTACAGTAACCCTGAGTACCTGACCTTTGCAGCTCTTCCTAGTTACCTTAGCTCCTTCATTAGGCCCCTGAAAAGGTTTTTGTGTCAGATTACTGTAACCAATAAGTAATTTGGTCAGATTACTGTAACCAATAAGTTTGGTGGTGAACCGAGACTTCTAAAAAAAGCTATTTCTTCGAAATAAAGCTACAGTAACCTGAGCAAGACAAGAGAAAAGGAAAATTTGAAGAGCTACAGTAACCCTGAGTACCTGACCTTTGCAGCTCTTCCTAGTTACCTTAGCTCCTTCATTAGGCCCCTGAAAAGGTTTTGTGTCAGATTACTGTAACCAATAAGTAATTTGGTCAGATTACTGTAACCAATAAGTTTGGTGGTGAACCGAGACTTCAAAAAAAGCTATTCCTTCGAATTAAAGCTACAGTAACCTGAGCAAGACAAGAGAAAAGAAAAATTTGAAGAGCTACAGTAACCCTGAGTACCTGACCTTTGCAGCTCTTCCTAGTTTTTAATAATTTAATAATTTATTGACAGATCAGCGTGAACCCTAACGAGTTCACTTGGATCTAGAATTTGAGAGAATACATTATACAGTTATACATCATTTGAGTCGTGGAGGAATAGACAAGAAGATCTCGTGCAATGGTAGATTGACCAGTAAGTTTTTTTAAAGACTTGGGGTGGTGGCTGAATTGAAATTTGGAAGTGAGTTTGTTCCAAGTAGGAATTGTTTTAAAGAAAAAAATCATTAGAAAAACTGACCTTGAGAACGCAGTCGAAGTGGATTTCGCCTTAAATTGGACCTGAGGGCAAAAAAAGTTCGAACTGGGGAAAAATGATCGATACCGAAGACAATTTTATGAAGGGTCAGAATGTCAGATATAGCTCGTCTGAGGTAAAGTGGAGAGATATCAAATTGTTCAAGGCGATCAGAGTAAGATTCAAAGGATAAGTTGGACCTAATAAAAAAATTTTTACGAGAAAAAAATTCTGAGAGGAGATTCCAGTTTGTAGCAGAGATCAGAGTTAAGGGGAGGGTTAAAAAAACTTCGGAGCAGTATTCTAGAATAGGCCTTACATAGGTGTTAAAAAAATTTTTGAACAATAGATCAGGTGATTTGGAACGAAAAACAGTTGAGTATCTGATTGGAACGAAGGGTTGCTAAAGAAACGATATTGTTAATGTGAGGAGCGAGAGTTAGTTTATCATCGATAAGAACACCTAGATCACGGATAATGGTTTTTCTGGGAATAGACAGACCATTGATTAAATAAGTTGTTTTGGGATTGAGGGGACCAAGGTTGATAGCAAAAGTTTTGTGCGCAGCAAGAGGCAAAGCCCCAAATGGAAGACCATTCAAATATGGAATTAATACTACGTTGGAGAGATTCAGGGTTAGAACTGTAAATTTTTTTATATCATCAGCGAACAGAGAGATTGAGGTTTCATGGTCAATGTAGTTAACAATATCATTGATGAAAATTAGAAAAAAAGCAAAGGACCAGATACAGTTCCTTGAAGGACACCGGAAGTATTGAGATAAGTAAGAGAAGAACGAGATCCATCGATCAGAACATTAGAAACACGCTCAGATAAGAAGTTTTTGTACCATCGAACAACGTTTTCGTCAAGACCAAAGTTCTTGAGCTTATGAACAAGCAGAGAATGATTTACCTTATCAAAAGCCTTGGCAAAGTCAAAATAAACAACATCGACAAATTTTTTCGAGGCGATAGATTTTTGCCAAGAGGAGAGGCAAGATAGAAGGTTAAGCTTGCAAGATCGTTTGTTTAAAAATAGTTACCTTAACTCCTCCATTAGGCCCCGGAAAAGGTCAAACCGATGACTTCGTTGCAGTTTGCAAATGGACAGCAAAAACTACAGTAACCCTGAGTAGAAAAAACTACAGTAACCCTGAGTACCTGAACTTTACAGCTCTTTCTAGTTACCTTAACTCTTCCATTAGGCCCCGGAAAAGGTCAAACCGATGACTTCGTTGCAGTTTGCAAATGGACAGCAGCCGGTGACTCACCCACAACTCGCCTCGCCTCCCGCGGCCAACCCCTACGATCCGACCTATCCGTCGGCGTCGTCGCAACAACCCCAGCGGCCTCCCACGAACCCGCCCCCCGGAAATTTGCCATATTCTTCCGCCGCTCAACATCCTGGCATGTACGGACATCAACCGGTTTGTTTCTTTTCCGAATTTTGAATTTTCCCAAAGACTTTCTGTACTTTAGAGTGGCCCCTAGAGGGGTTAGGGAAAAGAACAGCCCCTCTATGGGACAAGTAGGGCTCCCTAGAGGGGTGAAATTTAAGTGGTCCCAAAGGAGCTTAAGGTGTGACTTCTAAGCCTTTTAAGCTTGAGTGGTCCCTATAGGAGTTTAGGATCTGGTTCAGAAGCTTTTAAAGCTTAAGTGGTCCCTAGAGGGGTCTCTCAATTTCATGTTCTGCTTTTAGAGTTCTTATAGGGACCAATACCATGCTTCCCTAGAGTGGCCACTTTTTCAAGACCTTAGTGCCCATTTTAGGGGAAGAAATCCAGAGGTGGACCTTTGAATGCCCCTCTAGGGACTTCTCTGGAGCTCCTAAGTAGTCCAATCCTCCTAAAAAAAAATGACCACTTTCCTCAGAAAATCCCCCAAAACATCAAAAATTTTCAGCAACACCCAGCGAATCCGTACCAACAGTATAACAACATGAATGGTCCTCAAAATCCGTACGCGAACAACGGCGCTCCACCGCCAATGACGTCACCGACCGGCTATCCGTATCCGACGGCACAGCAGCCAATGCAGCATCCCCAACAGCAGTTTGCCCAGCAGCCTCAGGTATGTTTAAAGGCGCACAGGAAGGTAGAAAGTAAGAGTTTTGACGCGAAAACTTTCTGGCGAGTTCTGAGACTTGAAAATCGGTTGGCCCAGCCTTTTCAGGTTAACATAATCTTTGAAGGAAGATTTCAAATTTTCTAGACTTCTCAGAAGCCAAATTAAAGGAGCATAAGGAGAAAGCTCGAAAATGTATCGAGAAGAATTTTTTTTTGAAGGATGAAACTTTGAAAATCTGTACACAGGGTCCTTAGGATGAAGCTTATTGAAATTTTCGAGAAAATGGTATTTTTGAAATCGTCTGGTCCTTCAGAATCAGCTCCTAAGTTTAAAGGCGCATAAGGAGAAATTTTAAAAAGTTTCGGCGCGAAAAAAATTCTTAGTTTTCAAGAACGGCTCTGTACTGTAGCTTCAAAGGAATCTCATCAGAATCAAACTGAAAATATCATTGAAGGCGCATATGAAGGCTTTTTTCAACTCCTGTGCCTTTAATAACTAGTACTCACTGCTATAGGAAGATTTTTCAAAAGCTGATTCATCAAAAGCTCATATTATCACTGGAGCACACTTTCCCACGCTTTAGGACTTCTTCAAAGTTTTAATCAAGGTACGCTAAAATTACCATTTAGCCCTTTATTCTGCCTTCTTGATCAATTTATCATTGGAGCGCACTTTCCCACGCTTAAGGACTAGTTCGAAAGTTTAATCAACTTTTAGCAAGCTAATTATCATCAAAATGGTATCGAGTCCATTATTCTGCTTTCTTGATCAATTTATCAGTGGAGCGCACTTTCCCACTCTTTAGGACTTTATCAAAAGTTAATCAAGCCTTTTGTGAACTCTGTTGATAATTTTAAAAGGCTTGATCAGTTCTTAAGCTGTTTAGAGCAAATTCTCAGTGGAGCGCACTTTCCCACGCTTTAGGACTCTTCCAAAAGTTTAATCAACTTTTAATTAACCTCAAATAGCTATCAAGATGGTATGGAATTCATTATTCTGCCTTCTTGATCAATTTATCAGTGGAGCGCACTTTCCCACTCTTTAGGACTTTATCAAAAACTGAATCATCTTTTAATTAAGCTCAGAATACTATTTAGTCCTTTATTCTGCTTTCTTGATCAATTTATCAGTGGAGCGCATCTTCCCACGCTCTAGGACTTTTCCAAACATTAATCAAGTCTTTAGTGAACTCTGGTGATGATTTAGAAGTTTGTGAGCAGTTTTATTTCGCTGTTTAGGTCGAATTCTCTTTGGAGCGCACTTTCCCACGCTTTGGGACTTCTTCAAAACTTTAATCAAGTTTTAATTAAGCTCAAATAATGATCATGATGGTATGGAGTCCATTATTCTGCCTTCTTGATCAGTTTATCAGTGGAGCGCATCTTCCCACACTTTCGAACTGTTTCAAAAATTAATCAAGTCCTTAGTGAACTCTGATGACATTTTCAAAAGGTTTGATCAGTTTTTTACGCTTCTCTGGTCAATTATGAGTCTTCCCACGCTCTTAAAAATTTCAAAAGTTTTAATTAGAGCGCGATTTCCTCAAATTAAAACTTTGTCGAGCAATTTTTCCGCTTGCCTGCTCAAATTATCAACGGAGCGTAACTGCCCTCTCGATTTTAACTCTATCTAAAATAAATTATTTTCGCAAATTATCGAATTTTCCAGGGCCTCGTGCCGGCAGTCAAGCCAGAACCAGAAGTGCCGTCAACGTCAGCGGAACCGCCGAAGGTCGAAGAAGACGTCCAGCCGTCGACGTCGACACCTCCAGACTTCCTGGCGGCTGCTGAAGCTGTCGCTAAGGAAGACGCCTTGACGGAAGAAGTCCAGAAGGTCGAACCAGAAGACGTGCCATCGGAAGAGCCCGAATCGTCGTCCTTTGTCGAGAATCAAGAAAGTTTCGCTCCGGATACTACCGCCAGTAGTGCCGATACCACTGAACAGTCGGTCGATGTCTTCGAAGAGCCCAAGAGAAAGAGGTCCGACAGTTATTCTGATGAGGAGAAGACCAAGGAAGACGTCGAAGAAGATGATTCTGACGCCGAAACCCGAGCGGAAATCCGAAAATTGACAGCGTCGACGTCAGAAGTCGTGACGCCCGAGCCGACGTCGCCACCGAAGTGCCAGTTCGTTTCGGACGACGAGGATGACCTGGACACGTCCATGGCTTCTGCCCAAGTTGAAGCCGTCAATAATGACGAAGAGAAGGAGACGGAAGAGCCGGAAACTTCTGAAGACGTCACCAAGGAGCTGAGGTAGAGATCTCAAGTGGGATAGGTCTCGAAAAATGAAGGTTTTTCAGTGTTGCTCCGTCGGAGAAGACACACGACGATGCGGAGGAGTCGTTTGAGAATTCGACGGCCAAGACTGACAGCGAGCCGACGCCCAGTGAGGTGAGACTAGAATGAAAGTTCGCTCCATTGATAATACGACAAAAAACGGACGTTTCTAGGGATCACTTAAGAGGAAGTGGTCACTAGAAAAGCTCAGAAACGTTCGGGCGCGTTTTTAAAGTCCGAGAGCTTCAAGAGACTTCAGAGAAGTTAGAAAACCCTCTTTCTCTGGCGTCTCTTCAGGCAGGTGTTGTTCTCTCGCTCCTGACTTTTTATAACTATTCTTTCAGCTCATTTCCTTCTACTTGAAGTTTTTTTGAATTATCTCCAAAAACTCGAATTTTCAGTCGAACGAAGGCTTCACCGAACCATCCACCCCAGCCACGCCGATGACCCTGGCCCCCGTCCAGAAAAAGTCGGTCAAAAGGCCGCCCGTTCCCAAGGCCAAGAAGAAGAAAAACGTCGACGACTCCGGCGACGACGACGACGACTTCATGCCGGAGAAGGGCCGTGGTCGCAAGAAATGGGCGGCGACGGCGAAGAAGCGAGCGCAAGCCGCCGCGGCTGCCCTCGCCGAGGGCCTCGAGCTGCCCCCGGAGCTCGCCGACGCCATCGCGACGCCCTCCATCCGCAGAGCCGCCAGCGGAAAGTGGTCCGAAGCCCTGGGAGATGATGAGGATGTGTGTAGTTTGGTCATTGGAACTTTTTCGAGAGTCCAGTCATCGTTGGCCTTATTTGAGCTTTATTGAGCGCTTTCCTTTTTTGGAAAAGTTAGAAAAAGAGAAGAAGCTTGTCCCATGCCTATTCTAGATTTCCTGAACCTTTTTATGCTTTGAAAAATCTTAAAAAACCAGAAAAGGCTAAGAAATCAGTCCGAAGCCCTGGGGGATGATCTTGATGTGTGTAGTTTGATCACTGGAAAATAAATCAACTGAAGATTTGAGTTTTTTTGGGCCTTCTTTGCCTTGATAAAGCTTAAAAAACTGAAAAAAAAATGGAAGAAGCCTCGGGTTTAGATGAGAGTGTATGTAGCTTGGTCACTGGAAAAATTTTAGAAAAAATTTAAAAAAATCAATTCCTTTGTTCCTGGCCTGCATTGGGCTTTTTGAGACCCCTTTTTGCTTCGATGAAGCTCGAAAAAACTTCAAAAAAACAGTAAAAATTCATCAGAAGTCTATTCCAGCTTTTCTGACCTTTTGTTGCTTGGGAAAGTATCAAAAGTCCGGGAAAAGTTTCAAAAAAATTAGTTGGAAAAGGTTCAAGGCCTTGGATGTGTGTAGTTTGGTTAGAGATTCGAAAAGTGGTCATTTTAGTGGAAAGGGAGAGCTTTCAATCTTTCAAAAACTTACTAAAAACTAAGAGAACAACCTAAAAATGATCCAGAATATTTTCTATTACTTTTTGAAAAAAGCCCTGACCGATGCTGAGAAGAAAAATTCAACAAATCGGTTTATCTGAAAAAATAGTTCTTCTGAACTTTTTTGAGACAAGACGGCTTCAAAGTTCACTTTTGAACATTTTCCTGCGCTCCCGAACTTCAAAACCTCTGTTCAAAATTTTCTCAGAACGTAATTTGGACTTCTATACGATTTTCTGGAATCGCAACTGTACGAAATTCGGAAAATACTTCACTTTTCCGAGGCCTCTTATTATAACCGTGAGAAAAAAAATCGGATTGGGAAATTGTGCGCCAACGCAAATTGGGAATACAGTCGTGTGAACTCTTCCAAAATTTCGCCTTTCCCTTTCATTTTCCACGATTTTAGTCCATGTTTTGCGCAAAATAGAAATGGACAATTTGTGCGCCGGCGCGAAATTAGATTAGAGAGTTGTGAAATTTTGAATTTTCGCGGATTTTCGGCTGAAATAAAAAATTGAGGGAACATTTTTGAAATAATGGACTTGGGACTGCAGGCGTTGGAATTTCAAATTTTCAATATCTAATGATTCTAACAGATTTTTTGAAGGTCGAATTTCCATTTTTGAATTTTTTTAAAGATGTTCTTTTTACTTCATTTTATCTCAATTTTATGATTTTTTTGGGGGCAAAATTTGGCTTCAAAATCTCAAAAAAATACGCCTTTTTTTCACTTCATTTTATATCAATTTTATCATTTTTTTGGACAAATTTTATTTCAACCCCTCAAAAAAATCGCCTTTTTCCCTTTTCATTTCCATCTCACTTTCATCATTTTTAGGACGAAGACTCGATGATGACCATGGCCTCAACAGCCAACGCCGACCTCTCCTCGGACATTCCCGTCATCGAGAAGATTTTGAACTCGCGCCAGAAAGACGGCCAAGAGGAGGAGTTCCTGATCAAGTGGAAAAACCGGGCCTACATCCATTGCGAGTGGAAAACGGCTAAGGTACACTTTTTTGGTGTTGAAAAATCGGCGAAATTTGGAGTTTTTTGAAAATAGTCCATTCACCACTCCTTTTAAAAATTGTCTCTTTTAAGGCTTATTCTGCGTCTTGAGACCATTTTTGAGCATTTTACTCTCTTTTTAAGCCTCGAAAAGCTTCTTAACTTAAAAAATAGCGGGATTCTGGGTCTTAAGACCATTTTTGAGCAGTTTACTCACTGTTTAAGCTTCAAAAAACCTTTTTCCTTTGAAAAATTGACCACATTCGAAAGATTTGGAAAATAGTCCATTCAGTGCTCTCTTGAAAGGATGTTCATTTTGAGCCGGATTCTGTTTGAGCCGGATTCTGTCTTGAGACCATTTTTGAGCAGTTTACTCACTTTTTAAGCCTCGATAAACTCTTTAACTTGAAAAATTGGCAAAAATGCGAACTTTTTGAAAATAGTGTATTCGCATCTGCCTCTCATTTTTCACTGAATTTTGCGCTTTAAGACCATTTTTGAGACATTAATTCAAATTTTCGAGCGTTAAAGACGCTTGTAATTCGCTCTACCTTGAAAAATTGACCATTTTGATAATTTCTGGAAATAGTCCATTCATCGCCAGCATGTTTAAAGTTTTTTTCTTTAGCACAAAGTTCTATTTTTTATGGCTTTCATTTCTTCTTTTTCGAGTACTGAACTCGAAAGCTAAGTTTATTTATTTTTCCAGGAACTAGAAGAAGCTGACAAGAGGTCGGTGGCCAAGGTGAAGCGTTTCAAGCAGAAGAAGAGCGCGGCTTTCAATGATGTTCGTTGGAAAATTTAGAACATGATTTATTGGAAATTTGAAGGACGACGAAGATTTCAACAGCGATTACACGATCGTCGACCGTGTTGTCGATGTTCAAACGACGGAAGATGGAGAATTGGCGTTGATCAAGTGGAAGTCCTTGGCTTATGACGAGGTAGGTTTGGAAGAAGTCATTGTGGTCGCATTGAGAATGGCTCAAAGCGTCGCGGTTTTCTTTTTCGGCTGTTTTGAGAGATCAACGGCGGCCTGAAGAGACTCTAGAGAAGTTAGAGCACTCTTTATCTCTGACCTCTCTTCAGGAAGGGCTGATCTCTAAGTGCTGAAGGGATAAGGTATCTGACTGAAGGACAGCAGGAAAAAAGAGTGGAAACTAGAGATCAGCATCTATCGAAGAGACTCTAGAGAAGTTAGAGCGCTCTTTTTCTCTGACATCTCTTCAGGAAAGGCTGATATCTAAGTGCTGAAAGGATGAAGCATTTTTCTGAAAGGGCGCAGCAAAAAAAAAAAGCGGGAAGCTAGAGATCATCATATAGTGAAGAGAATTAGAGAAGTTAGAGCGCTCTCTTTCTCTGGCGTCTCTTCAGGAAGGGCTGCTCTCTAGTTCACACTCTCTTCAAACTAGAAAATTGATGGGAGAGCCTGAAAATCAGCAGCAAAAAAGTAGAAGCTAGAGAACAGCATCTAGTGAAGAGAATTAGAGAAGCTAGAGCGCTTTTCCCTGACCTCTCTTCAGGAAAGGCTGATCTCTAGTTCAAGCTATTTTGAAGCAATTTTTGAACTTTTCTACTGAATTCCAGTTCATAACTTATCGATTTTTAGGTGACTTGGGAACCGATCGAAACGGTTCCGGAAGACAAGGTGGACGTCTGGAAAATGCGACAGGTTATCGATAAGGCCAAAGTGGTGGGTTTTATCAGAGAATGATGAATGAATCAAGAGATTTTCCAGAAAGAAAAGATCCGGCCAAAGCCGGAAGAGTGGAAAAAGATCCCGGACTCGATGGTTTGGAAGGACGACAATAATCTGAGAGAATATCAGTTCGAAGGCGTCAATTGGCTCCTCTACTGCTACTATAACCAGTAATAAATCAAGAAAAATCAGGAAAATTACCGATTTACAGGCAAAACTGCATCTTGGCCGATGAGATGGGTCTTGGTAAAACCGTCCAGACGATCACCTTCTTGTCCCAGATCTTTGAGTTGGTTTTTTCCTAATTTTGAGGGTTGAAACTGTCGGAAAATGAAGGAAAATCGGGATATAAATTACAGGGAGAAGGGAAGTTTTGAAAAGTTTCCTATGCAAATTTACTTCAAAATCGAGAAAATGGGGGTCGAAAAACAGATTTTGCTCAAGAAAATGAACAGTGAAATTTCTGAAGTTTAGGAAGTTTTTTGAATGTCGTCAGATTGTCTAAGTTTCTTCTCAAAAAAAATTTTATAAGTGTTTCTAAAGGAAAAACTTCTTGAACTTCAAAATATGTAGCGAAATTCGCTTTACAAAACCTACACGAACCTTTTTCAACCCGCTAGATTTACAAATTATTACTGAAAGGGAAAGTTCCATCACTGAATCCTTGAATTTGTTGATCCATTGAATTTAGTTTAGATTAGAGTTACAGAAGGCAGTTTTCTGATTGAAAAATCACAAACTTTGATTTCGAAGCGGTTAAAAATCGAGATTGAGATTTAGAACAGTCCTTTTTTGAAGCTTTTGCTCCAAGAATTTGATTTCAGCCGACCGTTTTTGATCTTACTACAGTTCTCAAGCTTCAAAGGTCTCAAAAAAAGTTCAAAAGAACCCCAAAAAATCAGCTAAGGTATTCAAGGGCCTCCTGTGATCCTACTGTAGTTATCAAGTTTCAAAAACCCTAAAATTCCAGCTATGGTATCCATGGACCCTTGCTGATCTTACTATGATTCTCAGGGTTCAAAAATTCCGAAATTGATTTAAAAGAACCCGAAAATTTCAGTTACGGTGTCCATGGGCCTTTTTTCGTCGTACCATAGTTTCCAAGCTTGAAAAGTTCCAAAACAAGTTCAAATGAACCCCAAATTTCAGCTATGGTATCCATGGACCTCTTTTGATCTTACCATAGTCTTTAAACTTCAAAAATTTCATAAAAAAGGTTCAAAAGAACCCCAAAATATCAGCTAGGATATCCATGGACCCTTCTTGATCATACCATAGTTCCCAAGCTTTAAAAATTCCAAAAATGGTTCAAATGGACCCCAAAATTCAAGCTATGGTATCCTCGGACCCTTCCAAAGCTTCATAAATTCTAAAAATGGTTCAAATGAACCCCAAAATTTTAGTTATGGTAGCCATAGACCCTCCCCAAGCTTCATAAACCCAAAAAGGTTCAAATGAACCCCAAAATTTCAGCTATGGTATCCATGGACCCTTCTGGATCGTGCCATAGTTTCCAAGCTTCAACAATTTCCAAAAAAGGTTCAAAAGAACCCCAAATTTCAGCTACGGTATCCATGGACCCTTCTTGATAGTACCATAGTTTCCGAGCTTTAAAAGCTCCAAAAATGCTTCAAATGAACCCCAAATTTCAGCTATGATATCCATGAACCTCTTTTGATCATACCATAGTTCTCAAGCTTCGAAATTTTCAAGAAAGGTTCAATTGAACCCCAAAATTCCAGCTACGGTATCCATGGACCCTTCCTGATCGTACCATGGTTTTCAAGCTTCAAAAATTCCAAAATTGGTTCAAAAGAACCCTAAAATTTCAGCTATGGTATCCATGGACCCTTCTTAATCCTACCATAGTTTCCAAGCTTCATAAGGTCTGAAAAAAAAGTTCAAAAGAACCCAAAAATTCAAGCTATGATATCTGTAGACCTTTTTTGATCGTACCATAAATCTCAGGCTTCAAAAATTCCAAAACAAGTTCAAAAGAACCCCAAATTTCAGATACGGTATCCATAGACCCTTCCTGATCGTACCATAGTTCCCAAGCTTGAAAAACCCCCCCCAAATTCCAGCTACGGTATCCATGGACCCTTCCTGATCGTGGTCCCCCTCTCGACGATCCACAACTGGGTCCGGGAGTTCGAGACGTGGACCGACATGAACGCCGTCGTCTACCACGGCAGCGCCAACGCCCGTGACGTCATCCAACAGTACGAAATCTTCTACAATCGGCAGCACTCCGGCAACAAAGTTGGAGATGATCTTCCTTCATTTCTAGACTGTCATTTCCAGAACTGGAAGAAGAACATGGTGAAGCTGGACGCACTGATTACCACCTTCGAGATGGTGGTCACCGACTGCGAGTTCCTGAGGAAGATCCCCTGGAGAGTCTGCGTCATCGATGAGGCTCATCGGTTGAAGAACAGGAACTGCAAGCTGCTTGTCAATGGTTCGTTTTTTAAAGGAGCATTCTTTCAACAGCCTGCGCCTTTAATAACCAAATGGGGGGAGGGGGAGCGGATTTTTTTGAACTTTATGTACAGTTTTTTCGTAGGAAATTGAGTAAAGTAGGATCAGGTCTTTTTAGATAGGGTTATTAAAGGTGCATAGAACAGTTTTTCGATTAGCCTGCGCCTTTAAAGGGAAGGTTTCGGCTCGAAAAGTTGGTTTTTTGAGCTTTCTCTATAACTGGTTCGTATGAAAATGAGCGAAGTGGGTTCAGAGATCTTTTTTGAAAAGGTCTAGAGGAGCCTTTTTTTTTCACAAGCCTGCGCCTTTAATAAGCATGAGGGGAGTTTTGGCGCGAAAAGCTGGTTGTTTAAGCTTTATCTACAGCTGGCTCTTAGGAAATTGTGTGAAGCATCATTCTGGAGATGATTTTTAAAGGAACAACGTAGAAAGACGATTTTCGATCAGCCTGCGCCTTTAATAACCATGAGGGAAATTTCGGCGCGAAAATTTGAATTCGTGAGGTTTTCCACAGCTGGTTCGTGGTAGAGCGAATGAAGTAGGGTCAGATCTTCTTGGATAAGATATTTAAAGGAGCATAGAAATAAGGCTTTTTCATGAGCCTGCGCCTTTAAAATGAGTCGAGTTTTGGCGCGAAAAGTTGGTTTTTTAAGCTTTATCTACGGCTGGTTTGTAGGAAAATTAAGGAAGTAGGAGCAGGTACTTTAAAAAAAACTTCAAAGGAGCATGGAAAAAATTCTTTTTGGTCAGCGTGCGCCTTTAATAAGCATGAGGGGAATTCGACGCGAAAATTAGAATTCTTGAGGTTTTTCACAGCTAATTCATGGGAAAATGAATGAAGTGTGATCAGATATTTTCGGAGAAGGTCTTTCAAGGAACAGCGTTGAAAAATGCTTTTTGACCAGCCTGCGCCTTTAATAACCATGATTAGAGTATCGGCGCGAAAAGTTGGTTTTTTTGAACTTCATCTACAGCTGGTTCGTAGGAAAACTAAGGGAGTAGGAGCAGGTAATTTGAAAAAAAGACTTTAAAGGAGCATGGAAGGAATGCTTTTCGATCAGCCTGCGCCTTTAAGATGAGTCCAGGTTTTGCGCGCATTTTCTGAACCTGGATAGTTTATTTTCACCATTTTAAAGGTTCCTGGCGACGATGCGGGGGGATTATGGAAAAAAAGAATTTTTTTATGGTAAATTCATATTTTTTTCTGCGAAAGTAGCACTTCCCAGACCTCATTTTCAGGGATTTTTCTGGGAATATTATTTTTTTAGCGGGTTAAAAAGGTGTATGAAGGGAGAAAACACCAGGAAAAGGCTAGAAAAATCCGTTTTTTCAGGTCTCCACGCCTTCCGAATGGAGCACCGAGTTCTGCTCACCGGCACCCCGCTCCAAAATAACATCGAGGAACTTTTCTCCCTCCTGAATTTCCTCCACCCTCAGCAATTCAGCAGCTCTGGTGCATATAAACATAGTTTTTGAGTTCAAAAATATCGATTTTCAGCCGAATTCCTCGAAAATTTCGGCCAATGTCAGTCGGACGAACAGGTCCAGAAGCTCCAGGAGATCCTGAAGCCGATGATGTTGCGAAGACTGAAAGAAGACGTCGAGAAGTCGCTCCAGCCCAAGGAGGAAACCATCATCGAGGTCTGTCTGATCCGTCTGCGCTCTCTTTTCTCTCCGCAGAGAGGAAAGAGAGCTTTTTTAGCTCCACAGAGAGGGAAGAGAGCGCTGAGAAAAAAAGAGATTTTCCAGGTCCAACTGTCCGACACGCAAAAGAAGTACTACCGGGCCATTTTGGAACGGAATTTCACGCATTTGTGCAAAGCTGGTACGTTTTTAAAGTCTGAAATTGGAAAAAATCGAAATTTTCGTGTCCTGGAATACTAGAAAAAAATAATAAAAAAACAGGATATTTTTCAACAAAAAAATTGTGATTTTCTAGGCTTAAAAATTCAATTTTTTTGGCTTAATTTTTTTGATTTTTTTCTTGATTTCAAGCCTAAAAAAACCTGAAATTTTAATATTTTCACTGAAAAAAAGGTATAAATTTTATACAAAAACTTTAAAAAAATCTTTTTATTCTAAAAATTACAGGATCCTCGGCTCCTTCTTTTGATGAATGTCATGATGGAACTCCGAAAATGTTGCAATCATCCCTTCCTCATCCAGGTGATTAATTAATTGTGATCCAGGTAAAATTCAAAAAATTATTCTGGATTTTTACCGTAACCGTGAAAAAAAGACCAAAAAAAGCCGTTTTGAAAAAAAGAATAATAATTAAGAAGGATCATTTTACCGTTTCAAGGAAAAAAATTTAAGAGTCACAAAATATTTTTTTAAAAACGTTTTTTTTGCTATAAAATCTACTTAATGAATTTTTGTTGAAAAATTTTTTTCACGAGGTTAAAAATAAGTTGAAAAAAGAAGAAAATGGCTTTTTGGCGGAATTTTGAACTTTTTTTGAAGGTTTTACGGGAGTTTTTTTGAAGGACTAGAGAATTTGTTTGGAATGTTCCGACCATTTTAAACTTCTTCCATGTTCTTACGTTCATTATGTTTCTTTAAAGTTGACGATTTAAGTTGAAAAAAAGCAGAAAAATGGCTTTTTCGTGGGAATCTTGAAAAATAAAACCTTTTTGGGGTTATTTGGGTACATGTAAAGAGATTAAAAAAATATTTTTTTCAATATTTTTTTGCTCGCTTGAAATTTTGTAATGTTTTTTTGTCGTTGGAAGCTTTTTTTACAATGTGAAAAAAATCTTGAAAAAAAGGCAGAAAAATAGATATTTTTTTCCCTTTGAAAATCGAAAAAAAGTTGCTTTTTGAAATTTTTTTAGGGACGATAAATGATATTTTTTTGAGGTTTTTTTCCGTTTATTTAGAACTTTTTTTCAAGTTTTTTTTCAGTCGTTGGAAGTTTTTTTATAAGATTAAAAAAAGAGGGAAAAAAGCAAAAAAATGGGTTTGTTCTTTTGAAAAATTCGAAAAAGCTTATTGAAGATTTTTTTAGGGACGATAAATGATATTTTTGAGATTTTTTTCCGTTTATTTAGAACTTTTTTTCAAGTTTTTTTAGTCCTTGGAATCTTGTTTGTAGTGTGAAAAACGTTGGAAAAAGCAGAAAATAGATATTTTTCCCTTGAAAATCGAAAAAAAGAAGCTTTTGAAGGTTTTAGGAAACTTTTGAAGACCCTAAAGTACTCCTTTCGAGATTTTACTTGTATTTAATGAGCTCGAGATCTAAATTTCACTTTTTAGGGAGCCGAAGAGGCGATTCTGGCCGAAATGAAACTCCAACATCCGACTTGGGACGACGAGAAGTTGGCCCAAAGAGCTCTGGTCCAAGCGTCCGGAAAAGTTGTCCTCGTCGAGAAATTGCTGCCGAAATTGCGGAAAGATGGCCATAAGGTTTGTTATTTTTTGATGATCTGACCGCGTTTGGAATGGCTCGAAGCCTTGCGGTTACAGTTTTGAAGTTGAAAAGGGTGCAAGTCGTTTTTGGTCGGCTGCGGCTTGTAGTTAAGCTTTTGAAGTTAAATGAGGGCGCGCAAGTCGTTTTTGGTCGGCTGCAGCTTACAGTTGACATTTCCGAGTTGAAAAAGGCGGCGCGAGTCGTTTTTGGTCGGCTGCAGCTTACAGTTACGGCTTCGAACTTGTAAAATTATGCGCAAGTTATTTTTAGTCGGCTGCAGCTTACAGTTGACATTTCTAAGTTGGAAAAAGCGTCGCAAGTCGTTTCTAGTCGACTGCAGCTTTTAGTTACAGTCTCGAAGCTTAAAAAAACGCGCAAGTCGTTTTTTGTCGGCTGCAGTATTAAGTTAGAGTCTCGAAGTTGAAAAACGCCAGCGAAAGCTGTTTTAAGTCGGCTGCAGCTTACAGTTGACATTTATAAGTTGGAGAAGGGCGCGCAAGTCGTTTTCGGTCGGTTGCAGATTAGAGTTACAGTTCTGAAGTTCAAAAAGACGCTTAAGTCGTTTTTGGTCGGTTGCAACTTCCAGTTGAATATTTGATGTTGAAAAAAACGCGAAAGTCGTTTTTGGTCGGCTGCAGATTACAGTTGGATTTTGAACTTAAAAAAAAATCGAAAGTCGTTTTAAGTCGGCTGCAGCTTACAGTTAGAGTCTTGAAAGTGGAAAAAGCGCAAGTTGTTTTTGGTCGGCTGAAATTTCATGATAACTACCTTGAGCGCCTTGAGCTATTTCAAGCGATCAACAAATCAGAAAAGCCTTTGAAAGAATCATTTTTCAGGTCCTGATCTTCTCCCAAATGGTCAAAGTGCTCGATTTGATCGAAGAATTCCTGATCAATATGAATTATCCGTTCGAGAGGATCGATGGAAATGTCCGGGGCGAAATTCGACAAGCTTCAATCGATCGATTCAGTCGCGAAAGTTGGTTTTTATTGATTTATTTTGGGTTTTTTGGGGCTCTCCAAGTGTAAAAAATTCTTTGGGAATGTATTTCTTTCAATTTTTACCCTGGATTTTGATTCTGTAACGAGTTTTCTGTACAAAATTTATCAAAAGAAGGCGAAAAAGGCATATTTTTTGGATTTTTCAGACTTGGCTGCGTTTTTCTTGAGAATGGCTTCATATAATACATTTTTAAAAGTTTGAAAAATTTCCAGAAATTTTTTTCATTTCTTTTATAAAATGCTTCAATAAGGACTTGAGGGGTTATGAATCGACTAAAAATCAAAATTAGAAGTTGTAGAGTTTTTTTTGGCTTGAAGCCCGTTTTTTCCGGACTTGGCAATGAAAAAACGAATTTTGAACCTTTTTTCAGATTCCGATCGATTCGTCTTCCTTCTCTGCACCCGAGCCGGTGGCCTGGGTATCAATTTGACGGCCGCCGATACGGTCATCATTTTTGACTCGGACTGGAACCCGCAGAACGACCTCCAAGCGCAGGCCAGGTAGTTGGGGAAGAAGAGAATTTGGGTTTTTTGAGGATTTTGAGGGTTCAAAATATAGTCAAAAAAGGGGGTTCTGACTTGAAAATAGGTTTTTTGGAGAATTTTCTTTGACAATTTCGAATCTGGAGTATTGAAAAAATAAAATAATAGTATTTTTAACACGGTTTCTTGACGGAAAAACCAAACTTTTTTATTTTTCGAGAAAGAAGGTCCCAAAGTTTGAAAAATGTCGATTTTTAATCTTTTTGTTTTTGGTCGGTCGCGCAAGTTGTTTTTGATCGGTTGCAGTTGCCATCTAGAATTTTGAATTCGGAAAAGGGCACAAAAGCCGTTTTTGGTCGGCTGCAGCTTACAGTTGACATTTCCTTTTCGAATTTTTCGCTAAATTTTGAGCGGATTTTTGAAAAGAAGTATTTTAATTTCAAGTCGAAAAATAGATCATAACCATGCGTGGGCACTTAATAAGTCCGGGGGAGGTAGAGCCTTGCTAAAAATCATGAAAAAAATAAGGAACAAGGTCAAATTTTTTTAAGAAAAAAAGAGGAGGGGGAAGCTTGGTATTAAGTTAGTTGGGGGAACTTTAATATAAAAAAACATGGGAGGAGGTGATGGCGTCCTTTTGAAACGGTCTGCCCATGTATTGCCGATTCAAGCCTAGCCCTCAAATTAAAAATAACCCCCGGGTCTTTTTAGGACACTAATCTTTATAGAAATCGGCAAAAGAAAACTTTTTTTTATTACTGCCTTTTTTTATTGTTTTTTTAGGGTCATATTTTGAAGTTATATCTGATTCACGGCTAGCTTTGGAGGCTGAGGGGGCGTGGCCTGTCTGCGCTCTCCATCAACCAGATACTGCCTCTTTTCTTATCGTGTCAAGACCTATTTTTCGATGGCTCAAGACAGCCGTGAATCAGCTATATGCTCACAACGAAAGATCAAAAAGTTCCCTGACGAAAATCAGCTCGAAAATTTCCACAGATGCCATCGAATCGGACAGAAAAAGATGGTGAAGGTCTACCGGCTGGTCACCGCCAACACCTACGAGCGGGAGATGTTCGACAAAGCCTCCCTGAAACTGGGACTCGACCGGGCCGTCCTCCAATCCACCACCGCCTTGAAGGAGAGCAGCACCGCCCTGAGCAAGAAAGACATTGAGGATCTCCTCAAAAAGGTGAAAAAATGGAATTTTTGAAGATTTTTGGGCTGAAAATACCTATTTTTCTCGTGAAAAAAGGGAAATTTTCATTTTTCTTCTGCAAAAGGGCCTCTGAAAGAAAAAAAGGACATTTTTCTCCGAATCAGTCTGAAATTTTGACCATTTTTGGGCTGAAATCATTTATTTTTCTCGTGAAAAAAGGCGAATTTTCATTTTTCTTGTGAAAAAGGGACTCTGAAGGAAGACATTTTCCTCAATAAATTGAATTTTTGACCTTTTTTGGGCTGAAAAACTTATTTTTTCTAGCAAAAAAAGGCTTTTGAAAGTTTTGGCAATGTTGGAAGGGTCGAAAATGAGGTGGAGAAGGTTTTTTTATGAAATTTTGAAGTTTTTTTATACGATTTTTTTAAAGATCAAAAAGTCAAAAAGTTCAAAAAAAGTAGTCAAAAAAAGCCCAAAAAAAGCAGAAAAATGAGAAATTTTTTTAGCCGAGATTTTTGAAAAATTTGATGGGAAATGGACTGAAAAAAAGCAAAAATTTTCATTGAAAAAAACGGTATTTTTTTGGTTTATTTTGAAACTTTTTGTGAAATTTCGAAAAATAGAATTTTTATTTCATTTATTGTAGCCGATTTTATTGATTTTTTTCCACACGAATTTCTTCATTTTATGTAACTTTAAGCGATTCGCATGAAATTGAGTCACTAAAAGAACTGAAAATGGCCCAAAAATGTGAAGAAAAAGGAAAATTTTTCAAAAGAAACGATTTTTACTGATTTTTCTACAAGAATTTCTTCATTTTATGCAATTTTAAGTCGTTTTCAAGCCATTTTCAACGATTTTTGGTTATTTTCAAGCGATTTTAATCAATTTACAAAGTTGTTTTAGTCTCTAAAAACTCTGAAAAAAAAATAATGAAATTTCCGATCCAATATCTCAATTTTCTATCATTTCTAGGGAGCCTACGGGTCAATCATGGACGAGAATAACGAAGCGAGCAAATTTAATGAGGAAGATATCGATACGATCCTCCAGCGCAGAACCACCACCATTACCTTGGAGGCCGGCCAGAAGGTTTTTTCAGAAAATTTCAGAGAAAATGAACATTTTTCAGGGTTCCCTTTTCGCGAAAGCTTCATTCAATTCGACGCACAACAAGGGCGACGACATTGACATCGATGATCCGGAATTTTGGACCAAATGGGCGGAGAAAGCGCAGGTAAAAAGGAGGAATTTTGAAATTTTCGACCGAAAATCAACTTTTTTGCACTGATTATTTTTGGTTTTTTAGTCTCAAATTTTGGAAGATTTCTTGATTGTTGAATGAAAGTAGACAGTTTGAAGCTTTTTGTAATGGTTTTTCATAGAAATTTCGAGAATTTTGCAATTTTTGGGTCAAAAATGAGCTTTTTGTGGCTTTTATGGAACCAATTTATTAAGAAAAAAATTCTCAAAGGATTCTCAAAAAAACATTTTTTTGATGAAAAAAAGAGGAAATTTGAATTTTTTTCGACCAATTTTCGCTTGAAAAAAACCACTTTTTTTGCCCCGAAAAAAATTTTTGAAATTTTGGGTTTTTTTCAGCTCAAAATGATTATTTTTTTGGTTTTTTTGGTCTCAAAAATTTAAGTCAAGCATGTTTTTTTCACTATATTTGAGGGTCTTTTGAAGCCCTGGATCAAGAAGTTTGGGTTCAAATTGATGAAATTTTTGAAAAAGTTTTGAAAAAAATCACTAAAGGAGGAGCCATAATTCAAGAGTTTTCTAATGATTTCTTGGATTTTTGAATGAAAGTAAAGAATTTGAAGCTTTTGTAATGGTTTTTTTCATAGAAATTTTTGAGAATTTTGCAATTTTTTGGTTCAAAAAGGACCTTTTCGGGATCTCTATGGAACCAATTTATTTAAAAAAATGTTTTTAAAGGATTCCCAAAGAAGATTTTTTTGCAATAATCAAAGATTTTTTTGATTGAAAAAAAGAGCAAAAATTAAAGCGTTTGTAGCGGTTTTAATGGAAATTTCATAAATTTTGCAATTTTTTTGGCTTAAAAATGACCTTTTCGGGGTCTCTATGGTACCAATTTATGAAGAAAAAAATTTTTATAAAAAGGTTCCCAAAGGGGATTTTTTTGATGAAAAAAAGATCAAAATTGAAGTTTTGGAGTGGTTTTTTTCCATGAAAATAGGGATGATACTCTCAATTTTCGGTTAAAAAAATGGCTTTTTTTGACAAATTCTGAACGATTTTCTAAAGAAAAAAATCATTAAAAAAAGGAAAAACAAAAAAAGATTTTTAATGCAAAGACGGACATTTTAATGATGATTTCATAAGAATTTTCATCTTTTTCCCGCAGGTCGACGTCGAAAAAGCGACGGCAACGCCTGACGGCCGAGAATTGATCATCCAAGAACCCCGGAAAAGAACTCAGCGATTCGAAAACACCCTGAAAGAAGAGGAAGACAGCGACGGAAGCGACGAGAATGGAAAATCCCGCGGAACCAAGAGAGGAGGTCGGTTTTAGAGCCTCTTAAGGGGTCACTTCGGAAGAAAACGCAGGTTTCACAGTAAAAATGGACAGAAAATCGACCAATTTCCACAAAGAACTCTGTAAAATTTGCTCCAAGGGACGGTAGTTATCTAGTGGTCCATCAAGGGATTTTGGAGCCACTTTAGGGATCACTTGAAAGAACAGCGAAGTCTCGATTCTCAGGAGAATTCCCGCGGAACCAAGAATTATGGACAGAAAATCGACCAAAATTTTCTCCAAGGAAGTTTGGTATTTAGTGGTCCCTCAAGGGGTTTTAGAGCCTCTTAAGTGGTCACTTGAGAGAACAGAATCGTCTTGGAAATGATCCTGGAATTCACAGTGAAAATGGACAGAAAAGGATCGATTTTCGCAAAGAATTTTGTTAAATTTGCTCCAAGGGACGGTAGTTATTTAGTGGTCCTTTAAGGGGTTTTAAGGCACTTTTTTAGTGATCCCTTGAGAGGACAGCTCGATTTTTGGAAATAAAATGCAGCCCTCATGGTAAAAAGTGACAGAAAATCACCGAACACTCTGTAAAACTTGCCCCAAGAAACGGTAGTTATCGAGTGGCCCCTTAAGGGGTTTCAGAGCATCTTTAGAGATCTCTTGGAAAAATCGTCTTGCAACATCACGAGTTTAAGTTAAAGAGACCTTTACAAAAAAAAAAAAATGAAGAAAGTGACAAAAACATTGATTAGTTCCGTAGAGCGCAGATGACTTTGAACATTAATTCTTCGGAGGCTCAATTGGAACTTTTTCATAAAGTTCCTTAGAAACGTTAGAGTGGTCCCTAGAGGGGTTCGGGAAAAAAACAGCCTCTACAGAGAGCAAAAAGTGCTCCCTAAAGGGATAACATTTAGGTCTCTCTATACTGGGAGTTAAAGTGGCCCCCAAAGGGGAACCTTTAAATACCTTCAAGTTTGCCCCTCTAGGGACCACTCTGAAGCTGCTAAGTATTATTCAAACTTTTAATCGCCAAAATTTTCAGGCCAATCATCACTGAACAGCCGGAAAAGACGACGTGGCGACGATGAAGATGGAGATTATAATTTCAATCGGCCCGATGAATTGGCGATTCACAAGACGGAGTACTTCAAAGTGTGTATTTACCTTGATGAAATATTATACTTGATCGAAAAATAATTATTATGAACTTTTTCAGGTCGAAAAGGTGCTGGCTCAATGGGGCTGGGGACGATGGGCCGAGATCAAGAAGAATGGAGAGTTTGAGGTGAATTTTATTAAATTTGTGCTCGTTGTAGTTTTTACCGGATTATTTTGGAAAGTTTGAGAGTTTTGCGAAATAGTGTACGGAAAGAAGAGGTTCAGACGTCTTAGTAGCATTTTTTTTTTGTGAGCTGTTGGTTCAAAACTCCTTTGAGACGGGTTGAATTGAAAAATCGGGGCTAAAAAATTTCTTGGCGTCACTTGCACTTTCTCTGAGTTGCGACCGACCCTATGCGGTTTGCGCGCTGGAGCAACCTATAGTATTTAAGCGATGCCTTAAGTCGTTCAAAGTGCGGCCAAAATGGAATTTCTCAATGTAACGCGCCCGACCTATTACGGTTTGCGCGTTGAAGCTTCCGAGAATGTTAGAGATGCTTTTAGCCATTCCAAGTGCGACCAAATTTTCTAATGAAACGCGCCCGACCCCATACGGTTTTAGCAAGGGAGCATCCAAAAGTGTTTGGACGATCATCTAGGTTAAACGGTGCTCTTCGCCGTTCAAGGTGCGACCAAAATAGAGTTGCCTAATAAAATGCGCCCGACCCGATACGGTTTTCGCGCTGAAGCTTCCGAGAGTTTTAGAGAGATCATCTAGAGATGCTTTTAGCCATTCCAAGTGCGACCAAATTTTCTAATGAAACGCGCCCGACCCCATACGGTTTTAGCAAGGGAGCATCCAAAAGTGTTTGGACGATCATCTAGGTTAAACGGTGCTCTTCGCCGTTCAAGGTGCGACCAAAATAGAGTTGCCTAATAAAATGCGCCCGACCCGATACGGTTTTCGCGCTGAAGCTTCCGAGAGTTTTAGAGAGATCATCTAGAGATGCTTTTAGCCATTCCAAGTGCGACCAAATTTTCTAATGAAACGCGCCCGACCCCGATACGGTTTTAGCAAGGGAAGCATCCAAAAAGTGTTTGGACGATCATCTAGGTTAAACGGTGCTCTTCGCCGTTCAAGGTGCGACCAAAAATAGAGTTGCCTAATAAAAATGCGCCCGACCCGATACGGTTTTCGCGCTGAAGCTTCCGAGAGTTTTTAGAGAGATCATCTAGAGATGCTTTTTAGCCATTCCAAGTGCGACCAAATTTTTCTAATGAAACGCGCCCGACCCGATACGGTTTGCGCAAGGAAGCATCCAAAAGTGTTTGGACGATCATCTAGGTTAAACGGTGCTCTTCGCCGTTCAAGGTGCGACCAAAATAGAGTTGCCTAATAAAATGCGCCCGACCCGATACGGTTTTCGCGCTGAAGCTTCCGAGAGTTTTGGAGAGATCATTTAGAGATGCTTTTAGCCATTCCAAGTGCGACCATATTTTATAAAGAAACGCGCCCGACCCGATACGGTTTGCGCAAGGAAGCATCCAAAAGTGTTTGGACGATCATCTAGGTTAAACGGTGCTCTTCGCCGTTCAAGGTGCGACCAAAATAGAGTTGCCTAATAAAATGCGCCCGACCCGATACGGTTTTCGCGCTGAAGCTTCCGAGAGTTTTAGAGAGATCATCTAGAGATGCTTTTAGCCATTCCAAGTGCGACCAAATTTTCTAATGAAACGCGCCCGACCCGATACGGTTTGCGCAAGGAAGCATCCAAAAGTGTTTGGACGATCATCTAGGTTAAACGGTGCTCTTCGCCGTTCAAGGTGCGACCAAAATAGAGTTGCCTAATAAAATGCGCCCGACCCGATACGGTTTTCGCGCTGAAGCTTCCGAGAGTTTTAGAGAGATCATCTAGAGATGCTTTTTTTTCCAAGTGCGACCATATTTTATAAAGAAACGCGCCCGACCCGATACGGTTTGCGCAAGGAAGCATCCAAAAGTGTTTGAGCGATCATCTAGGTTAAACGGTACTCTTAGCCATTCCAATTGCGACCAAAATAGAGTTTCCTGCGGCGCGCCCGACCTGATACGGTTTACGCAACGGAGCATCCAATAAGAAAATTTTAGAGGAAAATATTAAATTTGAACTCGTTCCAGATGTCGGAACTGGACATTGAGCACATGTCGCGGATCCTCCTCCTACACTGCTTGAGGGAGTTCCGAGGCGAGGATCGGGTCCGACAGTTCGTCTTCACCCTGATAGCGCCCGAGGGCGCAAAAGTCCCGAAAAATGACCCGAACTCGGCCAAAAATCCGGCCGCCTCGATTTATCATCAGGTTTGAACTAGTTCATTCTCAATGGAGTATCTCTTTTTCGCTTCTTCGAAGAAGTTCCCGAATTTTCAGGGCTGGGCCGCACTGCCCGAGTTCAACCCGCCGAGTTTCGTCCTGGACTCCTCGTTCCAACGTCACGTCCATCGACACGCCAACAAGCTGATGGTCAAGATCGATCAGTTGAAACACCTCGAGACGGTTCGGAATTCAAGGAAAACTGGAAGAAAATGAAAGGTTCCAGAGGATTCTGGCGGATCAGACGAAGTTGGCCGAGGACCCGGAGACTTCCTGGGACAAAATCGAGCTGAAAGACCTGCCGCCGCTCGTCGAGACTTTTGTCGACGGATGGGACGCCGATTGCGATAAATCCCTGCTCATTGGCGTTTGGCGACATGGTTGGTTTCGAAAATGGCCCAATTTAACTGACGACATCGCGCGCGATATAGCCAAAACTTGCGATGTCGCAAAAGTTTCGCTGAGTTATCGCGAAAAAAATATGAGGAAAGGTTGCTCCATCGTACAGCAGCTCCTACTATCCCCGAAAAATAATATTATAACGAAAAACATTTTGAAATCCCGCCAAAAAATATGAGGAAAGGTTGCTCCATCGTACAGCAGCTCCTACTATCCCCGAAAAATAATATTATAACGAAAAAAAATTTGAAATCCCGCCAAAAAAAGTATGCGGAAAAAGATCAATTTTTTTGCTGATTTTTTTGACTATTATAATGAAATCGAAAAAAATGCGACATTGCGGGCGATATACCGAAAAATTGCGATGTCGTCAAAGTCTCGCGGCCTTATCGCGAAATTTAAAAAAATTAATTTTGATGATTTTTTTGTTTTTTTATAATTTATTTAGAAAGTGCGAGACTTTCGCGATGTCGCGGGAGAGTCAAGCGATATCGCGCGCGACATAGCGTTGTTCTCGCTGCGTTAAAAAGCTATAATATTGAGTGAAAATGCCTTGAATCAAATAATATTTCCACGCATTTAATTCTCGCGTTTTTCTCGGCGCGACATCGCGTGTTTTGCTTTTTTTTTTCCGCGACATCGCGTTTCGAAAACTCTCGAATTTTTTTGAAGAGAATAAATGGAGAAGAGAAAAAAAAAATGCGAGGTCGCGCCAAGTGAAATTGCGAGTCTTCCGTGGCGATAAAGCGTTTCATTTGCGAAGTCGCGAGCGTCATCGCGTTTCTCTCGCGGCTTCAGTGTGACTGTTCTCGAGTCGCAAAAATTCTCAAATTTACAAAAAGGGCGTTTTTCCAGGCCTTGAAAACTACGAGACGATGAAAGCCGACGAGAAGCTCTGTTTCCACACGAAAAACATCCCGACTTGGCCGGGAGCCACGGAATTGTCCCTGAGATTCAGAAGATTGCTGGCCGCCAGCCAGAGGAGTGTCCACGATCCGACCTACGATCGATTGAAGTGATTTTTTTTTTGGAAATGAGAAAGATTTGACAGGGTAATGATAGGTTTGTGTTGGAGAACGGACTTGGAAAAAAATAATTTTTCAGATATTTTTATAGAAATAAAGGTTTTATTAGGTTGTTGGGAGCTTAAAAATAATCATTTTGAGTTTTTTTCAGAAGGTTCAGATTTTTTTAAAGGTTCAAGGTTGAGATTTTTGAGCCGGAAGTTAAATTATATAGTTCAGAAAAAGGAATTTTCGATTTTTTTCCACATGGATTTGGCTTCATTTTTTTCTGTTTTTTTCCAGGTGGAATCGGCGAGAAGAAGCGGAATTTTTTTGCGAATTCTTCGATCCTATGGCATCAAGGATGTTCGAGGTACTGATATTAATACGAAAAAAATTAACTGAATTTCAAAAAAAGTGGTCAAAAATTTTGAAAAAAATTCCGGATTTTTTTCGGTTTTTTTGATGATTTTTTTAGCTTTAAAAAAAGGGTTGTAGGAAGATCTGGAGGAATATCAAAAAAATTGTCCAAAAAAATAATTTTTTTAGATTCGAAGGTTTAGAAGTCTCCCATGTAGAAAGTTAACGTTGGAAAAACGCTTTTTACCTTGATAAATTTTAAAAAAACGTTCAATTTTGAAATTGAGTTAGAATCTCTGAGAAGCTTGATCCAAGACTGGTCCAATTTTTGAAAATTGGCGCCAAAAATTGACCCAAACAAAGAACCCATGATTTTTCTAGGCGACCCAACTCGCATCGATTGGGACTCGTTCCGCGCATTTTCGCCCCTTTTGGACAAAAAACCCGATGAGGAAATGCAAGAGGAACTCTACTGCGTCCTGGCCATGTGTACGAAGGTAACAAATGTGAATTTTTTTCGTCAGGTTTTGGTGAAAATCCAGTTTGATAGTTTTTATACAGAGGGGTATGGTCAGTGAAGAATGAGGCTTGATATTTTTATTCTTATTTTCAAAGCTTTTGATTATAGCCGATCCATAGGTAGCTTAAGAATCCAAAGGGGCGTGTCTTGTCTCCACCAACTGATAACTATTCATTTCAAAATCGTGTCAGGACCATTTTTTCGCTGGCTCAAAAGAGCTGTAAGCTATCGTTGTTTTTCATCAGTTTTGAAAAAAAAAATGAGAAAAGTATCTGAAAAGAGAGATCAAAGGCGGGTTGAAAAGACACCAGAGAATGAGGTTTTTTCACTGGCTTCTCTTCACCATTTCTGTCTGGTTCGAAGAAAGAAATTTAATAAAGTGGTTTGAAAATATACGAAAAATCAACGAAAATCAGTAAACGAAGTACAAAAGTTTATAGTTCTCGAAAAAAAGACACCCTAGAGCTCGAGAAAATCTTGAAAATTGAAAAAAGAGTGATTTCAACGAGACTAGAAGGCTATGGAGGTTCTAAGTCTCATTAGGGATTTTTTTCGGTCGAATTTTAGCAATTTTTTTTAAAGTAATTACTCGGACCTTGGTAACGTGAAACGGACGTACTCCGGACGTTCCTAAGCATTTCTAAGGATCACTTGAATGACGCCACTAAAGGGATCACTCGAAATCCCACGACACTTCCGATTCGCGTTACCAAGGTTCGATTATAACTGTTTCACGTTCATCTGTAGCCATTGAAAAACGGGTCCTGACACGAAACAAGGAAACAGTACCTGGTTTATGGAGAGTATACACAGGCCACGCCCCATTAAAACTTTTTTCGAATTTCGAAGGAAATGTAAAAGTATAAGTCTCATAAAAATGGTTGAAGAATTGATCTCAATCATTCTTTTTTAGGCCCAAGGCGGCGAATTATCGCCAATGGACCTGAAAAGAGCCATGTCCGTCGAGGCGCTCAACACGAGAAGAGCCATTCGGTTCATGAATCGGCTGCATCTGACTAGAAAGGTAATATTTCCTGTCGAAAATCCAAACTTATATCTTCTTTCAGATCCACGCCCTCGCTGAGAAGATCGACCAGCAGCCGAACATGAAGTTGTGCTCGACCGAAGCGATGCCGTCCGGCTGGACCCATCAACATGATCACGACCTCATCGAGATCTGCGATCAGTTCGGAATCGATGGAATCACCAACAATCTCCTCCAGAAGAGCTCCTTCGAAAAAGTCGGAAAGATCGCCAAAATTCCGCAAATCTGTGGTTTTCAGATCGTCCGTCCTTCGGAAAGAACCCTGCTCCGACGCGTTTTGGAGATCGTCTCAACGGTTGAAACCGGAAAGTGGAATGGGGCCGCCGACGTCGACACCATCGAAGACAGCGACACCGAGGAGAAGAGAGAAGCCGTCGCCGCGGCTCAAGCTGCCAGAATCGCCGTCAGCCAGAATTCGGCGGTAATTTTAGGAATCAGCACGTCTTCAACGTTCTCTTTCAGCAACCCGGAAGACGTGGCCGAAAACGGGCCGCCGTCCAGAGCGACAACGACGCCAAGATGCGCGCCGTCATGCAGCAACTTCTTCTGGCTGGCGGAGGCGGATCGGCTAACGACCTCAGCGCCGCCCTCCTCCAGTCCATGCTCATGGGCACCCTGGCCGGAGCTTCCTCCTCCTCCTCGTCCTCGTCGGCGGCTGCGAACAACGCCGCCGCCGCTCAGATCATGGCCAGCCTTCTCGCCATGAGCAGTGAGTTTTGGATTTTGGTTTCTGAGTTTGAACTTGATGGTTGAGATCTGACCAATAAAGTCTGAGTATGAACTTGGCATAGCTAAAAGCATTTTCTAGTGCGGCTAGGACTCATCATAGCTTCAAAACGGCATAGATTAGCTAGGCTAGAGCTTCTCTAACTTTACTGATCTGACTAACCTTGGTAAAAATCCTAGAAGTTCAGAACAGCTTGGCTTGAGCATGAACTTGGCATAGTTACAGCTCATTAAACCGATTTTTATTATGGCTAAGACTCATCAAAACTTCAGAATGGCTCAATTTCATAGATTAGCATGGCTAAAGCTAGTTTATCTCTGAGTTGGCCTTAGTAAATCATCCAAGAAGTTCAACTTGACTTGAGCATGAACTTGGCATGGTTGCAGCTCATTAAACTGATGTCTAGTATGGCTGAGACTTATGAGAACTTCAGAAGGTCATAGATCAGTATGGCTAGAGCTCGTTTAGTTCTACTGATCTGACTAACCTTGGTCAAACTTCAAAGAAGTTCAAAACAGCTCGACTTGAGCATGAACTTGGCACAGCTAAAACTTGTAAGACCGATTTCTAGCTTGGTTAAGACTCATCAGCACTTCAAAACGGCATAGATCAGTTTGGCTAGAGCTCGTTTAGTGCTACTGATCTGACTAACCTTGGTAAAACTCCTGGAAGTTCAGAACAGCTTGACTTTTGAGCATGAACCTCTGAAGATCAGATTTTGGCATGGCTAGGATCTTCGCAGATCAGATTTTAGTATGGCTAGGAGCTATCAGAACTTCGAAACACTCCCAAGGACTTTTTCGAGAGAAGCTAGCATAAGTGGAACCTGTAGGATGAGTTTTCACTATGAAAAGACCCATCAGAACTTCAGAACAGCTGGAATTCAGTTATACCAGAGTTCATCAGAACTAGAACTGGTTAGACGGAATTTTAGTAAGTCTGGCTTGTCAAATCTTCAGAATATGAAATCTTTCTGAATTTTCAGTAGGACTAAGACCTGTCAGAACTTCAGAACAGCGGGAATTTGATTATATTAGAGTTTATCAGAACTAGAGTCGGCCAGACCAAATTTTAGCATGTCTGGCTTGTCAGAAATTTGGAATACTTAGGAACCACCTAGACCTGTTAAGAAGGCTCGTCAAGATCAGATTTGATTTTAGAAGAAGATTAGGGTCAAAAACTTTCCAATGGGACATTTGCATGGCTAGACCAGATTCTAGCATTGCTCCATGAACCAAAACTCTGAAGAAACAACTGACTGAAAACCTAAATTTCAGTGGCCGCCCAACCGTCAACCTCCGGAGCCTCCTCGAGCAAGTCCAGCTCAAACGCCCAGGCTCAGGCTCAAGCGGCGACCGCGGCAGCCCTAGCCGCAGCTCTCGGCACTGACTTCAGCGCCCTGATGCCGTCGACGTCTTCGACCCCGGCCGCCAGCTCGTCCTCCGCCACGACTTCCAACACTCCGTCGGCCGCCGACGCCATCAACCTCGCCACCAACGGACCTTCGACCTCGGCGACGCCGAGCTCGTCTCGAAGGAAGCCGGTCAAGCAAGAGTCCTCGAACTCGTTGGCGGGCACCTCGTCCAGCTCCACGATGAGCGCCGCCGCGAAGCAAGCCGCCCAGGAACAGCAGCTTTTCCAGCAGTTGGCCGCAAGTGGCTTGGGAATGGCTGAGCTTCTGATGTTGTCGCAGTTGCCTAGTGGTGAGTTGGGGGAAGAAATAGCCGCGTTTTACAGAAAAAAACGGACTATTTGAAACATTTTGATGTCTCCTAAAGTCTCGACAAAATAGCCATGGTCCTTAGAAATCTGAAAAAATGAAAAAATTCTGCGAAAAAATGAAATTAGCCCTGGAGCACACTTTCATTGATATTAAATATTTTCCACGGCTGTTTTTTCCATTTTTTTGAGCTCGGAAAAAATGCTTTCTGCATCAATTTTTAGTGTAGAGATCACCGAAAATCCGCTAATAATTTTTTTTCCAGAAACTCGAATCCCGGTGATGCACAACAAGACCCGGGAACGTCTCCCAACTCACTTGGGACCTCAAATCAAGGACATCGCCCCGTGGCTGGTCATGAACCCGGAATACATCGTCGACCTGCAAAATCAAGGCAAAGAGCCGTCTTCATCCTCTGGAGCTGCAGCATCTGCTGCGGCTGCCAAAGTCGAATCGACGCCGTCTAGCGCCAAACCTTCGGCACCGCCCACTCCGGCCCCCGCCGCTGCGACGCCGGCGCCGACGACGTCTTCTGTCCCCGCCACCCCCAAGGCGACCAGTCCGAAGTGGGTATTTTGAATCAGAGTCGACTTTTGGAGGGTCTGAGGAAAGAAAACTATGTTTGAAAGTTGGTATTGATCTCAGACGGCGTCCTGTAAATGATCAAAAGGATCTGGAAAGTTTTTACTTTGAACTGAGGTCGATTTTTGGCGTTATGTAGATTTTAATCTTCAGAAGGGTCCAGAAAGGCCGAAATCGTTTCAACAACATATTATCTTCTCAGAAAGTTGAAAAATATCTAGGAAAGTTTTTAGAGGCCACTGTAGGGTTTTGACGTTCTAGTGGCCGCTGTAGGGTTTTGGTGTTTGAGTGGCCACCATAGGGTTTTGACGGTTTAGTGGCCACTATAGAGGTCCAATCAGTCACCACTTAAGGGGTTAAAGTTTTGAATATTTATTTCACTCCAATACATAAAATAACATGAGCTATAAAGAAAGAGGCAAAGTTGGGCAAGAATTGTATGGGAGTGAAATGAGCACCGGTTTTAATACGCCCTCACGAGCGAATTTACCGGTATAGGGAATAGAACACGTAGAAGGATTTTTTTGATCACAGTAGACGTAAGGGAATGTTGGAAAAGAGTTCTTCGTTGCTTAGCGAGTCGAGAAACTTTCTGAAACGGGTGGTAGACGTGTTAGGGTTGAATCTTGAGCAGAGTCTATTCCAAAGAGGAATGACAGTGCTAAAAAAACTATTAAATCGGGAACCAGTCTGAATCAAACGAAAAGGATACCGAGGTGAACGACTTCTACTGAAAAACTTTTCTGCGCTAGGAAAGTGGTAAATGCCCAGGACGATTTTTTGAAGCGTTACTAGAGCAATAGAAGTTCTCCTACGGAAAACATGAGTAGAACCGAGTACATCAAGGCGATGGGAGTATGTGTCAAAGGATTTATTACGTCTCATGAAAAACTTGCCTAGTATAATGACGGTAAGGTTTTTTTCAAGGAGGACGGAAAGTTCTGAATTTATAGGCGGTGAGAAGATTTCAGAGCAATAGTCAAGATAGGGTCTAGCATACATGTTGAATAGTAAATTATACTGCTGGATGTTCAAGTGAGCAAAAGCTTTGAGCAGCTGTTTAGATTTGAGAGTGGCAATGTTGACTACATGATTAATGTGAGGGCTGAAACACAAATTTTTATCGATAAGGAGACCGAGGTCTCTGACAACAGTTTCAGATCGAATAGGTGAGCCATTAACATTGTAAACATGTTCAGGATTGTTTCTGCCTAGATGAAGTGGCCACTATAGAGGTCTAAGTGTGACTACTAGACCACTAAAACTTTGAGTGGCCACTTTAGGGGTCAATGGATCAATATAACTGGTCCAACCTGTTTTTTTTTTAAGTTATCAGAGTTAATGGAAGAAATACTGGATGAAAAACTACTGAAGTGGCCACTTAATAGAGAATTTCTATAGTGGCCACTAAAAATTTTCCCAGATCGTCTGAACATATATTTCTACAGGTTGGAAAAGACAGGAAGAAAAAATGGAAACCATGTCAATTTTTAGAAGATGTTATTGATAGAAGGACACAGAGAAAATCAATCAGCGAAATTTACTCAAAATAATAAAACTTGACTGAAACGTACATCTCCTTAGTACACTTGAACAACTAAAAGTTCCCTTTTTTCAGACTCGAGCCCGGAGAAATCCCGAAAAAGGCCTCGGCGACGGCCAACGTCAAAACCGGCGCCACCTTCAAGCTGGATGATCCCATCGCCATGTACAATCGGTAAGGGTTTCAGGAAATAATCAAAAAATCATGGTTTTTCAGGAAAACCGGCATGATGACCCCCGCGCAGACGTGGCCCTACGCGACGAATTTGTCGACCTATCTCGACGCAAATCCGGAAATGAACGTCCATTCCAGCTGTGCTCTGGTGGCTCAGGTGAGAAACGGAATTTTTGGAAAAAATGAAAAAAAGATCCCCTAGAGTGACCACTTACCATCTATGGACCACTTAAAGCGGGTATTCATTCTCCTCTAGGGACCACTTGAAGCGGATATTCATTCTCCTCTAGGGACCACTTGAAGCGGTTCATCTACGCATCTTTAGTGACCACTTTAATTGATCACTTACGGCTCTCTAGGGGCCACTTGAAGTATTCACTTACGCTCTAGGGAACACTTGAAGGGGTCACTTTCTCTTCTCTAGGGAGCATTTTAAGTGACTATTCACGCTTCTTTAGGGGCTACTAAAGGGATCACTTTCTCTTCTCTAGGGACCACTTGAAGTGATCACTTTCTCTTTCAAGAGCCCCTTGACGTGGCTATTTACGCTTCTCTAGGGGCCACTTGAAGTGGTTCATCTACACCTCTTTAGTGACCTATTGAAGTGATCACTGAATCCTCTCCAGGGGCCACTTGAATTGATTAAATACGCCTCTCTAGGGACCACTTGAAGAGGACTTTATCTCTGTTTTACCCTTGAAAGATTTGAAAAGGAAATTTTTGGAACTGAACACTTATCACTGAACACTTATCACTGAACACAAAATGATCATTTTCCAAAAGTCGTTCACTTTAGAAGAGCATCCCTAATGTGTTTGCGGACTTTTCGGAGTTACAGTAACCATTATATCCAAAAAATAAAAAAATATCAACTTTGGCTTCATTAAAGGTTGACCTTGGAGGCTATTTTTGCTCTTTGAAGTTTTTCAAGTGTCTCGAAGCGAAAGCGCAAAAAACATCTTGCTTTACTGTAGCTTTTTTGAAAACGTGCGGAATAGCTTAAATACCGCAAAAAACTTCTTTTGAGGTTTAGAAGCTTCAAAATTTGTAAAGTAAACTTGAGAATTTTGCAGCTCCTGGTCGGTACCACCCATGCGGAAAGGATCGGCGGCGAACCGGCCGAGGGAAAAGTCATCGCCTCGACGCCGTCGGCCAGCCGAACCCCGGCCTCGATCACGGCCGGAACTTCCGCAGGGAACAGTTCGACCTCCGTCGTCACCCCGGTCGCCAAGGCTTCCAGTAGCTCTCGACAAGGTTTCGACAAGTCCCGAGCTCGAGTTCCAAGCGGAAGTCGTTCAGGAACCAGCCAGCCGAGCACCTCTTCCGCCTCGGACCTCCTCGTGAAACAGCAGATGGAGGCGTTCCAGATGCAGATGCTCCTCCAGCAGGCCGTCCTGCAGCAGTCGATGATGGCGATGAACCCGTACGCCGCCATGGCGTCGGGCTCCAACATGGCTGGAAGCTCTAAGGTAATACTTTCATCTGCCCTAAACGCCGGCATTTGAATCAAGTGTGCGTAGCGGTTGCGTCGCTAATGATGGTCGCATTGGGAGTGGCTGACCCGCAACGCGACCGCGACGCTCCCACATACATTTTTAATATAGCGATTTAAATAATTTATCAATTCATATATATATGAGTGCGAAGCGGTCGCGTCGCGTTTTGGGGCTAATTTAAATTTCCCGCATTTTTGAACTTTTCATGGTCGCATTGAGAATGGCTGAGCCGCAACGCAACCGCGACGCTTCAAGCAATTCCACGTACGTTCTTCGATTTTTATCATTTTTTCCGATAACGGAAAGTTTGCCCTACCGGGAAACTGTGGCGGGAAAATTCAAAAACAGGGCCAGAAAATTAGTTTGTAGTTTGATCGACAGACCTTTCGTCAAAGCCTGATTTCTCTGCGCTCTCTTGTTCAAATTCTATTTCCAACTTTCTCTAACCTCGCTGAAGAGATAGAGAGAAAAGAGAGCGCAGACATATTAGTAGGATTGAAGTCGTACCGAATGGACTATTTTCGACGGAATGACTAATTTCCTCGATTTTCAGCAAGACGACATGAACCCGATGGTTCTCTCGGCTATCATGTCGAATCCGCTGATGCTCCAGTCCCTTATGATGGATCCAACCATGGCGATGGCCCTGGCCGCCGCCGGACAGATGCCGTCGACCTCAGGCACGACCCCGAAAAAGCCCAAGACCAGTCAGCCTCCCAATAACTCTAATTAGCCTATTTCCTAACTATTTTCTCGTTTTTCTCTATATTTTTTATGATTCTATGTTACTATGTTCCATTCTGAGATTTTTCATAGCCGCATTTGGAATGGCTCGAGCCGCAACGCGACCGCGCCGCATTGGCTCATTCCAAATTTGACAGTTCCTGTATGGTTTTTTGATCATTTTGATTGTTATATTTTCGTTTTTACGGTCGCATTTGGAATGGCTCAGGCCGCAACGCGACCGCGCCGCATCAAGCCATTCCAAATGCGGCATTTTTTCTTGTATAATTTTTTGATATGTTTCTTTTTTTTTTGGTTGTTCTATATGCGCCCCTGAGCTTTTTTCATGACCGCGTTTGGAATGGCTCAAGCCGCAACGCGACCGCGCCGCATTGAGCCATTCCAAATGCGTCATTTTTCTTTGTAAGTTTTTTTTTGATCTGTTCCTCACTGTTTTGGTTGTTCTATATGCGCCCCTGAGCTTTTTTAAATGACCGCATTTGGAATGGCTCAAGCCGCGTCGCGTCCAGCCATTCCAAGTGCGGCATTTATTCTCTTCTTATACCTCGGGTTTCTCTTGGTTTTTTTTTCTCTCATCATTTTTACACCTCAAGGAGGGAAATTTGTCGCAAATTGTACTCCTGGCCGATGCGATTTCGTGACGATTTCCCGCAAAAAATGTGTATATTTTTCTTGTGAAATGCACTTTTTCTTCCAATTTTCTCAGTCTTGAACCGGTTCACCACTTCCACATCATTTAGGCAGCGAAAATTTCGAATTTCTCAAATCAAAAGAAATGTGTTCTGATCTCTTGACTCCAATGGAATCCCGGAATTTCTTCATTTTTCGAAACTTTTTGCATGGGTTTGATCTATTCGATTGATTGTTCTTCCCTGGGAAAATCCTCCTGTATCACCTCACTACCTAACTATCAATATGGTTATCAACTATTCTTTTTAATTAATTAATGAATTAATCAATGATAAAATCGGAAACTTCATGTCGCGGAGAATTCAAGAAAAAAAAAACTGAAGAGAAAGTGAGTTAGGGAAGAGAGAAATAGAGAAAAAGAGGGAGAGAGAGGTAAAACGATGAAGATAACAGAACGATAACAAAGTGAGAATTAAAGAAATAGTGATGATGAAAATATACAGGTACTGGTTATTTGTTTGCATTAGCTTATGTCCATTGGTTCATCGATGACGTCATTTTTCGAGTCTTGAGGGTCTTCTTGAGGGGCGTCTGAAAGTTATTGATTTTCTGAGACAAGAAAAAAACCCTAAAGCGATCACTTCTCCTGAATAATCTTCTTAAAGGGATTATAAGTGACCTCTTAAGGGGAAAAACTCGGCGAAAGTTTATGAAAATCCTAAGTGGTCGCTTAAGGGTTTTTGTCTAAATTTTTGTCTTACAGGGCTTTTGAGTGCCCACTTAAGGGGAAAGACTTGGCAAAAATTTCACGAAAATCTCAAGTGGTTCCTTAAGTGTTTTGTCAATCTAATGTATACTACTATCTCATGCGTGAACTCTTAAGGGGCAAGACTTGGCAAAAGTTCCAGGAAAAACCAAGTGGTCACTTAAGGGTTATTTAATTATAAATTCCCCTATTACCGGGTTTTCGAGCGATCTCTTGAGGGGCAAGCTCTCGGCGAAAGTTTAGGAAATCTTAAGTTGTCCCTTAAGGTTTTTTGTCTAAATTATCCTCCTGCGGCTTCTGAGTGGCCACTTAAAGGGCGAGACTCAGCAAAAGTTTAACAAATCTCAAGTGTTCACTTAAGGGTTTTTGTCTAAATTTTCGTCTTACAGGGCTTACAAGTGGCCTCTTAAGGGGAAAAACTCGGCGAGCATTAATTTTCAGAAAATCTCAAGTGCATCCTTAAGAGTTCTCGTCTAAATTATCCTCTTACAGGGCTTCTGAGTTCCCACTTGAAGGGCAGTAGCCGGCAAAAATACAGGAAATCTCGAGTAATCGCTTAAGGGTTTTTCCATTCTAAATTATCCTATTATTTTCTGAGGGATCTTTCAAGGGGCGAGACTCAACAACCTTTCCAATGAATTTCAAATGGTCTTTTGAGGGTTTTATTGCTGGAATGCCCTACTTGAAAGTATGTAAGTGATTACTCAAGGGTTTTTCGTTCTGAATTCTCATATAACAGGGCTTCTGAGTTATCACTTAAGGCTTAGCAAGAAAACTCAAGTGGTCATTCAAGAATTCTATTACTTTGGAGTGTCCTACAAAAAATCATGTAAATGATCACTTAAGGGGCTAGGTTCAGCGAAAATATCAAGTGGTCCCTTAAGGGTTTTTCGTTCTGAATTATTCTATTACAGGGCTTCTGAGCGAACACTTGAGGCTCAGCAACGATTCGAGTGGTCACTTAAAAATTTTACATTTTCTGAAGTTTCTCCTGTAAGTGATCACTTAAAAGGCGAGGATCAAGGGGTTAAAGTTTGCAGAAGACATCTTTTTTTTCTGTTCATTTTAAGCCGTATGGTTCCAAAAATGGAGCTTCTGCTGAAAACTGACCGACGGAGGCGACGACGTCAAAGTCGGTGGTGACGGCGGCGGGCGGCGGGGAGTTCCAGCCGCCGCCGTAGGCGTAGATCACGGCGTTCTTGTCGCGGGCGGTGTGCGCCTCGCGGAGCATCTCCGTCTCGTTGCGGGTCTTGCTCGGCTGCCATCGGAGGTGGTTGCTCGACGGGTCGAGCATGATTTTCGGCGGTTTGCCGAGTTTCTGGGCGAGGCAGTGTTCGACGAATCGTCGTGAGGACCTCACGACGTATTCTCCGTCTGAAGAAGCTGTTTTTTAAAGATTTTTTCTGATTTTCACTTGCAAGGGACTCAAAAAACTGCTGAGAGGTATTTAGGACCTTCTGATCATAGATCCCTTGATTGAAACCCTAAAAAACCCTCTTTAAAGTTGACTTGTCAAGAAATTTCGAAAAATCTGTTTGACTGGTTAATTGCACAATGAGGGGCGGAGCTTGAACGACGACCTAACATTCAAAAAACCCCCGACTTTTCCAGAAATTCATGTCAAAACTGGGAAATTTACGCTTCCTAGAGGCGCCATCATGTGCAGAAGGTGAAAAAAACTATTCAAGACCAAAAAACAGGAAAAGATCAATTTTTCTGTAGTTTTATTATTTTTCACCTCACACTTCTCAAGGTTTTTCAAAAAAACTGCAAATTTTTCCGGAAATTTCCAGTTTAAAATAGGATTTTAGAGCTTCCTGAAGCGTCTTTATGTGCTTTCAAGGCAGTAAAAAAGTTTTTCCAGACCAAAAAACAGGAAAAAATTAATATTTCTGTAGCTTTTTATGCTCACTTCCCACTGTGAAAGTATTTTCGTAAAACTGCCGATTTTTCAGAAAATTCAAAAACTGGGAATTTTGCGCTTTTTAAAACGGCTTCATACGTTCATTCTGCAGTAAAAAATTCACAAGACCTATTTTTAAGAAAATAATATTTCTGTAGCCCTGTTCGTACACCTTCCCACAGCAAAAGACATTTTTCCCTGAAGTTCGCCGATTTTTTCAGAAATTTCAAGTCAAAATGATAATTTTGAGGTCCCCAGGGCGTCTTTATGTGCTCATAAGACCCATATAAATAAGAAAAATCAATATTTTTTTCAGTTTTTTTCAAAAAAATTTCAAGTTAAAATGATAATTTTTTTCGCTTCCCGGAGCGTTTTTTTATGTGCATATAACCTACAAAAAGAGGGAAAATTCAATATTTGTGAAGTCTTTTTTTCAGATATTTACCGATTTTTTTCCGGAAATTTCAAGTCAAAATGATAATTTTGCGCTTCTCAGAGCGTCTTTATGTGTTCATAAAACCCATAAAAAAAAAAAGAAAAATCAATATTTCTCCCGTCTTTTCTCACCTTTCCACTGCCGGACCATTTTCATGGTCCCCAGTGTCGATACGATGTCGTCCACGGCGACGCCGGAGAACAGGGACAATTCAAAGGCCGTGATGGTGCTTATCTAAGATTCCAAGTTAATTTTAAAAAAATCCTAAAGCTCAAAACCCTCTGAGTACTCATGACGGAGAGCAAGATCCACCACCAGTAGCTCCGATAGCTCACTTTTCCCAAGTCGGAGAGGGGCTTTTCCGGCGTCCCGATGTAACCTTCACGTGTGGACAACTCATAACCTAAGATTATATGATTTTCCTAAAAAAAGAAAAAAATTATTATCTTTTTCTTACAAAAATTCCTATACAAGTGAAGCTGAAAAATTTGGATTTTTTTCTAAAAAAATCGATATAATTTAAAATTTTTTTATGATAGTACGATTTTTTTGATTTGTTTTTTTCTTTGAAAGTAAAACTTCTCACGAAGTTGTCATACGAATGACTAAAAAAATCAGAAAAAAATCCCCCTGTTGAACTTTTTTTGGGGGGTAAAAACGTTTCCTGGTTAGAATGAACTTATTTTTTTCCTTTAATCGATACAATTTTTTTCAAAAAAATTAAAGTCCTTTCTCAAAAAAATTTCTTATACAACTGAAGCTGAAAAAAACGGACTTTTTTTCTTAAAAATCAATATCAATTTGAAGCGCTTCTTCTTAAAAAAACGATACGAATTTTTCAAGAAAAAGCTGAAAAAAATGAAAAATTTTTCCATCAGATCAATATTATTGAACCCCCCAAATCGATAATTTTCAAAAAAATCTCAGAAATCAATATTTTTTTCCTTCAAATTGATACTATTTCGAACTGAAAAATTCTACAAAAAAATCGGTGAAAAATAATAAAAAAATAAAAAAATAGCCTTTTTCCTACTTCAAATTCAACGGAGAACCTTTGATAAAAAAACTACCGATCCTCCTCAAAAATTCATTAAATTGGGGCCGTTTTTCAAAACTACAAAGCTGAAATTACACCTTACCCTTTTGAAAATCCTTAGAAAACAATAAAACTTTAAAAATCCGACATTTACCTCTTGGAATTTTATTCCACTGAAGTGATAACTTTCCATTTTTTACAGAAAATTCAGATTTTCAAGATGTTAAACTGAGAAAAAATGATGGTACTTTACAAATAATGATGCAATTTCCGAAAAACTGACTCAATTGAATGAGGAATTTCCCGTAGCCGACGTTCTGAAAGGGCGGGAAGACCATGATACAGGCCAAGTTGTTGACCGAATCGACCTCTTTTGAGAAATATCCGACAATGTGCGCTCCAGCGTCGTTCACCTGTTGGGGGATCCATTTTATTTTACTCTTAATTTTAATTTTTGCCGAGTTTGGTAGATTGGAATGGGTGAAAAAGCAGCTACCGTAAGAACAGCTACCGTGAAAAAAAGGTACCGTAAAGCTACCTTAAAGGTACCGTAAAGCTTCCGTGAAGCTATCGTAAAGCTATGGTGAAAGCAGCTACCGTAAGGCTACCGTAAGAACAGCTACCGTAAAAAATGCTACCATAAAGGTACCGTAAAGCTTCCCTAAAGCTACCGTGAATTTGCCGTTAAAACAGCTACCGTAAAACCACCGTAAGAACAGCTACCGTAAGAGCAGCTACCGTAAAGTACAGTAAAACAGCTACCGTAAGAACAGCTAACGTAAAATTACCGTAAAGCTACCTTGAAGCTACCGTAAAGCCACCGTAAGGACAGCTACCGTAGAGCTATCGTAAAAGCAGCCGTTAAAACAGCTATTTTAAAGCTACCGTAAAGCCACCGTAAGAACAGCTACCGTAAAAGCATCTATCAAAAAGCTACCGTAAGATGAAGCTATGGTGAAAACAGCTACCGTAAAGCTATCGTAAAGCTATGGTGAAAGCAGCCACCGTAAAGCTACCGTAAGAACAGCTACCGTAAAGCTTCCGTAAAGCTATGGTAAAGCTATGGTGAAAGCAGCTACCGTAAAGCCACCGTAAGAACAGCTACCGTAAAGCTACCGTAAAGCCACCGTAAGGACAGCTACCGTAAAGTTAGCGTTTTTTGCAATTTTGCTCTACAAACCTTCATAAAACAGAAAAGTTGAAGGGCAGTTGGCCAAAATTGATCTACTTGGTATACAGTCTACTAGCGTGAAAAAAACGTGACAAGTTTGCGCGGAATAGGCTATATCAAACCTCGCAAAGGACGTAGAACATGAAATCGTCGACGTCGAAATACAAAGTCTTGTGGTCCATGAAGAGTTTGGACAGGAGGCAGAGACATTGGCAGTAGAGCTGAGAAAAGATTCGTAAAATATTTCGTCAAAGTTCTTAAATTTTCCAAGAGATTAACTACTCTCATGCTGGGCAGGTGTCCCAACGGGTGTGCCCGTATTAAGCCCAACGGGAGAAAGACGGGCGAAAAAAAACGGGAGAAAAGTAGGAGAACAACGGGCATATGGAACGGGCACAAAAAACGGGAGAAAAGAGGAGAAAAACGGGCATATGAAATGGGCGCAAGACTCGGGAGAAAAACGGGCGCATTCTACAAATCTAACACGTGTAAGAACCAATTCATGGGAAGCGGTGGAAAAAAAGAAAAAAAGAAGTTCTCCTTATTAAAGGCTCGTGGCGGCTCCCCATGCGCCTTTAATAAGAGGGGGGTATCAATAGTAGTTAGGGAAGGTTAAAAACAAGATCAATTCCCCCATTTTTTCTCAAAATCACCTTGTTCTGGCTGCCATCGATTTCATAAACCGACAGATTGTCCTTCCGGTAGATCTCGTTTCCCGGCGGCTGTCGTTCTTTGCAACTTTTGCGCTAAAAAATCAATAACTATTGACTTCATAACTGATTTTTCAGTTCATTCACAGTCGATTTGAGCAAAAATTCGACTTTCGCTTCGAGACCTTTTTTGATTTTCAGTCGCTGCGCCTTTAAATTTTTCAATCGTTTATTTGATTTTTTTTATTCTCGAATCTTTCCTATTCAGTTCTGGCTACTATTTAAAAGTTTAAAACGCTCAGAAAAATTAGAAAAGATCAGAAAAAAACGCCTTAAAAATTACCAAAAAAAAAATCCAGGCCTAAAAATAAGATTTTTTGGTCCATAGACAACGGTGAATAGACTATTTCCCCCAAAACTCACATGGATTTTGTACTTATCCTTACTTGGAGTGTACAGTAAGCAGTACTCGCACATGTGAAGGTCCTGAAAATCAGAAATTTGAAGCTTTGAATCCGAAAAACTTTGAAAAAAGGTTTAAAATCTGAGAAAAATTCTTCAAATAGAATCCTAAAATGTACAGAAAAAGTATATTTTGTGAAAAAGAAACCAATTTTTCCACTGAAAATCAAAGTTAATGAATAATTAATCAACTAAAAAAAAAGAAAAATAATTTTTTTTTTTCAATTATTTCACAATACAAACCTGATTGTTGCAATACGCCGGGAAAGGCGAATAATACCATGTCGTGATACAGTACTTGCCGATAAATACACGCGGAATGTTCTTCACTTTTGTTCTCTGGAAAAAAAAATGTTGGCGCCAAATTTTTCAAAAATGCGCGTCAAATATGATAGTTAGTGCATACACCGCGACATGAAACGACATACCGTTCCGCCAAAAATCATTTTTTTTCGGATTCGAGTTGATTTTTCTGGTTTTTCTCCCACTAATTGATGGAACTCGATCCTGGTCAATTCTAAGGGAAAAACCACAAAAAGTTTCAAACATAGAAAAATGAAATTTTATTCGAATTTTCACTTCTTTTCACTCCAAAACATCTTTCCTATTATATAATTTTAGGAATGAAACATTTTCTACGAAAATTAGTCGCGAAAAACTGTTCTCAGATCACTTTTTTGGTCTAAAAAGCCGATATCACTCTTCCGAATTCCCAAAAAAGCTTTGAATTACAAGAAAACGGGGATTTTTAGTCTCTTGAGCCATAGAAAACTGTTTCCAGATGGATTTTACGGTCCAAAAAGTCATTTTGAGCATTCCGGATTGCCTTTTAAGGTTCGAAAACGGTTGAGAACACCTTTTTTTCACAAAAAATCGAAAAAATAAGCATTTTTTCAAAAATAAGCCACAGAAAACTGTTTCGAGATCACTTTTTTTGCTTTTCTAGCTCAAAAATTCATTTCAAATATTCCCAATCCGCACTTCTTCGTGTTCCTTTTCGAGACGGGCCGTCGTGGCGTCCATGGTGTCGAATCCTTGCCGGAGATGGTTGAATTCTTCGTGTATTCGCCGTTGGCTTCTGGTCAGTGCGCCGCCGCCTCGTACTTCAAGAAATATACCGATTTTTCGCAGAAAAAAATTTTCGAAATTGTAAGGCTTTTTTTCAACTGGAGATTTGATTGAATAGAGAAAAATTATTTTGAGAATTTTTTTAAAGGTCCATTTTTATTCTGAAAATGGTCCATTTTCCAGGTTTTAGTTCGGAAAATCTGCTATTTTTGGGCGATTCAGAAAAACACAAAATAAGCGTCAGAGAAAGAAAAAGATAACTAAATTTTGGAGAGTCAGAAAAAATTCCGGATTTTTCTTCAAAAAATCCGCTTTTTTCGGTAAAATTCACGAAAAAGATCATCAAAAATCACTCAAATTTTCGATTTTAAACAGAAAATTGAGCTTTTTCTGCTGTATCTTCAGATTTCGAAGCATTTTATGAATAAGTCCATGAAAAATATAACTGGAAAATTTTCAACCTGACTATACTCTATTAGAAAAACCTTCAAAAAGGCTCCAAAATTCGAAAAATTGTCCAAAACCGTCATTTTTTTGCGATTTTTTTGAATAAGAAATGTCACGTTTTTTTGTCTCAGGATCGTGGTGGTCAGACTATATTTGTTTAAAATCAATTTTCTCCATAGAAAACCCTATTTTTCTATTGAAAATGACTTGAAAAATCGTACATTGATCGCAATTTGCGACGAAAGAAGGTGGAGGATCCGGAATGATGGCGCCGGCGTGGGAATCGACAAATTCCAGGATTCTGAAACGTTTTCGAAATTTTTTCAATGGGATTTTTGCTTGAAAAAAGAAAAATTTGCTTTTTCAAGTTGAAAAAAATCAATTTTTTTCTCACAAATGATAATGATTTTCATATGAAAATTGACCTTTTCCGGTCAAAAAAATCAAAGTTTTTACTTGAAAAAAATGAAGATTTTCATATAAAAAAAGTGATTTTTTTCTGCTTAAAAATTTAAGGTTATATTCGAAAATTTTTTTCACAACAAATCAAAGTAGAAACTTGAAAAATGAAGATTTTCCCATAAAAACTGAGTTTTTCTTTATAAATTTTCGACTTTTTTGGAAGAAAAAAGAAGATTTTCACTAAAAAATGAAGATTTACATATAAAAAATGACTTTTTCTGCTTAAAAATTGGAGTTTTTATTTGAAAAAACATTTTTCCATATGAAAAATCGAGTTTTTCACAATAAAAAAAGAATTTTTACTATATTCAATGAAAAAAATAAGGTTTTCCGATTTTTTCACTTATAAGAGAGAGATTTTCACTACAAAACCCCTTTTTTTCAAACAAAAAAAGTTTTCACATGAAAAATGAATTTTCCCACTCAAAAAAATAAAGCTTTACTATCATGAAGAGTTTCGACCAAAAAAATGAAAAAAATTCAGATGAAAAATTGAAACTTTCTAGTTGAAAAATGTACATAATCCCATAGAAAAAAATCAAATTTCTTCAAAAAAAGTAGTTTTTCAAGAGTAAAATGATTTAAAAAAATGAAAAATATTCATCTAAAAAATGTAGTTTTTTTCGTATGAAAAAAATGAAGCTTTTCACCTGGAAAAATCGAAAAATTTCTTAATAAAAAAATGGAATTTTTCACTTAAAAATTGAAGCTTTTTATAGAAAAATTGGAATTTTTTTCTCATAAAAAAAGAAGTTTTTTTCTCATTAAAAATGAAATTTTCACTTGAAAAAAAGAGATTTTCACATTAAAAAAATGAACCTTTTCTCCTAAAAAAATCCCATAAAAAAATCCATTTCCCGAACCTTTCCCTGGGAACCCATTCATCGTTTCGTCGATCCAGCATCTCATAGTGAACATAGTACATTCGGACGCGATTTTCTCGTTTTTCATCGCTCGAATCGTCGTTTTCCGTTGTTGGATTGGCTAAAAAGAGCCGTTTTTTCGAGATTTTTGGGGCTTTGGAGTACAAAAAGACTGAAGCTTGGAACAGTGGCCACTGTAGGGGCATCAAAATTCGAGAAACCCGATCAATTTTCTTCCCTACCATCAGCGGCTGGCTTTGAAGTAGTGGGCGTTGAAGCGGGCAAGTCATGTTCGCCGGAAAAACTCCGTTGGATCGTCGCCGGCGGATCGTGTTCCAGACGGTCTTCCACGTGGATTATCGTCGCCAGACACTGGAAAGTTTTCAAGTTGAGATTATTTCCCATCAAAATCACCTTTTCCGTATTCCCATCGGCGATCCTTTCGACCATGTAGCACCAGCCGACGACCGGCTCATCTTTATCCTCGCGCTTTTGTTTTCGGACCCTCATTCTTTAAGAAAAAAATCATGGAAATTTCTAGGATCAATTTCAAATCCAAATGTGGAAAGATTCGAAAAAAATCACAGATTTTTCCAAAAAAAGTAGACTTTTTTTAAATGACCTGAAAAATCTATTTAAGCTTGATAAAAAAATTATGGAGGCTTAAATACATCAATATTCAAAGCAAATTGAACAAAAAAACTACATTTTTTTCACTAATTAATTGAAAAAATCCTCGATTCAGAAAAAAATTCATTTGCCGGACATTCCTGTTTCAAAACTGGCACAAAAATCTCTCAGTTTTCAAAAATCTCGAAATCTTGAAAGAACCTTTACAAAGATTAAAAAAACCGTCTTTTTTTCACCTTAAATTAATAATTTAAAGCCTAAACCCTCCCTAAAATGAGCAGAAAAAATCATAAATCCAAAAAAAAAAGTAGTTCCGACCGTTTGAACGTCTCATAGAAAAGATCAAATCATAAAAAATTCAGAAAAAAGTCTTTATATCGGCGAAAAATCTCACTGATTGCACTGATTAGGGGAAAAGCTCAAGGAGAACAACAACAACCTCAGGAAAATCAATAATTATTAATTAGTCGAAGAATAAATTAAACAACAAATGAAGATCTTCAAGAATCATCAATTGAAAGAAGGACTGTACAGAAAGTTTGAATGTGGTGAGAAGTAGAAAATTAGCAAGATTAATACTGAAAATTGGTCGCATTTGGAATGGCTGAACGTCTTCAGAAGCCGTTTCAAGGTCGGACGCACTTTTAAAAAAAACCGCGTCGCAGCTGCAACGCGTCGAACCATTCCAAATGCGGCCAAGCCTTGGAAAATGCGAAAAATAGCACAAAATACCGTAAAACAGTCAAAAAATCAGTAAAAATTGATTGAAACAGGGAAAATTGTTAAATTTCTCTCAAGTTTGCGTCGCGTCTTCCACCAAAATCGATCCATTTCCCGTTTGTATCGCAATCGAATGTGGGGATAATTGCTGGAAATGAAAAATTTAACTCAAAATAACCGGAAAATCGCGAAAAACGGGCATTGGAAAAAATGGCCGTTCTTTTAAATGCAAATGCGCTCCATAGCTAAATTTGCATAATCTTCGTGATTCTTCAAACTTTGATTCAAAAAAATGGTAAAGCTTCTTGAAAAAATCGCGAAAACGGGCCATGGAAAAATAGCCGTTCCTTTTTGAATTAAATGCGCTCCTAGGCTAAATTTCTCCATTTTTCGTTATTCTCCAAACTTTGATTCAAAAAATGGTAAAGTTTGTTCAAAAAATCGCAAAAAATGGGGCCTCGGAAAAAATAGCCATTATTTTTCATGCAAATGCGCTTCATGGCTAAATTTGCGTATTTTCCAGGATTTTTTAAAGTTAGATAAAAAATGGTGGAGCTTCTTGAAAAAATCGCGAAAAATGGGCCTTGGAAAAAATAGCCATTATTTTTCATGAAAATGCGCTCCATGGCTAAAATTGTCTATTTCTCGCGTAATTTTGAAATTAACAGGCAAAAAAGGATATAAAATATCTTGCTGAGGCGTTCAAAGGTCATTCAATCAATTTCGCGCCGAAAAATTTTCAAATCACCAATTTTGGCGCCCTATCCATGGAGCGCACATCATCACTTATTTTTTCGTCTTTTTTCGTCTTTTTTCCGTTTTTCTCGTCATTTTTACCTCTTCATCTTCTTCTTCAACAACGGCTAGAGCTCCATGTTCAACGTCAGCCACCACAGTGCTTTGGGTAGCTGCCGGCGACTTCCTGGTTCGATTTTTACCTGGAAAATCTCACTAAAATTCTCTAAAATTGCTGATTCTGGTAGAAAAAAGGCTACATTTCGAAGAAAAGGACATTTTTCCTTCGAAAATCTCACAAATCGGCTTATAAAAAGTCAAACAAACCGAAAAATTGCTCATTTTGGCCGAAAAATCGCTATATTTTAAGGCTCAGAACCAAAAATTCTCACAAATCGGCTTAAAAAACTCGAAAATCTTGAAAAATTGCCCATTTTGGCTGAAAAATCGCAATTTTTTAAGGCTTAAAATAAGGAATTCTTTCAAAATCGCAGATGAAACCCGAAAAATTTCAATATTCAGCTCATTTTGGACGAAAAAATTGCGTTTTTCAAGGCGCAGAACCAAAAATTCTCACAAATCGGCTTATAAAAAATCAAAAAACCTGAAAAATTGCTTATTTTGGCCGAAAAATCGCTATATTTTAAGGCTCAGAATCAGAAATTATCTCAGAATTGCAGAAAAAACCCGAAAAATCTGAAAATTCAGCTCATTTAGGCCGAAAAATCGCTAATTTTCCAAGAAAACGACTTTTTTCAAGGCGCAGAACCAAAAATTCTCCCTAATCGGCTTATTAAAAATCAAAAAAACCGAAAAAATCGCTAATTTTCAAACAAAAGAACATATTTTCATTGCTCAAAACCCCAAATCCCCTCGAAATAGCTGTTAAAAAATCAAAAAAACCTAAAAATCGCAAATTTTCAAGGCCCAGAGTTCGAAATTATTCAAAATCCGCTTATAAAAACCCGCAAAATCTGAAAATTCAGCTCATTTTGGCCGAAAAATCGCAATTTTTCGAGGCTAAGAATCAGAAATTCTTTCAAAATTGCAGATAACAGCCAGAAAAACATGAAAATGCAACTCATTTTGAACAAAATAACGCTAATTTTTCAAGAAAAGGACATTTTTCAAGGCTCAGAATCAAAAATTTTTTCAAAATCGCAAATAAAAACCCGAAAAATCTGAGAATTCAGCTGATTTTGGGAGAAAAATCGCTAATTTTCAAAGAAAATAACATTCGGCTTCTGAGCTAAGAAAAATCTCATTTTCTTTGAAAAATTGCGATTTTTTTCCGGCCAAAATGATGCTCAAAAAACCTAAAAATTGCTCATTTTGGCCGGAAAAATCGCAATTTTTCAAAGAAAAGAACATTTTTAAGGCTCACAGAACCCAAAATTCCCTCAAAAAACCTTTTTTCTTCAAGGATCCCCTCTCAAAAACTCCCAAATCCACCAAAAACCAACAAAAAATCATGTTTTATTGCTGCATTCCCGTGAGAACATGCCACATGGAGGACGACGACAAACGGACAGTTAAAAGTATTTTGACGAACATAAATTCGAGAGAAAGAGAGAAAAAGGAAGGAATGGAGAAGCAGACGACGTCTCATGAGAACTGGAAAGAAATGAAATTATTTCAAGGAAAAATAATTTCAGGTAGAAAAAAAGGCAACTCAATCTCCCAATGAAATCAGGAAAAAAACTAAAAATTAAATAAAAAAATATATATTAATTTAAAGCTATATATCTAGCTAAATTAAAGTTCCGAAAAAAATAATAATCCTTATTTCGTCCCTTAACCCTAGTAATTGTGGAAATAAGATCAAGGAAAAAGATTTCAATCCAACTATTTTTTTATAAAGTTGAAATGTTTTTTTGATTGAGGAAAAACTTCAGAACCTCCCAGGTCTACACACCTTGAAAGGCATAGGGGCACTAAAAAAATGGGGTTGGAGACGAATATGCCATATTTTAAAGGTCTTTCTTGCCTATGGAACGGTGGACTCGGAAACGTACATAATCTCCTAGTTTTGAAGAAAAAAAAATGATTCAAGACGGAGAGAGAGAAATTTGAGTTCCCGCCAAAAGGACTTAAAGTTTGCAGTAAAGTTGCTCTACGGGCAACTTTGCCATTTTTCGTATTATCTCGGACATTGGTAACGCGAAACGGACGTGCTCAGGACGTTTCTGGGCGATTCAAGGGATCACTTAAGAGCGTTAAGGCTACTAAAGAGGTCACTAGAAATGCGCCGACACGTCCGATTCGCGTCGCGTTCGCGTTACCAAGGTCCGAGTTCGCTTTTTTCTTCGTTTGTTCAAAATTTCGATTTTTTCTGTTGTGAGCAAAGTTCTTTTAGTCATGAAAACTTTCTATTTATATAAAATTAACGAATTTTGATCTACTCTGGTGAAAAATGATGATTTTACAGAGGTTTCGATTGGGATTGCGATATTTTGTGTTTCCTTTATTATCGGTGTGTGTTTTTTGTTTTCTTAATCGATTTTTCAGAGTAGAAACTCTTAATTTGAAGCAGATATCCGGTTATTTCACACAAAATGCGAGTCTAATGAGACGTCCGCAACATCGCGTGCACGGCTACTGTAAACAGTTGTCTGAGCACCGAAGCTTTTTTCAAAATTAAAGGCGGGAAAGTAGAATCGCGTTTTTCTTTGAAAGATGTCACATCTTGAATTTTTTTGAATACACCGTTCGATTCGCAAAGAAAGCTCTACAAGATACTTCCTCCACCTGGAACTCCGTTTTCGACTGCCCCTATGCCTTTAAGAGTGAAAAAAAAAGAGGTGAGAGTTTAAAAAGGTGAAAGCCTTCTTCCTGAACACAAGGGAGAAAGATGATCTCACCATCAATAAAAGTACTCCTCCTCGGTGGAAGAAGAGTCATAGGCGTCGTCCGAGAGCGGAGGTTCATCGGCACAAAAGCTGACTCTATTCGGATTCTTGGCCCTTTTCACATCTCCAGCCCCAGAAGTCCTCGATTTAGAATCCTCAGGCGAAGGCGGATCTTTTTCGGAATTCTCTAAGGCCGTATTGATTGGATTCGCTTCGATATCCGAAGTCTGGGTCGTCCTTTCCGAGCTTATAGGTTTCGATCTTCTTCTGCTTCTTCCGGTGGCCTTGACGCCGAATCGTTCTGATTTTTAGGGACATGAAAAACACGGAAAAATCATGCAGGGTGGGGAAGAATCTAAAAAGACCATTCTAGGGCCTTTCATGATCATTTTCATGCGAAAAAAAAAATTAAAAAAAGCCAAAAAACTCGAGAAATTGATGACCAAAGTACTTGAAAATGAGAAAAAAGCGCTTTTGGGTCATTTTTCGCACTTTTTTCAGGCTTTCGAAACCTCTGAAAGGCCTTTTAAACTTCGTCATGAAATTAAATACGCTCCAAAGCCAGAAAAGTTCAACTTGTACCAAAAAAGGAGAAAAAGGAAGGCTCAAATTCGTGAAAAAATCAAAAAATCAGGCCAACGTGTTACGAAACGTGACAAGTGGGCTACAAAATCAAAAAAAGCAGGCGAAACATGAAAAATTGAGTTTTTTTCGCTCTAGGGACATATTTACGTTTTTTTTTTTCAAACTGAGTCAAAGAAAGGCTCAAAATCGTGACTTTCCGTGCCCTATGGACTATTTTTCCAAGCTTTTTTTTTCAAGCCGAGCCAGAATAATGCAACAAAAATTAGGATTTTTCGCGCTCTACAGAAAAATTTCAAGCTTTATGTTTTAACTGGGCCGAGAAAAAGGCTCTAAATTAGAATTTTTTGCGCTCTACGGACAGTTTTTCTGGATGTTATCTCTCTCACTGAGCTGAGGAAACAGGCTCAAAATTGAGATTTTTCTCGCTCTACGGACAACTTTCCTAGATTTTTTCAGACCAAGCCAAGAGCAAAGGCCCAAAATAGTGATTTTTCGCGCTCTACACACAATTTTAATGGATCTCTTCAAACTGAGCCGAGAATTGAAGGCTCAAAATCAAGATATTTTCGCTTTACGGACAAATTCCCAAGCTTTTTTTGAACGGTGTGAGCCAAAAAATAAATTCTCAAAATTGGAAAATGCTTAAAATTAAAGTTTTTCGTGCTCTACGGACAATTTTCTTAGATCTCTTTAAATTGAGCGGAAAAATTAAGGCTCAAAATGAAACTTTCGCGCTTTACGGACAATTTTCCTGAATCTCTTCAAACTAAGGCGAGAAGAACGCTCAAAATTGTGATTTTTCGCGCTCTATGAACAAATTTGCTAGCTTTTTTCAGACCAAGCCAAAAGCAAAGGCCCAAAATAGTGATTTTTCGCGCTCTATGGATAATTTTCCTGGATTTTTTCTGAGCTGAGGAAAAGGGCTCAAAACTAGGATTTTTTGCGCTCTAAAGACAACTTTCCTGGATTTTATCTCTCTCACTGAGCTGAGGTAACAGGTTCAAAAGTGAGATTTTTTACGCTCTATGGACAATTATCAAACTGAGCCAAGAAAAAGGCTCAAAATTAAAGTTTTTCTCGCTCTACGGACAACTTTAATAAATTTTTTCAAACTGAGCCAAGAAAAAGGTTCAAAATTAAAGTTTTTTTTCGCTCTACGGACAATTTTCCTAGCTTTTTTTAAAAATTTAACCAAGAAAAAGGCCCAAAATTGTGATTTTTCGCGCTCTACGGACAATTTTCCTGAATCTCTTCTAAATGAGCCAAGAAAAAAGCCCAATCTCACCCAAAAGGCCATCGGCGGCCATTAATCGATAGGTGAGGACGGAATTCGTGATGAAAAGCGACAGAATCACGACCGAATTGACCACGGCTTGGTACCAAGGAAGGTCGAACGCCGAAGTCGCCTAAAATACGAATTTCTTTCTGAAAAAAATGTTTACATCCCTTCTGAAAAAGCCTAAAAAAAGTAAAATTAATCAGAATAAAAAGCAAATTTGCCCCAATCTTCTACCGTTAAGAGGAGCGTCGTTCAAGAGAAAACAATTTTGACGATTTTTCTGAACTTTTTAATGCTAAAATCCTACTAAAATCCCAGAAAACTCAATGCGAAATGAATAAAAATAATAAAAAAACGCGACAAAAATTCCACCGTCAAGTGGAGCGTCGTACATAAAAAAAATAAATTTGAACATTTTTGTGGACTTTTACATTTTAAAATTCTACTAAAATCCCCAAAAATTCACTGCGAAAAAATAAAATAATGAAAAAAAATTCCACCGTCAAGTGAAGTTTCGTACAAAAAAAAAAGGTTTTGACTATTTTTCTGACCTTTTTTAATGCTAAAAATCCTACTAAAAAAACCCCCAAATTTCGCCGCAAAAAAAGGTAAAAAAAGCGAGAAAATTGCACCGTCAAGTGGAGCGTCGTACAAAAATTTGTTTCTATATTTTTTTCCGACCGTCACAATGGTAGAAACCTACTAAAACCGTACTAAAATCCCCAAAAACGGGCCAAAAGTTGAAAAAGTGAAAAATTCGAGCCAAAATTCGACCGTCAAGGGGAACGTCGTACAAAAAAAAATTTCTTTCTAATTTTTTTTAAACCTTCTTCATGTTAAAATACTACAAAAAACCCCAAAACTCACCGCAAAATAAATAAGGTAGACCGAGACGCAGAGGCGGAAGAAAAACAGGGTGACCATGTTCAGTAGGGCGATGATGCGGAAAGAGGGCGATTTTTTATCGATTCCATATCTGGGAAAAGAGTCAAATTGTTCGGGAAATGTCGGGAAGATGAAAGGCTCAAAAAACCGCAAAAAGGGAGCAAAAAGGTCAAAAAAAGGCTGCAAAAAGGTCGCAAAAAGGCAACAAAAAGGCTTCAAAAAGGTTCCCTTTATCAAGCCTTCCATTTTTTCTGCCATTTTAAAGGCTCAAGAAATGGTGGAAAAAGGGAGAGGCAGCAAGAATGGTGCATAACAGGCGCAAAAAGGCATCAAAACAGGAACATTTTTGGAGCCTTTTTCCACCCTTTTTGACTTTGCCTATGTGCATGTAAATCCACAAGGGCCTTGGTAACGGGAATCGAATGCTTCTTAATATTTCTAGTGACCACTTTAGCGGCGTCAGGACCCTTAAGTGATCCCTAGAGTCTCTCAGAAGCCTCCGGAACTCGGGAAAAACCTCAAAAATGAGCTTCTAAGGGCCCTTAAGGTGGTCTTTTTCATGTCACGTTTACATCTCTCTCACATCTTTCAACTAAAAAAGCAACTAGGAAAACTTCCAGGGATCCAAAAAATATTATCAAGGAGCTCAAAAGGCTTTTCCCACCGTCAAGTGGAGCATCGTAAAAAAAATAATTTCGACCATTTTTAATTTTTTTTCAGCGGTCCTTAAAAGGAATTTTTCATTTCTACTACGTAAAAAAAACCCACAAATTGAGTAAACTACGTGAGTGGAGAAATATCGAGTTGAGTTCCATCAGGAGACCGAAAATCACGACGCCGAGGAACCTTTGGCTGATCTGAAAATACATTTTTCAATATATTTCATTTTCTTAAAAGAATTTTGTACAGTTTTTCGGTGGAAAATTCTTATATTCTATTCATCGCTTGCTTAGGACGCTAAGGGGGCTTCTGATTGTCGGCACTCTCCATAATTCAGACACTATCCCCTTTTTTTCGTGTCAGGACCCATTTTTTCGATGGCACAAGCCAGAATAAGCTACAGGAAACGAAAAATCTTGAAATTCTGATAAATTCCAAAAAAATTTTTCATGATTTCAAAGTTTCAAGAGCCCTTCAAAAAAAGCTTCATGCGACTTGCAAAGACATTAAAAATAATGCGAAAAAAACATTTCGAAAAAAATCAAAAAAATGTTCAATTCAAAAAGAAAAAAAGGCTCTCCCCTTTGGGAATACCTGAAAAAAACTATGAAAAAAAGCTCAAATTCATATATTTTTGTATGTTTTTTTCAGCCCTTTCAAAATGAAGAAATGAAGATTAAAAAAATTAATTTGTAATTTTTTTGCTGAGCCTTTTTAAAAAAATCGTATAAAAAAATGTTGGTCCTATGAAAAAAATCGTCAAAAAAATATACACTAAAAAAACTTGAAAAAAACCGAAATTTTTGGAACACTAAAACTTCCATTAAAGTCTACGTATTTGATTTTAAAAAGTCGAAAAAAACCAAAAAAATCAACTTTTTCATCGGTGAATTAAATTTTCAAGCTTTTTTTCCATCAAAAATCAAACAAAAAAACTTTGAAAAAAGCCATTTTTTCTCGAATTTGAAAGCTTTTCCCATTTAAAATATACCCTGATTCTCTAAAAAAACAAACTTTTTGAGAGATTTAAAAAAACCCTATAAAAAAATCTACAGGAAACGAAAAAAATCTTGAAATCCTGATAAATTCAAAAAAATTTTACATGATTTCAAAGTTTCAAGAGCCCTTCAAAAAAAGCTTCATGAGACTTGCAAAGACATTAAAATAATGCGAAAAAAACATTTCAAAAAAATCGAAAAAAATTTACCATTCAAAAAAAGGTTTTTTTAGTTAAAAAAATACCTAGGAAACTTTGAAAAAAAGCTCAAAAATCCTGCTAAATTTCAATATTTTCTAATTTTTTTAGTCTGTTTAAAAAGTACTTTTTTTGAGATTTTTTTAAAGAAGTTAGTACAGTTTTATAAAAATTCAATACCAATTTAAAAATCGGAAAAACACAGGTCCTATGAAAAATCGTCAAGAAAAAGATACACCAAAAATATTCAAAAAAAGAAATTTTTTTCGAATACTAAAAAAATTCCCTTAAAGCTACTAACCTGAGTTTAAGAGTCTCAAAACCAAAAAAATCAATCTTTTTTTACAGTGCCAGATTAAATTTTCAAGCTTTTTCCATCAAAAATCAAACAAAAAAACTTTGACAAAAAGCCATTTTTTTCTCGAATTTCAAGGCTTTTTCCCATTCAAAAATATACACTAGATTTCGAAAAAAATGAACTTTTTGAAGCCCTAAAAAAATTCTATTAATTCGAAAAAACACACCTTTTTAAAGTTTTTTTAAGCTTTCTCCATTCAAAAAAAGCACAAAAAAACTCTAAAGAACAAACTTTTTGAAGCCATTAAAAACCCTATAAAAGTCTATTAATGAAACAAATTAACATTTTACAGTGTCAAAATGAATTTTTCAGGCTTATTCTGAAAAAATCAAACTTAAAAAGAGCATTTTTCAAGCTCTTCCCATTCAGATTTTACATCAAATTTCGAAAAAACTAACTTTTTGAAGCCCTAAAAACCTTAACAAAGTAACATTTTAACATTTTAAACTGCCGAAATGAATTTTTCGCAACTTTTCCTGAAAAAACGTCCTTTTTCTGCATGCACCAACCATAGTAATCGCAAATGCGGACAAAACGACGACATGATGAAACAGTAATTCGATGATTCTGGCCGATTGTTCATTGACGAGCAAGTCCAGCAAATCGTGGAGCAAATAGCCCGTCGAGAGGAAAATCTGGAAATTTTCAGGTTCCTTCTTTTTTTTGGGAATGGATACCAGGTAGATGGCCGTTTCGCATCGGTAAAAGACGAGGTCGGTCATGAGCTGCTTGTAATAGAGGAGGGCGTAAGCCGCCCAGAGTCCGGACACGATCGAATGGCCCAGGGAGACGGCCTCGTTCGAGATCCGCCACTTTTTGTTGGGTGGGATCGCCTGGAAACTCATTTTTAAAGTGGTCCCTAGAGGGACTAAGCTCCTTTAAGAGGTCCCTAGAGGGTTTAGGCTTATCAAAGTAGTCCCTAGAGAGATTAGGCTTATCGAAGTGGTCCCTAGAGTGATAAAGCTCATCAAAGTGGTTCCTACAGGGATGAAAATGGTCCCTAGAGGGATTAAGCTCATGAAAATGGTCCCTAGAGGGTTTAGGCTTATCAAAGTGGTCCCTAGAGGGTTCAGGCTTATCAAAGTGGTCCCTAGAGGGACTAAGCTCCTTTAAGAGGTCCCTAGAGTGATTAAGCTTATCAAAGTGGTCCCTAGAGGGATTAGGCTTATCGAAGTGGTCCCTAGAGGGATTAAGCTCCTTTAAGAGGTTCTAGAAGGATTTAGCTTATCAAAGTGGCTCCTAGAGGAATTGAGCTCATCAAAGTGGTCCCTAGAGGGATTAAGCTCCTTTAAGAGGTTCTAGAAGGATTTAGCTTATCAAAGTGGTCCCTAGAGGGATTAAGCAGGAGAATATCACGAAGTTTTCCAGGGAAAAAGGGATTAAGGCATATTGGAGAGGCCCCTATAGGGGTCAAAGCTTTAGTGACCGCTATAGTGCTTCCTGCAGCTCATTTTTACGACTTAAAAGGGCGAGAATTCTCTTCTTGTCTCTCGTCTAACCTTCTCATATTGACGTACTATTTTCAAGTATATCTGGCCTCGCAAGCAGGGACCAGAGAGACGCAGGCAGTCAAAAACTGTCAATTCGCGGCGCATGGACTTTACAAGCCGAGTGTAGGGGTCCCTATAGGGTTTTGTTGCTTTATGGAACCCTCTAGGGTAAATTTTACGGTTCCTATAGGGATCAAAGTTTCAGGGGCCCCTCTACTGTTTTCTGAGCGGTTCACTAGAGCCTCGAAGCTTGAGTGCTCCCTTAAGAGGTCAAAATTTCAGTGGCACCTATAGTGCTTTCTTAGGGGTCTACTGAAGCCCTAGCGCTTTGGTGCTCCCTCTAGGCGAAGCTTAGGGGTCCCTTAAGCGGTAAAAGCTTTGGTGAACCCTTAAGTAATTTCTAAGCGAAGCCCTGATGTAGGGGCCCCTATTGGGGTGGCTCAGAGGGTCCTTATTACACTCCCTATAGGAACCTCTCGAAAATTTCTCATTTTCTCTGATGACCCCTATAGGGGTTAAAATTTTAGTGGTCCCTTTAGTGCTTTCTTAGCCGTCTACTAAGGCCCGAACGCTTACGTGCTCCGTGTAGGCAAAGCGTAAGGCTCCCTCTAAGGATCAAAAGCTTAGGGGCTCCTATAGGGTTTTTCTAACGGTTCACTAAAACTCTCAACCTTTAGTGCTCCCTGTAGACAGTGAGAAGGGATCCCTATAGGGGTCAAAATTTTAGTGGTCCCTTTAGTGCTTTCTTAGCCGTCTACTAAGGCCCGAACGCTTACGTGCTCCGTGTAGGCAAAGCGTAAGGCTCCCTCTAAGGATCAAAAGTTTAGGGGCTCCTATAGGGTTTTTCTAACGGTTCACTAAAACTCTCAACCTTAAGTGCTCACTGTAGACAGTGAGAAGGGATCCCTATAGGGGTCAAAATTTTAGTGGTCCCTTTAGTGCTTTCTTAGCCGTCTACTAAGGCCCGAACGCTTACGTGCTCCGTGTAGGCAAAGCGTAAGGCTCCCTCTAAGGATCAAAAGTTTAGGGGCTCCTATAGGGTTTTTCTAACGGTTCACTAAAACTCTCAACCTTAAGTGCTCACTGTAGACAGTGAGAAGGGATCCCTATAGGGGTCTTAATTATAGTGGCCCCTAAAGGGCTTTCTGAGCGGTTCACTGAACCCTTGAAGCTCAATTTCTTCCTGTACACAAAGCGTAGGGATCCCTATAGGGGCACCTTGAAAGGTCGCTATTCCACTCCCTTCAGGGACCACTCTAGAGTTTCTCAGAGCGGATTTTCTTTCGAAATCGAGAAAAAATAGATATTTTTCGAATTTCGGACCGATTTTCTTCCGAAATACCTAAAAACCAACCGACAAATCGCGACTGTCGCTGTTCCGGCTGCTATTTCTGCCGGCATTCGCCCGCAGGCCAAAGTAATTGAACGTCCTGTAGGTGCATTTGCCGAAAAGGTACCATCTCACGACGAATTGCAACGTTCGGAACAGCAAAAATGATACTACCACCTGGAAAAATTTCGAATATTTACCAGGAAAAATTCGATTTTTCTTTTTTCTTCTATCAGAGCCCGTAATAATTCTATAGAATCCAGAAAAAAAAAATTAGGAAATTCCATTTATTTCGAATTCAAAAAAGCCGTCAGAGACTAAGGAAAGATGGAGAGTCAGAGATAATTTTTGAACAATTTTAATCATTTTTTTGAGTAAATTAAGGGGTCAAAGAAGCTGAAAAAGCTAAAATCGATATCAAAGTACATTTTGAAGCAGAAAAAACAGTTCAAATATTGCAGAAGGCTCATTTTTTTCATCAGGAATCACTCAAAAATCAGTATATTCAATTAAAAAAATCATTTTTTTCAATAGTTTAAAAAGCGGTACAAGCTTCGCAAGACTCGAAATAACGCTGAAAAAACCTTTTTTTTCAAAACCTTTTGAAAAATAAGGCCATGCGCCTTTAAAAACTTCATCGATCGTTTAATTAAAAAAGATAAAAATCAAAAAACTTTTTCTGAAACTTCTAAAAGCGGCAGAAACTTTACAAGACTCAAAAATAACGCTAAAAAGTCTCTTCGTTTCGAAATTCTTTCAAAAAACTAGGCCATGCGCCTTTAAAAACCTCATCGATCCTTAACTTGAAAAAGATAAAATCAAAAAACTTTTTCTAAAACGTCCAAATGCAGCAAAAACCTTACAAAACTCAAAATAACGCTAAAAAACCTTTTCTTTTCAAAACTTTTTCGAAAAATCAGGCCATGCGCCTTTAAAACTTCAAACCATGGAAATGGAATAAAAAAGGAAGGGCCAGGGCTGCTCGCCGAAGAACAAGGGATAGGTGTAGCGAAAGTTGTCCTCCCAGTCATAATATTCCCTTTTTTGGCCCATTCCGGGTTGGAATAAGCTTAAGGGGAAGGAAAAGACGAGCAGCCAGAGGCGAGAAATTCAGAAATGAACATGTTTCGGAGACAATAAATTTCGAATGATCTCACGCGATTTTTGTTGAAATTTTGTTCATGGTCAAAGTCCAAGAAAATCTTTTTTTAGATCTTCTCCTTGGGAGTGATCACTTTAAGGGTTGAAAAATAAGTGATTTAACAACTTTTTTTTGAGATTTAAGTCTCCTTTTTTCATGATAAAAATGATATTTCTCTCAAAAATCCAAGAATAACCTATTTTTTTGAGCTTATATTTAAGGGGGTTATTCTTAAAAAAACGCATTTAAATATGTTCAAAAATCACAATTTTTTTGATAAAAAAATGACCTTTTTTTTCATCGAAAAGGGCTCATTTTTTTCATCTTCTCTACCGTGTGAAAAATGCTCCAAGACCAAAAAAAAACTTTTTTTTTTTATTTTTTCAAGCCTATTTTTCTTGGTAAAAAAACATTTAATAACCATTGAGCCATGCCAGACTTTGAAAAAAGGTCAAAAATTCCATTTTTCCTCAAAAAACCCACCCAAAGTATGCTGCTACCGAAGTCGATCCATTGCTGCTTGTTCCAGTCCGTAAAAACCATCACAATTTATTTTAGCCAGTCTTTTACAGATTGAAAAAAGGCCAATGGACCCGGCGTTCACCTCCCAAGGCCTGGAAAAAATGAAAAAAGTGAAAAAATTATGGAAAATTGAACAAAAAAGTGGGAAATTGATGGAAAAATGAACGAAAATGAGGGATAAAAAACAGAAAATCGGAATTTGAAGAAAAAAAAATTCTTTTTGGAATTGAGAAAAATTAATTTAAGAAGCTCAACTATGATAAGAAAATGATGAAAACTCTAAAAATCGAGCTTAAAAATGGAAAAATTAAAAAAAAAATGAAAAAATGGATAAAAATGAATGACAAAAATCAGAGAATCACAAAAAAATGAAAAAATTTTTTTTGAAACTGAAAAAAATTTTGAATTCAAGAAGCTCAACTATGAGGAGAAAAGGATAGAAGTTCTGAAATTAACACTCGAAAATGGAAAAAAATTCAAAAAATCATGAAAAAATGACCAAAAATGAAGGATAAAAAACATAAAATCACAAAAAAAAAGAAAACTTCATTTTTGAACTGAGAAAAAAATTAATTTAAGAAGCTCAACTATGAGAAGAAAAAGGTTATAAATTCTAAAATTAATACTTGAAAATGGAAAAATTCAAAGAATCATGAAAAAATGACCAAAAAAATGATGGATAGAAAAACAGAAAAATCGGAATTTCAAAGGGAAAAAAAAGGAAAATTTTATTTTGGAACTGGGAGAAAAATTTATTAAGAAGCTGAACTATGATAAGAAAAGGATAGAAATTCCAAAGTTAGAACTTGAAAATTGAGAAAAAATGAAAAAATGACCAAAAATGAAGGACAAAAATCAGAAAATGAAAAAAAAAAATGAAAATTTTTTTTGAAACTGAAAAATAAACAAATTGAGAAGCTCAACTATCATAAGAAAATGATAGAAATTCTAAAAATCGAGCTTAAAAATGGAAAAATTCAAAAATACCGATCAAACCTCAAAAAAACAGCTCAAAAACTTGATCAAAATGCAGGAAGATGTTGAAAATTTCATTGGAAAAATTAATTTATGTTAACAGAAATATTTTTTTCCCCAAAAAAAGCTTAAAAAGTATCCAAAATCCTTCATTTTTTTCGCTAATCTTATCAACAAAAAAATTGATAAGGTCCCAAATATGTTTATCAACTTTTTTTCCACGTGATAATACCTGTGGCGGATTAGGGAATCTTCTTTAATTTTAGCTCTAAAGAAAAAAATAAAATTGAGATTAAGCTTCATATCTGTCAAATGGCTTGAAAAGCTTGGAAAAAGTGCGATTTTTTTAATTTTGGGGCCGAAAAAAAGTCTTAATTTTCTCGAAAAAAATCTATCATAATATTAGATTTTCATCATAGAAATCGATATAAAAACCAGTTTTTGAACTATTTTCCTCATAAAAATTCTAAGAAAATCCAATTTTAAGTCGAAAAAAATCAGAAGAAAAATCGCAAATAAATGATAATTCTCAAGAAAAATTTCCAAAAAAATCGATTAAAAAAAAAAATAAGAGCATTTTTTTAGAGAAAAAAAGTCTGAAAAATAATGATTTTTTTCAAAATTTTTTTAAAAAAATCAAAAAAATTTATAATTCACGTTTTACATTGATTTCAGTACCAAAAACGGAACAAAAAGTGAAAAATTGAAAATTTCTGACAAAAACTTGAAAATTATAACAAATTGAAGTAACGAGGATGGAAAATGAACCATTAAGCGGATGATAGTCGAGAATATATCGAAAAGATAAAAATCTCAGGAGGGGGAATCAATGCATCAAGCGCGATAATATTTATCTCGAATTTTCATCTTTTCGTTAAATTTTTCCAATGGGGAGAGCTTTTCTAGGCAAAAAAATTAAAATATTTTTTTGTGAAGAAAAAAATTTTTTCATGACACTAATTTCATGATGAAAAGCTCTCATTTTGCAAAAATCGAAATTTTTCAATTTTAATGATATTTCCTCAACATTTTTGAACTAAAAAGTCCCAAAAAAATGATGAACATTTCGAAAAAAATCGCGTAAAAAAATCATCAGAAAAAGTCGTGAAAAAAAGCATAAAAAAATCAATAAAAAAACCCGAAATTCAGCTTTTTTTGATAATTAAACTTCAAAAAAAGGCATAAAAAAAGGATTCTCAACGTTGAAAAATGAGAAAAAAAGGATTTATCGGGGTAAAAAAATTAGACGAACAGAGGGAATAAACGTCATTTCGTCCAAAGGGGGTGAAAAAAACAAGACGGCTGGGAAAAAAACGATTTTAGTGCTAGGGTTTTCGTTAAAAAAACTTGACTTTTTCTCGTATTTTATCACTAAAAAAATCTTGGAAATTCATTTACTTCAGTCAATTTTTATGTTGAAGACAGATATTTTATGCATTTTGGAAGATTTTATGATCGAAAAAAATGTTTTTATCGAAGATATGTGGTTTTTTGTGAAAAAAATTCAAATTTCTTAAATTTTTTTCATTAAAAACCTTGATTGATTCATTATTACAGTGAATTTTTTTATGTAGAAATAGCCAGAGAAATTGAAAAAAGGTTTTTTTTCGGAAAACTGAGCATTTTTGTTGAAAAATTTTAAATTTACAGTACTTTTTATCATTGAGAACCTTGAAAAAAACCCATAAAATCAGTCAATTTTTTTATGTTGAAAAACACCAAAAAAATAAGGGTAAAAACCGTAATTTTTTTCCATTTTCGGGAGGATTTTCATTGAAAAAAAGTTATTTTATCGAAGATATGTGGTTTTTTTGTGAAAAAAATCCAAATTTTCTTAAACTTTTTTTCATTAAAAAAACCTTGAAATTAATTTATTTCAATCAATTTTTTTACTGAAAAAAAGCAAAAAAATAGGGCTAAAAACAGTAGTTTGTCCATTTTTAAAAAGATTTTATTATTGAAAAAAAGGAGTTGTTTTTCGAAATAATGAGGGTTTTTGTTGAAAAATTCCGATTTTAAAAATACTTTTCTCAGTAAAAAAATATGGAAAAATTCATCAAATTTAGTCAATCTTCATATAGAAAAAAAGCAAAAAAATAAGGCTAAAAATGAAAAATTTTTCCATTTTTTTTAAAAAAATTTTGATCATCGAAATTCGAATCAAAAAAACATGTAAAATCAAAAATTTGGACGTTTCTCCTAGTACTACAACAATTTTTTTGCAAAGAAACAGAGCATTTCGGGCCGGAATAGTGGCCCAAAATGCGTCACTCAAGTGGAAACAATGAGGGGCAATAAGATGGGAAAAAATGGCCGGGATTCTTTGAGAAACATCAATTTTTGCACTACAAATCTATCGAGGGAAAGGAGGAAATAAGAGAAATATACATTTTTTTTTTAGAAGAATATGTAAATTTTCGCCAAGGAAGTGAATGCATAAATTTTTTCAGGTTCTAGAAGTTTCTAGTAGAAAAAAATTTAATATAATTTAGGCGAGCACAAAATTTCACTTGATATACGAGAAAAAAATCAATCTTTGGCCTTGGAGCGCATTTGGATTCAAAAAAATAGCCGTTTTCGAGCAGATTTTCTAATATTTAATGGGAAAAAAATGTTAAAAAGACCTCAAAAAAATGCGGAAAAAAAGTCTCATTATAAGAAAAAAACTTATCATAAATTTCCAAATAAAAAATTATATTAAGGTATCTAATTTAAAAAAATGTAGAAAAAGAGGTTTATAAAAAAATTTAAAATTACCCTAAAAAAATTGAGAAAAAATCAATTTTTTTAGCCTTGGAGCGCATTTGGATTCAAAAATAGCCGTTTTTCGAGCAGATCTTTCTAAAATTTGATAGGAAAAAAATTTTGAAAAAGACCTCGAAAAATGCGGAAAAAAAGTCTCATTATAAGAAAAAAACTTATCAAAAAAATTCAAAAAAATTATATTAAGGTATCTAAATCTTAATAATGTAGAAAAGAGGTTTATAAAAAAATTAAATCCCCTTAAAAAAATCGAGAAAAAAATCAATTTTTTTAGCCTTGGAGAGCATTAAAAATTCAAAAAAATAGCCGTTTTTCGAGCAGATTTTTCTAAAAATTTAATGGGAAAAAAATGTTAGAAAAATACTTCAAAAATGTGGAATTAGAAGAAAAAAGCTTTTTTTGGACATAAGTTTCGAAAAAAAGTTCATCTGAGACTTGGAAAAAAATAGGAAAAAAAGATTCATGCTTGAAAAAATAGAAAAATGTGAAATCAAGGCTTCAAACCTATCAAAAACAAACGAAAAAGCCCATTCAATGTACATAAAACTTTATTCGACACAAAAAACCCTGAAAAAAGGCTAAATTTTCATAGAATCTACTCTAAAAAAGTCATTGGAACAAAGTTCAAGGACAATTAAACGTGGGAGGCGAGTTGGGAAATGGCCGAGCCGACTTTTTCCCGCGAGAAATCTTCCAGAGAGGCCACCCGTTCGACGCCGTGTTCGTAACGAGCGAAAAACTCTGGAAATCGATTGATATTATTGAATATTTTATGGAAAAAAATGATAAATTGTGATGGAAATCAATGCATTTTGATGGAAACCCCCTAATTTTTTTGATGGAAAAATCATCAATTTGGGATGAAAAAAATCATTAATTTGTGATGAAAAAAATCGATAAATTCTGATGAAAAAAATCAAAAAAATTTTTGATGAAAAAAATCAATAAAATGTGATGAATAATTGATAAATCATGATGAAAAAAACCATAATTTGTGATGGAAAAATCGAAAAAAATAGTGATAACCATTGATGATTTTTAACGAAAAATCGATGAATTTTTATGAAAAATCACAAAATTGTGATGGAAAATTGATAAATTCTTATGAAAAAAATCGATAAATTCTCATGGAAAAATCAATAATTTTTTTGATGAAAAAAATCAATGAATTACGATGAAAAAAATAGATGAATTCTTATGAAAAAAATCGATAAATTCTTATGAAAAAAATGGATAAATTCTGATGAAAAAAATCGATAAATTTTGATGAAAAAAATCGATAAATTTTGATGAAAAAAATCAATAACTTGTCCTGAAAAAAATTAATAATTTTTTTGATGAAAAAAATCAATAAGTTATGATGAAAAAAACCTTAATTTGTAATAGAAAACCAATAAATTGTGAAAAAAAGACATATTTTCACAAAATATCAAAAAAATGACTCATAGAAACGTAAGAAAAAAACAGGAAATTATCCATTTTTTTTAAAGAAAAAAAGATGATTTTGAGATAACTGAAAAATAAGTAGCTAGGCTTAGGAAACGTCTAAAAAAGTGCTAGACTCAAAAATTCAGTTTCAAACAGGAAATCGACACAAAAATATTGAATTTTCTTTAAAAAATGGTAAATTTTGATGTAGGAAAAAAAGCAACAATTTCCTGAATTTTGAGGTATTTAAAAAGAGAATAGATGAAATCTTGAGTATAAAATAGACGAATTTACATAATAAATCATGAAAAAGCAGATGTTATCGATTTTCCACTGATAAATCTAGAAGAAAATAGGATCTTTTAAAAAAAAAAGTGGGAATTTTCACCTAGAAAAAAATAGGAGCATGATCTACAAAGAAAATCGAATTTTACAGATTTAATGGAGTTCTTGGAAGTTCAGAAATTCTTCTTTTTGAGAAGATAATTATCTTAAAAGTTATTGTACGAGGGAAAATTCAATAATAAGAGCCAAAACCTTGAGGAAAAAATCGGAAATATAGGTTTTCTTTCAACTTTTCAACTACAGCTAACCTAAACTTCAGAAAATCTAAACTTGAATAGTTAAAAAAAATCTAAAAACCATTCAAAAACGTGACAAGTGAGAAATACACGACTAAATGGAAAATGACAAACCTCGGAACAATACCGGAAGCTTCCCGGATAAGAATCGGGAACTGCGGGTTGGCCTTTTTCAACCCGACGTAATCTTGTTCGATGAAAGCTCGAACTCCTGCCGAGGCAGAGCTCGTTTGGCACAAATGGATGCGCAGCTCCCGGAGGGCGGTTCCCGCAAGCTTTATCGACATCTCAACTGATTTTTTCTCATAAAAAAAGATTTTAAGAGAGAAAATCGTGGATTATTCAAAAATTTCTGTTAAGAATCAGCGAAGAAAACCTTATTTTTGAAGCTGATAACGTGTTGAAATGGAGAAAAAGATACATAGAGATCAAAAAAACAAAAGAAAAAAATGATCAAGATGAAAAAGAAAAAAACAGTTTTTTTCAATACGAATTTTTTTACAGAATATGATCTAACTGATACAAATAACTTTTTTTCTGCACATTTTAAAGCTTATTATGCGCAAATTGACTACAAAAATGTTTTAAAATTTCACAGAAAATTCACGAAACAGAAAACTAACGGAGAATAATGAATTTAGAAGAAAAAACAGCTACAAAAATTCAACAACTGATTTTTTCCAAATTTTTTCATCTCCACATCTTTTTTCGATTCAAAATGTCTTCTTTTGGCTAGAATTAAAATGAAGTTCTGATTAAAATCATTTCTACACTCTTCTCTACAAAAAATTGCCCGAAAAACAAGAAAATCAAGCAAAAATCTAAGCGGCATTTTTTTGAAACGGATGCTGGTGATTTGGCGAAAGTAAGGCTTTGAATATACAATCTGAACTTTCTTAACCACCATCGTACTATAAAAAATCACAAAACATAACAGTTGAAAAAATTTTAAAAAGCGGGAAGAAACTCGAAAAAAAAAGAAACAGAAAATCGTGCGGCGGGAAGAGGGCTCTGCAATTCGCGCGCAGTACTTGCAATCAATTTTGCGAGACTGCAATTTTTTGTTCCAACAGCCTATTTTTAAAGTTTTCACATGACTTGTTTCACAATACACATTCCTTAATTATTTAATTGGAAAGGTGGATATATACCTTAATATCAGCTTAGTATCTCGTGATTTGATATTTTTTTCAAGTCTGATTTTTATATTATTTTTCCTCCTTTTCATGCTTTCTTTGATTTTCAATATGACGCAAAAGTTGAGTTTTCAGCCAAAATGGCTCGTGCCTCGTTCGAATACGACGAGGTGGGTAACACGTTCTACTATGTGCTCGTCTCATTTTACGCGATTATCCTGTTCCCAGCCACCTACTACTTGTTTCCCACCGGGAAAACTGGTGAGAATATCCCTATAAAAAGCGGCTTTTTATTCGAAAATGGATATTTTCAGAAGAGCTGAAAATAAACGAACACGAATGCCAATGCAGTGGATGTGAGGGAAAGCGGAAAAGGAAGGAGGCGAATAAGCCGTGGCGTCGGACCAAGAAGATCATCTCCATCGTGGTTTCAAACTCGATTTTGTATTTAAAAATAGGAAAATGGAAATTTTCAGGGTCTGGCCGTTGCCTGGTTGATTTTCGCCATGATCGTCAAGAAGATTACCGAAATCGAGCCGACTCACAAGGTTTTTTTTAAGCCTTTTCTGTAGCCTTAGGTATAAAAAAACGCAAAGATAATTTTTTTTTTCACTTTCTAGAAGCTTTTTATGCACTTTTCAGCCATTTTTCTGGCTTTTTCGAAATTTTCATTTTTATTTAGAAAGACCTTTTCAATGGAAGTACATGTTAAAAAAAGTTTTTTTCTGAAAATTTCTAGAAAAAGTTTTTTTCCTGTCTTTTTAAAGGATTTTACTGGAAAAGTCCATCTTTTATAAAGTAAAGAAGACAAAGATTTCCAAAAAAATAGACGACCAAAAAAATACGAAAAAAATGATTTTTTTCCACTGTTTAGGAACATTGAAAGCTTGAAAATTCCTTATTAAGTTTTGAAAAATCTTGTGATTTTATAATAGTTTTTTTCCAGGACTACGACCCCTACCAAATCCTGGGTTTGGACCAAGGCGCCGACGGGGCTCAGGTCAAAAAGGCGTACCGAGATTTGTCAAAGGTAAAAATCCAGGGTTTTCAGATGGAAAAGTCAAAAATTTCTTTGAAAATTTTTTTAAAGGTCATTTTTACATAGGAAATGGCCTCGAATTTCAAAATTTTCATTTAAAACCTCGAAAATGCACTTTTAAAGGTAATTTTCACATAGGAAATGGTCTCGAATATGACATTTTCATTCATTCTTATCATTCTAACCAATTTGTCATGGAAAAAAACTTGAAAAATTCAGGGTTTTAAGGCGAAAAAAATGAAAAAAATACCTTAAAAAAATGTGTTTTTTTAAAGGTTATTTTTTTACATAGGAAATGGCCGCGAAACTCAAAATTTTTTTATTCATTTTTACCATTATGGTTAGATTTTTTTCACTGAAAAAAACCGGAAAATGAACGATTTTAAGGGGGAAAAAAATCGAAAAAAATGCTTTGAAAAATGTACTTTTTAAAGGTCATTTTTACATAGGAAATGGCCTCGGTTTTCAAAATTTTCATTCATTTTTACAGTTCTGACCAGATTTTTCATTGAAAAATGTGAAAATGAAGGTTTTTAAAGCGAAAAAAATCAAAAAAATACCTCAAAAAAACATATTTTAACAGGTCATTTTTTTCATAGGAAATGGCCTCGAATTCGAAAATTCTCATTCATTTTTTTACCATTCTAACCAATTTTTTATCAAGAAAAACGTGAAAATGAAGGTTTTTCAGCTGAAAAAAAATCAAAAAGGAACCAATTTTGAATATTTTAGGTTCACCATCCGGACAAAGGAGGAGATCCGCTGCTGTTCGACCGGATCGCCAAGGCTTATCAGGCCCTGACGGACAAGGAGGCCCGGGAAAATTGGGAGAAATACGGGAATCCCGACGGGCCTACAGGTCCTTCAACTAAATTTTTTTTTAAATCCTTTTTTTGGCCTGAAATTGGCTAAAAAAAGCTTTGAATCTGGTTTTTCTCATGAAAAATGTCAGATTTCTCAATTTTCTAGTTGAAAATGGTCATTTTTTTGAACTTTAGACATCAATAAATTCAATAAATCTCTTTTTTAATTTCAGGGCTGATTTCTAAAAAAATTGATTTGTATGGCCAAAAAATTGACTGGAAAAATGCTTCAAACGTCGTTTTTTTCTCATGAAAGAATGTCAAATTTCTCAATTTTTTTCACTTGAAAATGATCTTTTTTTGATTTTCAAGCTTCTATATTTTCATTATATTTTCTTCAAAAATTATAACTTATAGCCAAATTTCGATTTTTTTGAAGCTTAGACGGACTGAAAAAAAGCTTCAAACCTTGTTTTTTTCTGATGAAAAAAATGGTTAAATTTCTCAATTTTTTTCATTTGAAAATGGTCATTTTTTTGAACTTTTAGACATCAATAAATTCAATATATCTCTTTTTAATTTTTAGGACTGATTTTTTTAAATATTGATTTTTTTATGGCTTAAACGAACTGATAAAAAGCTTCAAACCTCGTTTTTCTCGTGAAAAAACGTCAAATTTCTCAATTTTTCACTTAAAAATGGTCATTTTTGAACTTTAGGCTTCAAAATTTTCATTATAATTCTCATTATATTCTTCAAATTTAGAAGTGATTTGAAAAAAATTGATTTTTAGTTTTTAAACTTTAAAAACGGACTGAAAAAAGCTTCAAACCTCGTTTTTCTGAAGAAAAAGGATCAAATTTTTTTCAATTTTTTTCACTGGAAAATGGTCATTTTTGAGCTTAAAAGTCTAAAAAAATTCAATAAATCTTCTTCACTTTCATAAATAATTAAGGAATTTTGATTTTGCAGCAACGACCTTCGGTATCGCCTTGCCGAAATGGCTCGTCAGCAAGGAATACGGAATCTGGGTCCTCGCCTTCTACGGCCTCATTTTCATGGTCATCATGCCTTCCGTTGTGGTTAGTTAATTATTATTTTTTCTTGGATCTGAATCCTAACTGTTCGCATTTTCAAAACGTCCTATTTTTTACGCTTTTTAAAAATTTTTTTTAGAAAACATAAATTTTCATGAACAATTATTGAATAAACCCAGAATTTCAGCTTTGAAAATTCGAATAATACCGAAAATACTGCTTTTTTAAACATTTCTGTACTATTCCTAACTGTTCGTAATGTCAAAAAGTCCGTGGAAAAAAACCTTTTTTTCGAAATTTTCGTATAAAAAAACATAATTTTCTATGTATAAATTTAGTAAAACCCGGAATTTCAGCTTTAAATCTTCGAAAAATTGCGAAAATTCTACTTTTTTTGAAACCCTTCAGTACTATTCTCAACTGTTCGCATTTTTCAAAACGTCTTATTTTTTTCACGCTTTTTTTTAAAAAAATTTTCTTAAGAAAAAAATAATCTTTCATGTATAATTATTGAATAAACCCGGAATTTCAGCTTCAAATCTGTATGAAATTTCAAAAATGCGTCCTTCTAAAAAAACGTTTTTTGTAAGATTCGTAACTGTTCGCATTGTAAAGACGTCCCATTTTCTTTAAATCCACTTTAAAATAGTTTTAATCATAATGAGAAGACGTTATTTAAAAAAAAGGAACAAAAGGCCGATTTTTCGAAATTTTTCTGCAGAAAAAAATGATTATATGTGCTAAATTTCATTGTGAACAAGAGTTCTAAGCTTCAAATATTCATGAAATTTCAAAAATCCTGCTTTTTTGAAACTTTTTTGTACAATTCTTAAATGTCCGCATTTTAGAAGCGTGCCATTTGTTCCAAAAATTTAGAAAAAAATAATTTTTTTGATGTAGAAATTCAAAACACCCGGGATTCCATGTTAAAAATTTTTTTGAAGGATTTTGAAACTGATGACTTTTTTTCAAACTTTTTTTGTAAGATTCGGAATTTTTTTCGCGCTTTTGAAACTTCCTATTTTTTTAGCTCTCCCGAATTTTTTAATATAACTTTTTGTATAATTTCAGTAAAAACACGGGATTTCAGCTTTTTGGTAAATTTCACGCCTTTTCGAGACTTTTTTATACGATTTCTAGCTGTTCGTATTTTCGAAACGTCCCATTTTTCCCGCTTTTTTCAAAATTTTCTTTCTAAAAAGTGAACAAAATGTGCGTATAAATACGAGCTTTAAGTGTCATAATTTCTAAATATTTCTGAAATTGGTGAGATTTTGAAATTTTTGTACCTTTCCGTACGGTTCGCATTTTAAAAACGTCCCCTTTTCCTGTTTTTTTGAAAATCTTCAGAAAAATTGTTTTTGAGCGAAATTCCAGTATAAATTTGAGTTATAAGTTTCGAATCTTCTGAAAATTCTTAGAAATTTTTTATTTTTTTGTAACTAATTCATTATTTTTTTCAGTAGAAACCCAATTTTTCAGGGAATCTGGTGGTACAACTCGATAAAATACAACGTCGACAAAGTTTTAATGAGCACCACCCGATTATATTTCCATTTCATCGAGAAAACCCCACGGATGGAGATCAATCGTGGGTTTTTGGGTTTTATGGGCTTTTTTTGGGATTTTTCAGGTTCTTTTTGAGATTTTTTAGGTTCATTTTGGGATTTTTTAGATTCATTTTGGGATTTTTATGTTCTTTTTGGGATTTTTTGGGTTCTTTTTGGGATTTTTTAGGTTATTTTTTTTGTGATTTTTTTAGGTTCTTTTAGGTTTTTTTAGGTCCTTGATCTCATAAAAACCCCAAAAATTGTTTTTAGGCATGATCTACGTTCTCAGTGGCTCGATGGAATTCTGCAAATCGGAAAATAAAGAAATCGTCGAACGGGCCAGCGATGAGACGGAACTCCCGCGGTAATCCCGATTTTTTTTTTCTCGAAAGGAGTGGTCCCTTGAGGGGTTAGGACAAAAAACGGCCTCTATAGTGGGTGAATTCGTATTTTTTAAATACGAACTGGGTGTGGAATATTGGAAAATGTACTATTTTTTGGGATGGATTCATAAGTTAAGCAAGGAATTTTTTTAAAAACCAGTTGTGATTCGAATTTAAAATTTTATTTATTTCGAAATTTCGAAATTAGAAACGCCAGAGCAGTCCCTAGAGAGAACAAAATAAAGCTCTTTATAGGGGGGAAATCAAAAATAGTCCCTATAGGGGTTCAGCTTATGATTTTTAGCCCCTAAAGTTTTAGTGGTCCCTATAGGGGGTTTTTTTGTTTGAAATGTTGAAAAATAAGTATACAGAACACTAGGATGCTCTTTTAGACTAACTAAAATCACTAAAGGGGTCACTTCTGCAGAAGAAAGCCCCTAGAGTGACCACTTTTCCAATGTAGTGCCCTCTATAGGCGGAGGTAAGGTGCTCACTAAAAGGGAATTTTTAAGAGGTCCTAAAGTTGCCCCTTGAGGGACCACTCTAGCTTTCCTACGTGAATCGTTTCATAGTGGAGCCATTCTCCATGCGACCACATTTTGTATCGATTCTATTTTTTTAGCCTCATGAAATCCCTGCCAAACCTGGCCGACAAGAGCAAAGAACGACCTCTGAGCATGCCGTACGCTTTGAAAGCGCGGATACTTATGCACGCCTATCTGTCCCGAATTCCTCTGGAATCTGAAGGAGGAGCCCTCGATTTCGATCAAAGGTTTGTACTGGGAAATATTTTTTTGCTCAAAAATGTTTCGAAAAATCGGTAAAATGAACGTTTTTTTCCAAAAATTTTTTTCAAGTTTTTTTCGGTTTATTTGAGCAGTTTTCTTCAGAAAAAAAGGCGATAATTATCGAAATTTAAAAATTTTTTTGACTTCAAAATGCTCCAAATAAGGGATTGATAGCAACACGATTCGCAAAAAATGCTTCAAAATTGGCTTTTTTTTTTCTCAAAATTTCGACTTTTTCGGTTGAAATGAGCAGTTTTCTTCAACAGGACGGCATTATTTTTCGAAACCTTAAATTTTTGAAGAGGGAAAGGTAATTTTTGCTTCAAAATGGTCCAAAAATTGAAAAGAGAACAAGAAAATTTGCAAAAATGCCTAGAAATGAAAGATTTTTTTTCCTTTTTGTCAAGTTTTTCGGATTATTTGAGCAGTTTTCTTTAAAAGGAAGGTATTATTAATCGAAATTTCAGAGTTTTCCAAGAGAAAAAAAAAATTTTTTTACTTCAAAATGGTCCAAAAAAAGGAATCGATCGCAATACAATTCGCAAAAAAATGCTTCAAAATTGGCTTTTTTTCCTCAAAAATTTCGCCTTTTTTTCGATTTTGTTGAGCAGTTTTCTTCAACAGGAAGGCATTATTCATCGAAATTTTAAATTTTTTTCAAGAGAAAAAGTTATTTCTTGGCTTTATACCATTCAGAAATATGAAGGAATTTCGTCAAAAATGCTTTTAAACGAAAGTTTTTACTGAATTTGTGACTATTTTGGTCGAGTTGAGCGATTTTTCTGTAGACGAAACGGCGTTTTTTTCTTAGAAATTTCATAGTTTTCCAAGAGAAAAAATTATTTTTTATTGCTTCAAAATGTTTCAAAATATGAGAAGAGAGCAAGAAAAATTTGCAAAAATAGACTTTTTTTCTTTTTCGGTCGATTCTCTATAGGAAAAAAATTTTTTTGATTTTTGAAGAGAAAACTTTAATTTTTTTATAATTTTTTTAAGATATGTGATAATTCGAACGCTTCGTCTGATTGAGGAGATGATTTCCGTCGCCCACACCTTCATTTATTATACGCAGGTGAGGATTTTAATAGAAAAATTTAATGAAATTGGTAAGTTTTTGTGAAAATTTTGAAGAAAAACGGCGTTTTTCGAGTTTTTTTTTGACCTAATGAATAAAATGACGATAATGATGATTTTTCTCGAATTTTTTGCGATTTTAGGTCATTTTTTCTGGATTTTAGGTCAGAATCCCCGTGGACACTGTTGAGAATCTGATGCGCCTGCAGCCCATGTTCGTCCAGGTTTTTTCCCCCAAAAAACCCTTCAAAAAAAATTATTTTCCAGGCTCTCTGGCCCAGAAACAGCCCCCTGATGCAGTTGCCCCACATTACGGATTATAATTTGACGCATTTGAGGAAGGTAAAAAATATATTTTCAGAAAAAATGCCTCAAAATTGAGCTAAAATGCCACCAAAAAGAGCCCAAAAATCACGAAATTTGGGTTATTCTTGAGAAAATTGATGAAATTACAAGAGGTAAAAAAAATATAGACGAAAAAAATAAGTTCTAAGAATAAAATGCCTCGATATTAAGCAAGAATGAGCTCTGAAAAATGATTAAAAATTCAGCCAGAAATGAAGAAAAATTAGCCCAAAAAGTTATAGAAATTTGAAAAAAATTCTGGACAAATCTGAGGAAAAATATAAAAAAATTTCTGAAATTTGTAGGAAATTTAGTTGAATTTATAAGTTATAAGATGAAAAAAATGCCTTAAAAATTAAGCAAGAAAAAGTCTCTGAAAATCCTAAAAAAATTCAGCCGGAAATGAAGGAAAAAGAGCCCAAAAAAATAATAGAAATTTAAAAAAATTCCGGGCAAATCTGAGGAGAATATAAAAAAATTGCGAAATTTGTAGGAAATTTAGCTGAATTTATAAGTTATAAGATGAAAAAAAGCTTCAAAAATCGAGCTAGAAAAAGGCTCTGAAAATCCCGAAAAATTCAACCAAAATGTGAAGAAAAAAAGAGCCTAAAAAGCCTCAGAAAAACTGATAAAATTCCGGGCAAAACTGAGGAAAAAGAAAAAAATTTCGAAATCTATTTTATAAGTTATAAGATGAAAAAAATGCTTCAAAATCGAGCCAAAATTAGGGATTTTGAAGCCAGAAAACGAGATTTTTGAGTTAAAATTACGCCGGCTCGGAAAATTCTTGATAATTCAAAAGCTCGGAACGATAAAAATCTGCTCCAAAAAGAGCCTAGAAAGCTCGGAAAATTCTAAAAATGGAGCCAGAAATCAGAAAATTTGAGTTTCTATAAGATTTCGTCTGAAAATCGAACCAAAAAATGAATGGAAAAGGAAAAAATAAGCTGATTTTCAAGCGAAATTCGGATTTTTGAACCTTTTTGGTGATTTTCTTTGATTCGACAGCTTATTTATGAGTTCTATCAGGACCCAGGCCTAAAATTCAATCAAAAAACCAGATTTTCAACAAAAAACGGTTCAGAACCGCGTGTTTTCCTGCCACGACCTGGCCAAAATGGACAACGAGAAAAGACGCGGCGTCTTGCGATCCCTGACCGATTCTGAATATCGTGACGTCATGGTCGTCCTTTCTTCCATGCCCAGATTGAATATCGACGCCAGAGTCGTTGGTTCGTTTGAAAAATGAGTGGAAAGAATCGATAAAGTTGAAAAAAAAGTGAGAAAAAATCGATTAAACTTGAAAAAAACGTGATAGAAAATTGATAAAGCTTGGAAACAGTGACAATGAATCGATAGTACTTGGAAAAAGTGATAAAACGGAACAAAAATATTTTAAAAAATCGATGAGATTGAAAAAAGGAGCTTCTTTCAGTTTATCGTCTCATTATGTGATTTATGCTTAAAAAATAGAAAAAAAATACGCTATGGAATGGCTCAAAGCGGCGCGGTCGCGCTGTGGTTTCAGAGTAAAAATCAAGCTTTAACTTTGGTAATGTTCCAAAATTTGCGCTCGACCTTGAGCGACTTTATTCCTATACTCTAGGATGTCACTTGGCGCAAGTAGTTTTCTGTCGGAGGTTTTGAAAGCTCTGGAATGGCTCAAAGCGGCGCGGTCGCGTTGCGGTTTCAGAGTGAAAACGAAGCTTCAACTAAGGAAATGTTCCAAAATTTGCGCCCGACCTTGAGCGACTTCATTCCTATGCTTTAGGATGTCATTTTGCGCAAATAGTTTTCTGTCGGAGGTTTTGAAAAATAAAGCCTTGAGCCCATTTTTTAAGATGAGGGTGTTTCTTAAAGTCGCGAAAAAAGGTCATTTTGAGCGTTTTACAGCCATTTTCTGACACGAAAAAAAGTTTCACCTTGAAATTATGTAGAAAAATGCATATTTTTTTTCAAATTTGAAAGTTTATTTCCAGTCGAATGCGAAGATGATGCTCATGAAGTGACTGCCGGATGTGTGGTCACCCTTAAAGTCACCTTGAAACGCTCCCGTCTCATTGATCCTCAGGTTTGAACTCGAAAGTTTGAGTCAAAAAGAAAAATAAGAGACCTCGGCATTATTTAAAAGATGGTAGGAACTCCAGAGTGGTCCCTATAGGGGCAGCACTTTACCTTCCCTCTAGGGGTCACTGAAGCTCTCTAAAGTGGTCTCTGGAGGGGTTTTAGTTAGGTTTGAGTCGCTAGGGGGTCAGACCCTGAAGCCCTATAGGGACCACTCTCCAAAGATCCCAAAGGGATTTCTTTAGTGAAATTGACTTTTTTCTACACATTTCCGAAGGCTGAGAGTGGTCTTTGAGAGGATTTTCCACAAATTTTTGCAGTAAAATCCATAAAAACCATCATTTTTCCAGGAAGCCGGCCTCGACGATCAACACCGCTCAGTTTCAGATGAAGAAAATGAGGACGAGGAAAACTCGGAGAGTGATGACGACGAGAAGGATGAGAATGCAGAGAAGGAGGCTGATAATAAGGTGAAAATTGGGGGCAATTTCAGAAAAACTTCCTCAGGAACTCAAAATTCACGCGGTTCCCCTTATAAATGAAAAAAAAAGTTCAAAATTTGGTCAAGTTACCAGGAAAAAATTATTTTTCCATTAACTGTGGGGAAGAGATGCGTTTAGGTTGCTTAAGTGGCCACTTGAAAGCTCAGAATCATCAGGAAAAATTTTCAAAAATTTTTCACTCTTTCATTTTTCCTTTCAATGAGTATACTAAAAAGGGCGCCAAATTGTCACCTTTTCGAAAAAAAAACCGTGGGAAAATTACAATATACAGGGCTTTTTTGAGCGCTTCGCTTCAAGACCTGTGAGCTGAAGGTATAGGGTATTTTGTCCAGAAAAAAAATTCACGTGTTTCGGCTTTCACTAGAGTCATTATATATATATAAAATGCCGCGAAATTGTCAGATTCAAAAAAAAATTAGAAAAAAACTACAGTATACAGAGATTTTTTTGCGCGCTTCGCTTCAAAACCTGTGAGATGAAGGTATAGGGTATTTTGGCCAGAAAAAAAAAAATTCACGTATTTCGGCATTTGATAAAGTCATCATAATTAAAAAGGTCGAGAAATTTTCACTTAAAAAAAAACTACAGTACTACTGAGGTTTTTTGCGCTATTCGCTTCAAGACCTGTGATCTAGAGGTATACGGTATTTTGGTCAGAATAAAAAAACGTGACATGCTGACGCAGACTTCAAGACAAGGAAATTTCTCATTTTTATAATTTTTCAACTGAATATGGTTCGAAAAAGGAAGATGGGCTATTATTTTTCACTTTTCAACAGTAAGAACGGACCTTTCTATATAATTTTCACGAATTTCACTTAAGCAGGCTCTCAAAATTTTTCAATTTTGCAGTATGCTGGAACACCGATTGATTAAAAAGAAAAAAGAAGCTGAAATTTTCATAAATTCCAGGTGAAACGGAAACCTTGGGAGAAGCAGAAGCCGAAAAAAGGCGCCGCCAAGAAGAAGGCCGGCAACAAGAAGCAGCAGAAGAAGAAGCCGGTCGCCGTGGCCCCCGGAAAGGAAGAAACCAAGCCGGAAGCCCCCGAATCGCCCTCCCAAACCAAGAAAGACAAGAAGGACGAGAAGGAAAAGCCCAAAAAGGACAAGGACAGCGATTCTGAAGGCGAGGACGACGATGAGGCGGTTTGAAGGCTTCAGAATACCCGGAAGACCCCCATTTTCAGTCTTCTGGAGGCTCGGACTCGGAGAAGGACGAGAAGAAGGCCAAGGATGAGGACAGTGATGACGACTGGGATGGCGGACTGGGCAATAGCAAAAAGGTTCGGTTTCTGAAAATTATAGGAACGAAGAAAATTGAGCCTCGATTAGGTAGCAAAAATAGCCGTGAGAAAAACAGCCACAATAAAATCAGTTGAAAATTAATTAGGACTTTTATCTTTTTCTTTTTCTGGGCCTGAAAAATGATAGAAATTCGAACAATTAGATAAAATAACTGTGAAAAAATAGCCGCGTTTAAACGGCCGAAAAATAGCCTCAGTCTTGAGAATAGCAAAAAAGGTCCGGTTTCTGGGGCTTGAAAATGATAGAAATGAGGGAAAATTGAGCCTCGATTAGGTAGCAAAATAGCCGCGGTAAATGAGCCGTGAGAAAAACAGCCAGACGAAAAAAATCTACTGGATCGTACAATAAAAACAGTTGAAAATAGCTTTACATAAGGACTTTTTTTGAAACTGAATAAAAATAACTGTGAAAAAAATAGCCGCGTTTAAACGGCCGAAAAAAATAGCCTTTAGCCTTGAAAAATAGCAAAAAAAGGTTCGGTTTCTAGAGCTTGAAAAATGATAGAAAAATTGAGCCTCGATTAGGTAGCAAAAATAGCCGCGGTAAATGAGCCGTGAGAAAAAAACAGCCAGACGAAAAAAATCTACTGGATCGTACAATAAAACTAGTTCAAAATAGCTTTTCAACATTTCTATTTAATCTAAATGCTTATCTTTATACCACATGCACCCTATTATTATTACTGGAAAGACGAAAAAATTTAAATGAAAAAAACAGCCGCGGTAAAATAGCATCTGAAGAGAAAAAATGAGAGGAACCGAAAATTTTGTGAAAAGGTCGTGAAAATGAGCCAAAAGATCCGTATTCGAAATATGTTACAAAAATGGCTTCTTCAGCTTTTTCGAATAAAACTGCAGCTCAAAAAAAGAAGGCGAATATTTTTAAGCTTCAAAAAAAAAGAGCCGCGATCAAATTTGCTTTCAAAAATTCGCTGAAAAATTTAATATTTCCGCATTTATCCTGGACTTTTTCTCGGCTGGGGGAATTTCTATAAAACACAGTCATTTCTAAGCTCTCCTATATTCCATTTCCAGATCTCCTTCGAAGCGAAGACGATCGAAACCCACTCGGTTCACTGTCCCTACTACCCCGCGGAGAAGTACGAATGGTGGTGGGTCTCTCTGATGGTCCAGGACAAGCGGACCAAGCAGCGGATGATGGTCAGCGCCGCCCAGCTCGTCAAGACGCTGGTTGATGAACACACGGTCAGTTTTCCATCCGTTTTGGTCTTTCAAATACATGATTTTTGAAGGTTCTTTGTCTTTTTGTGTAGAGGAATTTCATAAACTAGAGAAAAACTTTGATGAGGTGGATTTACATTCATTTTAGTCCTCCAAAAACTTGATTTTCAAAAAATTTCTTTCGTTTTTGAGTATTAACTTGAGTCCAATCTTCTAGATTAACATATTTTTTTAAATCGTATCCCACCTTTCCAAAAGAAAAAAAGAAGCCAACTTTGTTTTTCTACGCTTTGATGACGTCATAGATTGATTTTAAAACGCGTTTCGCCCAAAACTACCTCAAAAAGCTGAAAAATGAGGGCTTTTCCGCTCGCAAGACGTCATAAAACAGCTAAAATTGGACGTCAAAAAAAAGTGACGTCATATTTATCATATTCACTCTAATGACGTCATAAAATGTATCTTAGGTATTATTTTGAACATTTTTAGAGTATTATATCCAAAATAAAAAAAGGCCAACTTAGTTTTTCTACGCTTTGATGACGTCATAGATTGATTTTAAAACGCGTTTCGCCCAAAACTACCTCAAAAAGCTGAAAAATGAGGGCTTTTCCGCTCGCAAGACGTCATAAAACAGCTAAAATTGGACGTCAAAAAAAAGTGACGTCATATTTATCATATTCACTCTAATGACGTCATAAAATGTATCTTAGGTATTATTTAAAAAAATTTTTTTAAATTATTATATCCAAAAAGAAAAAGAAGCCAACTTAGTTTTCCTACCCTTTAATGACGTCATAGATTTTTTTTAAACGCGTTTCGCTTAAAATTAACTTGAAAAAGCTCCAAAAATGAGGAATTTTCCGCTCGCAAGACGTCATAAAATAGCTGAAATTGGACCTCAAAAAAAAGTGACGTCATATTTTTCATATTCACTCTAATGACGCCATAAAAATGTATCTTAGGTAGTATTTAAAAAAATTTTTAGAATATTCCTTTTTTGCCATGTTCGAAGTGATTCCGCGAAAATAAAAATAGCTGTCAGACTTAGGAATTCCAGAGTGGTCCCTATAGAGATAAGAGGGAAAAAAAACCCCTATAGGGGTCGGAAAAGTGGTCGCTATAGAGGTTTATGGTCTGACCCTTAGCCCCCAAGTGGACCCTATAGAGGTCTTTTAATCTCATTCAAAAAGTGCTTAATCATTAGTTTTTTCCGTGGGAATACTTCTTGGCTTATTAAAAATAACATTTCCCCTATAGGGACCACTTTTGCAAGCTTTAGTGGCCCCTATAGGGTTTAGTAAAGATCTCCCTCCAAGGGTCCCTAAAGGGACCACTCTCGATTTAATAAGGAGAGTCAGAGATTCTTCATTTTTTCAAATCTGATTTCATTGATCCCCTTTAGATCGATTTGCGATTCGGCGCCCCCAAGGACAAGGGAATTTATCACTATCAATTGGCCGTCAAATCCGACTCTTATATGGATGCTGAGTACACGTTGGACGTCAAGGTTTGTTTTATTTTCAGAATTTCAAAGTAAATTTATTGATTTTTCTCCAGTTGGACGTCAAGGAATCGAAAGTGTTGGAAGTGAAACACGAGGATTACTTGGACGACGAGGAGGACAAGGTATGCAAAGTTGAAGTGACCTCTTAAGCGAAATTTGTAGTGCTCACTTGAGAGGAAATTCAAGTGCAAGTACTCTAAAGAACAGCCAAATGAATAATATTCAAGGAAAAACAGTTATTTTCACTTTGAAGAGGTCCTCAAAGGTCTAGGGACTTTTAAAGTGGCCACTTGAGGTGTAGGAATCTTGGAGTGCTCACTTAAGGGATTCCCGAAAAAGAAAAACGAAGAAATAAGCGAAAAATCAAAAATTTTCTCTCTGCTTGAGAATGACGTCATTTTTTTTTTTTTTGAAGTGATCACTTGAGATGTAGGAATCTTGAAGTGCTCACTTAAGGGGCATTAAAAGCGTAAAAATGAGCACTAACTCAGAAATTTCTCTCTGCTTGAGAATGACGTCATTTTTTTGTTGAAGTGATCACTTGAGATGTAGGAATCTTGAAGTGCTCACTTAAGGGGCATTAAAAGCGTAAAAATGAGCACTAACTCAGAAATTTCTCTCTGCTTGAGAATGACGTCATTTTTTTTTTTGAAGTGATCACTTGAGATGTAGGAATCTTGAAGTGCTCACTTAAGGGGCATTAAAAGCGTAAAAATGAGCACTAACTCAGAAATTTCTCTCTGCTTGAGAATGACGTCATTTTTTTTTTTGAAGTGATCACTTGAGATGTAGGAATCTTGAAGTGCTTACTTAAGGGGTAAATCCTTGATTATTGAAATAAGTGACTCAGAAACTATACCCTACTCAAGAATGTCGTCAAGGTTTTTTTTAAAGTGACCACTTGAGGTGTAGGAACCTTGAAGTGTTCACTTAAGGGGCAAACCATAAGACTCGGAAAAAAAAATGAAAAAAAAGACGCCATAAATCAGGAATTTATTTTGCTTCTCAAGAATGACGTCAACATGTTCTGAAAAAGAAATGACGCCACGGTTTTTTTTGCTAGAGTGACGTCATGAGAAACTTCAAAAATTGAATTTCTTTGAAAATTTTTCTGATAAATTTGGTCACTTAAGTGCTCCCTTGAAGGTGGCCAAAAATTTTTATCATCATAAGTAATCATTTAAGAAGTGACTGAAAAAAAACTTTGGTATTTTCTTGTGATCCCATTGAATGAGCCCACTTAAGGTCCCATTTTCATCAAAATACTCTTAAGAGACCACTTGGACTTTTTTCTTTGGACTCCTTACCCCTGAAAAAACGTCATTCATAAAAGCTTTCTGAACTCTTTAAAGACGCAGGGGCGTGGCCTAGATATTTTCACTATGCACCTTTAAAAAATCTTTTTTCAGTCGGAAGGAACCAGCGAAGAAGAATACACGGAAGGATCGGATTCTGACGAGGAATAAAAATATTGAAAATGCCATTTTTTCGTATTATTTAGACTGGAATTAGTTTTTTTCAAAAATGTCTGTATTTAAATAAGACTGTCCCTTTTCTTCACTTGAATCGTTTGTTTCCCCGAAAAAATACTTATTTTCTGCATTTTTGCCTTTTCCTTTCATATCACTGCGCGAGAGATCAACAGAATCTTGAAGAGACGCCAGAGAAAGAGAGAAACTTGACTTCTCTGTCGTCTCTTCAGTTCCCATTATCTCTCGCTTTTCCAACCAATTGGTTGTTTTCATACCTAATAGGACCCGTTGATAAGATTAATTGATTATTTATTCGCTTGGTTTTTCATTTGATTGTTATATTTATTCCTCTATCATTCTTCTTGGGTGGTCAACAGTGGGTTCAACGTTTTTTCTTTTGTCAAAGGTTTCTTTTTATTGTCACGAAATGAGGGATAATGCTCAATATCCCTTCAATCTATCGTCATTGATTTTTTTTATTCCTTCTTTTTTTAAAACACTGCTGAAAAGTATTTTAGACAATAAAAAGGTTAATCAATATATTTTGAGTATCTTTATCACCGGGGGATCAAAATAACTGAAAAATAGGAATTTGAAGGAAAAAAAAATTTTTCGAAGCCTTCAAGTTTGCTCCAGGAAACTAGTTCATGTTCCAGAGAGAAATTCAAGAAAAAAGGGCGTGTCCAGCCAATCAATTGCTTATTTCGGTGGAGCGCACTTGTGCGACATAATCATGATTTTTTGAGCCTAGAAAGTTTGCTCCACCGAACTGCGTCATTAATTTACTTTTAATGTCCGGTAGAGCGCAATTTCATGGTTAAAAAAATCAAACTAAATTTTGAACCCCTAAAAAATCCTCTTTTTTGTTCCATAGTTCATTGGAGCGTAGAAAAGCTCAAGAAACTTAAAATAACTTTTGAAAATTTTTGAAAGCCCAATAAATCAAACTTGAAAGACTCGCACAACAGATAACATGAAATTATAAATAACTGAATAAATAAATAATATTGAACTGAAGAAAAAGTTACGTAGTTTTCTCTTTCTGGGAGGACTCCCGCGGGCGACAAGTCGTCAGCATCGTCCGGAGCTTGCCGCTCTGGTGCAGAGTAAACAGGGCGGAGGAGCCTGAATTTATCAATTTTTCTCAACTTTTTTTAATTTTTCAATCGTTCAACCTCCAATAAACTGGCCACAGACGAAAACGTAGGGAAACGTGCTCTGTCGGGTGATCCCTGGAAGGTCCACTAGCATCTGTCGTTGCCAGGCTTCATCTCCGCGGAGTTCTGAAATTATCAAATTTTGAAGTTTCAAAAACTCGATAAAAAGAAGTTAAATAAATCTTTATAGTAGATGATATGTGTAGGCACCGCAAAGCCACGCCCCTTTTCGCGACGGAAAAAGTGGCTTTTTTTTGGTTTTCAACCTTTATTTTGTTGTAGTTGCAAAATATGTGGAACTGGCTAGTAAAATTTGACACAAATGTACAAAAAAGCTTCCTCTTTCGTTTAAAAAATATTTCACGCTTTTTTGATGCGTTCTCGCGGAATATCGTACAAAAACGTGAATGGAACTAGAAAAATTTTGTAATTTTTTTGCTTTTTTTCATGTGTTTTTCAGGTCGAACGCACTCTTTCTTTTTTTAAATAATGATTTTTGATTCAAGTAACGGTAATTTTAAAACAATAAAATAAAAAAATTCGTCTTCGCCAAAAAAATAGTAGTGAGTGCCGAAAGCCATAATTCAAAAATATCGTTAATAATCGAGTTTTTGTTTTTTCAAAATTTAGATTATGGGCTTACTTAAAGTTTTCTGGTGGTATGAAAAAAAGACCAGCGAAAATTCAAACGGCGACTTTCCCGTTTTTTTTTTCATATCGCTAGGGAACTTTCCGACTAAGTCGGAAAGGTGGCCGTCGGAAAGTTCCCCAGCGATATGAAAAAATCGGAAAAGTCGCCGTTTGAATTTTTGCTGGTGTTTTTTTCATATCACCATTTTTCTCCACAGCATCTGTGCTTGGAAAAGTTGTTCATTACGCGAAAATGCTCTTTGAACTTAGAGAATGAAATTAGCGGCGTTCATCACACAGAAAGCGGTCGAACGCAGGTTTTTTGAACGATTATATACATTTATTAGTAACAATTCTTTCAGTTAAAATAATAAAATGAAAAATTTATCTTTGCCAACACGGAAGCGATAGATCACTGCCTCCTGAAGAGACGTCAGAAAAAGAGAGTGCCTCAACTTCTCGATTCGAAAGAATCAGGAACGATCTGAAGAGACGTCAGTCAGCGAGAGAATATCCATTTCTCTGGCGTCTCTTCAGGTCGCCGTTGATCTCTCCTTGTCAAACTCACCAAGAAAATGAGCCGCGATACTGCTATAACTGGAGGCTAAAAGATGTTTGGCCTGTTGACAAGGGGCACATTGGACCAAGGTGTACATCATGAAGGGGTACCGGCGGGCCTGTTTTTGGATGTAACCTGAAAAAGTTTATTTTTTTCGAGGTGAACCACCACAAAAATAGTAATAGAGTTTGTGTTATCAACTTTAAAAACAGCAATTCACCTACAGCCTTCCAATTTTTCTTCATAAACTTGAGGACGTTTTAAATTTTTTTTTTGTTCTGCAATCAGAATGCAATAACAAAATTTCATCAAAAGTTCAACCGGGGGCCAAAAAACGTGCCTGAATAAGCCTTTTCTCAATTATTTTGAATTTCGAGTTGAGTGACGTCATTCGAAAACGCCTTGTGAATGGATGCCTCGCTCTCTGATTGGTTTATCGCGCCGTTAGGGGGAGCTTGAGCGACGTTTTTTTGTTAAAATTTAGAACAGATTATACCTATTTAATTATTCTCTAACTAGGGAACTACTCGGACTCGGGTACGGGTTTCAGTTGAAACTTTAGTGGTTTATAGACCTAAGTCAGAGCACTTGGAAACAAGGGAGATTATCTGCTAAACCTCATAGGCATCTGAGAAAAAAAGCTTTTTGAAAATGAACAGTTCAGACATACTTCTTTTTTTCCCTTATTTTTATATTATAATACAATCGCCTTGGGTATGATACACTCTAAAAAACTTCTTTTCCAGCCAAAATAAGGAGGAAAACAAAAACTTGATAATTTTCAAGCCTAAACTGTTCATTTTCAAGAAGCTTTTTCTCAGAAGCCTATGGGGCTTATAGTCTGTTCAGATTTTGAATGTCAACCAGCTAACTCCGCCCCTGCTGAGACGGTACCTTTTCGCGTCGATATTTTATTGCGCGGGACTAATTTTGATCTTTTTTGATTTAAAAGATAGAGAAAGAAGTCAAAAATTCAACCTTATTAAAGGGCCATCGTCATCTGTATAGTCTGTTCAGATTTTGAATGTCAAGTCGTCGCTCAAGCTCCGCCCCTAATAGCGCGATAAACCAATCAGAGAGCGAGCCATCTACAGAGTGTTTTTGAATGACGTCATTGCGCTTGACAATAAAAATATGAACAGACTATAGCAGATAATCTCTCTTGTTTTCAAGTACTCTTACCCGGGTCCGAGTAGTTCCCTAGTAAGAGAAGCGCATGACTTTTGAGAGAATTTTTCTTAACTTTTAATTTTGAAAAATCGAACCAAACTCTTGTACAAGCCTCACGGTCCGCTCAAAGGTTCCAATATGAGTATTTTCAGATGAAAAACAGGTAACTTTTACCGGTGTAGGAAAATCCAAGGGATGGTGGATTATATGGGGTGTAACCGTGATGGTATCCATTTCCATACCCGTAATTGATCTGCAAAACTTTTTAAATTCCTGAAAACCGTTTTTGGTATTTTGGTCCCTAATTCTCGCTCGAATTTTCGTTTTCAAACTGGAAAAGCTTGATTTTTCGAACTTTGCTTATAAAATCACTTTTTTTAACCTCTGGGTACATGTAAATTTTGAAAAAATGCCAAAAAAATTAACCATTTGTTGATGTTGATAAGGACCCATCATGTGTTGGCCGTAGAAACCCGGATTTTCCACCGGACCGTACTGAAAATGATTCGTTTATACTTTTACATGTTTATTTATCTTACAGTATTCGGCACAGGCTGATAAGGATGCTGATAATTGGCCGGTTTATCAACATTTTGAAGGTCTTCTGGAGTGGGAGCTGGTGTTGGATCTGAATTTTTTCTAAAGTATTCAAAAAAAAGTGTTTTGTAAGAAAAAATAGTGTTAATGAAGAGGTACAGGAAAAAAGAACCTCTGAAAAATCGGAAAATAATTTGAATTATGAGGTACAGGATGAACTCGGGCAAAGTCGGAGAGGTGGATTATAGCCGCTAAAAGAAAAAGGCTCAAAAAAGGCCGCAGAAAGGCTGCAAAAAGGCTGAAAAATGGCAGCAAAATGGCAGCAAAAAGGCTGCAAAAAGGCTGCAAAAGGGCTGCAGAAAGGCAGCAAACAGGCTGCAAAAAGGCTGCAAAAAGGGCTGCAGAAAGGCTGCAAAAAGCAGCAAAATGGCAGCAAAGTAAGTCCCTTTATCAAGCCTTTCATTTTTACTGGGATTCAGAAAAGGCTCTAGAAATGGTTGAAAAAGGGAGAGGCAGCAAAAATGGTGCAAAATAGCTGATAAAATGGCGCAAAAAGGCAGCAAAAAGGATTCTTCGGAACCTTTTCGGAGCCTTTTTCGACCCTTCCCGACTTTTCCTATGTTAGAAGCTCCGAAAATTTTCCTCTGAATGAAAATAATATCAATTATGAAGAAAGTACAGGTAAATTGAGCTCCGAAAAATCTCCTTGTGAGGAAAAATAAGGTCTAGGAAAAAAAAGGCTTCATAATTATCTTCTTGTAAGAAAATTGGTGTTGAGGATAAGGTACAGGTGAATTCATTTTTCAATAAGAATCCTCTTTCAAGAAAAAAATAGTGATACTTGGAGAAGGTTAAGGCGAAAATAAAAATTCAAAACTTTCAATTTGAAAAAAAAATTGTCGTGAGCCAAAAACTTATTTCAAATCAACTTTTCACGTCTACTTTCAGCTCAAATCATTCAAATAAAAACATGAGATTTTTTTGAGAAAAAAAGCGAAAAAAATGAGCAGAAAAATCCAAAAAAAGTGAGTTTTTTTCTAACTTTACGATAGTTTTTTTAATGAAGTTATTTCTAAAAAAATTTTTTTAAAAAAAGCTTGAAAAAAATTTAAACTTTTTAAGGAAAAATTGAACATTTCCTGAAGCTTTGGCACTGAATTTAATCATTTTGACGTTTAATCTAAATTTTAAACTGTTAAAAAATCCTTTCTGAGGTGTTCGAAAAATCGAAAAAAAACATGAAAAAGTGACTTATAAACTGATGAAATGACATAAATCACGAAAAATCACTTTTCGCCTCGGGACCTTTTTTAAAAGTTGCTTATGCTCCTTTAAACACCGCGGAGAGGATTTTTAACTTAAAGAACCACAAAATCACTTTTCGCCTCGAGACCTCTTTAAAATCCGCCTATGCACCTTTAAACACCGCGGAGAGGATTTTAGACTGAATATAACCCATGATACCGTAATTGAACTAAAAGTACGAAAAATGAATCAACATAAAGAAAATTAGAAACAGAGAAAATCAGGAATAATAAGGAAAAGGAAAAACTTTTTTTTGATCTACTGATCAGTTTTAACCGGCGTGTTTTTTTCGACCTTTTTTTATTAAATTTGAGAAAAATTTTTGTTCTAAAGTTGAAATTTAAGAATTTGAGCAATTTAGACCCAAGTTTCGATGTTTTTTTAGATCATTAAAAAAACTATAGGAATTTCGAAAACCTGGAAAAAAACGGACTTTTTGGCCATTGAAAAATAATTATTGGACGAATTTTTCTTTGATATTTTCACAATTTTGTGATCAATTTGTTTTCTAAATACAGTGGAAATACTATGAAAAAAAGTACTAAAGTTTAGAAAAATACAAAAAAACTCGGAATTAAAGTCCTAACTTTTTAAAAAGTGATTAAAAAAACTCTAAATCTTCAAAATTCATCGAAAATCATCAACTTAAAAAAACGAATTTTAAAAATCTTTGCTGAAAAAAACCTAGTGTGAATTTCTGTTATTTCTTATGAAAATGACTCGGAAAAATCCCAAAAGTAATCCCTATAAAAAGATATTTTTAAAGAAATCTTAGTCGTCCGAAAAATTCTTCCTTTTTGGAAAATTTAAAGGCGCATAGATCAGTTTTCGAAAAGGTCTTCATACGAAAAGCCTTCCATTTTACAAAAGAGCATTTTGAAAAAGTTTTTCTATGGTTTTTGGTTCGAGTCATGAAAGAGAAGAGTTTCCAACCTCTTAAGGGGTCACTGAAAGCCCAGAGCCCTCTAGGGACCACTTAGAACTTCTCAAAGAGTGGGAATGAAAAGAAAAGAAAAGAAAGAAACACACACACAATGAAAAAAATCCGCATCCAGCTTCTTAAGAGGTCACTTATGGTCCGAAGCCCTCTAGGGACCACTTCTAACTTTTCCAAAATTAGAAAAGCTTGTGAAAATTCAGAAAAACGAGAAGGCATGTCATTCGCCGAAACTTGAAAAATCTGATATCTCTGGGCTCTCTCGTGTTTGCCTGCTATTTTCTCAAGCCTGGTGAGAGAAAAGAGAGCGCAGACGGGTTAGACAATTTCAAGTCTAGCGGATGAAATGAAAGAAAAAAAAGCCTTTCATCCGCCGCAACTTGAAAAAGTCTGATTTCTCTGCGCTCTCTCGTCTTAACCTACTATTTTCTCAAGCCAGGTGAGAGAAAAGAGAGCGCAGACAGGTCAGAAAGTTTCCAGTCTAGCGAATGAATGAAGGAAAAAAAGATCATTTCAATCTCCAAAATTTGAAAAATCTGATTTCTCTGCGCTCTCTCGAGTCTACCTGCTATTTTCACGGTTCTCTAGCCTAGCTGGTTGAAGAAAAGAGAGCGCAGACAGGTCAGACAGTTTCAAGCGACGAAAATGAAAGAAAAAAGAAAAAAATTAGAAAAAAGATAGACACACACACACACACACAGCATAGAGGTCACGTCAAACTTTTCCAAAAACTTGAATTTTTCCAAAAAATCCTTCTCTATGTGATTTGTGTGTCTTTATTACCGGGGGGAATCTCTCGATAAGATCAATATGGGAATAATTAACAAATATATATAGAATATGAGATAAAAATGTGACAAAAAGAAAGAAATTCTCTCAAGATTTACGTGGTCGGCAATTATTGAGCATCGTTCGGAGTTGGCCGCTCTGGTGGAGGTTGAACAGGTCGGAGGAGCCTCAAAATTGATTTTATTCGATTTTTCGAGTCTTTTTGTACCTCCAATATGTTGGCCACAGATGAAAATGTAGGGAAATGTGATTTGTCGGGTTATTCTTTGGAGGTCGACTTGCAATTGACGTTGCCAGTCTTCGTCTCCGCGAAGTTCTAAATTATCCAATTCCTTCCGGAGGTTCTCGGTGAAAAAAGCCATTCCAAATGCGGCTATCATGCGACGCTCAACTTTCGTATTATTGACTGGAAGCTCAATTTATGTCTTTTCGAAGCTTGGGACTTCGAATTCGAAATCTTTTTGGGACCTAGCCATTCCAAATGCGACCAACAAGCGACGCTCAATTTTCGTATTATTGACTGGAAGGTCATTCTCTGCCTTATTGAAGCTTGGGACTTCAAAATTAAAGATTTTTGAAATCGAGCCATTCCAAATGCGACGCTCAACTTTTGCATTATTGACTGGAAGTACATTTTATGCCTTATTGAAGCTTGGGACTTCAAAATTAAGTTATTTTTGAAATCTCCGCGTCTAGCCATTCCGAATGCGACCAACAAAAAAAAAATAGATTTACAAGTGCTAAAAGATTGGAAGCCCAATTTATGTCTTTTCGAAGCTTGGGACTTCAAATTCGAAATTATTTTTGGGACCTAGCCATTCCAAATGCAACCATCAAATAAGCTAACCAAGGACATCGTCATAACTGACGGCTGGAAAAATGCCCAAATTATTTAGTTTGGCTCCTAAATTCACTAGTGTGCTTGACTAGAAGTTCAATTTCTGTTTTTTCGAAGCTTGGGACTTCAAAATTGAGATTGTTTGAAATCGAGCCATTCCAAATGCGACCATCAAGCGACGCTCAACTTTCGCTTTATTGACCGGAAGCTCATTTTTTGCCTTATTGAAGCTTGGGACTTCAAATTCGCAATATTTTTTAAACCTAGCCATTCCAAATGCGACCATCAAGCGACACTCAACTTTGGAATTATTGACTGGAAGGAAATTCTCTGTCTTATTGATGCTTGGGACTTCAAATTGGGAATCTTTTTGGGATCTAGCCATTCCAAATGCGAACATCCAGTGACACTCAACTTTGGCATTATTGATCGGAAGTACATTTTATGCCTTATTGAAGCTTGGGACTTCAAAATTAAGTTATTTTTGAAATGTACGCGCCTAGCCATTCCGAATGCGACCAACGAATGAGGAAAATAAATTTACCGGTGCTTAATAATTAGAAGCTTAACTTCTGTCTTTTCGAAGCTTGGGACTTCAAATTCGAAATTATTTTTGGGACCTAGCCATTCCAAATGCGACCATCAAATGAGCTAATCAAGGTCGTCACCATAACTGACAGTTAGAAAAAATGCCCAAACTAGTTTTAGTTTGGCTCCTAAATTTCTCAGTGTGTTTCATTAGAAGCTCAATTCCTTTTTTTTTCGAAGCTTGGGACTTCAAAATTGAGATTGTTTGAAATCAAGCCATTCTAAATGCGACCACCAAGTGAACCTACCAAGGAAATGGGCCGCGACGTCGCCATAACTGACGGCCAAAAGATGCTTCGCCCTCTGACAAGGTACACATTGAACTAAGGTGTACATCATGATCGGGTACCGTCTTGCCTGTCTATGGATATAACCTGAAAGAATCCATTTCTGCATGTAGACTTTCTTCAAAACCTGCGTAAGAATATCCGAGGGGCGACGAATTATAAGGAGTGTAGCCGCGGGTGTTCCCGTATCCAAAATTGTTCTGGAAACTTATTTTTTCTTCATCTATCTTTCAGTAAAAGTTTTTTCAAAAGCCTTTTTTTTTGATCGAAGACCCTTTTTGGTTCATGATCTACATCCCGAGCCGGATCTCAGACGATTTTTGATCCTTGATCCGCTTCCCAGCCATTCCAAATGCGACCACCAAGTAATCTTACCAAGGAAATGAGCCGCGACATCATAACCACCGACCAAAAAATTGTTTATGTCAGTTTTAACTCCGTCTTTTTAATGATCAACACCTAGATCCATTCCAAATGCGACCATGAAGGATCAGATAGTGTCTAAAAAAGATTTTATCGACCTTCCTCATGGGAAAAACTAACAAAAAGACTATAATAATAAAAAAATACTGAGAAAAGCCTCACATTTTGGGTCGGTAAGGCGGGTCGGCTGAAAACTTGTCGACCACCGCCCACGTAACTGTCGTAGTCAGGATCCTGTGGCGAATTGGAACCGTAGGGCGACTCAAATTCGATAAATTATCAGGGTTAAAATTTGAAAAAAGTTGCTAGAGATTGATTTAAAAAAGCTTGAGATTGATTAAAAAAATAAATTCGAATAGTTCCATGGAGCACATTTTGCGGCATGGCCTAGTTTTCCAAACCGAGCGAATTTTCCAGCATGCTTGACACTCTGGTCGGTTTGGAAAACTAGGCCACGCAGCAACTTTGCTCCATGGAACTATTCGAATTTTAAAGCGAGCATGCCCAACTCTCTGAAAAAGTCGGTCGGTTTGGAAAACTAGGTCACGCAGCAAATGCGCTCCATGGAACTATTCAGACTTTAAAGCGAGCATGCCCGACACTCTGGAATAGCCTGTTGGTTTGGAAAACTAGGCCACGGCGCATCGGAAAGTGTAAAGTTAAGCTTTGAGCCATTCCAAGTGCGACCAGGAGGTTTCAAGTCAGGTTGGATGGAGTTGAATCAAAGCGGTTGGTGAGAATGGGACACTCTAGGGCACTACAGCCCGCGAAGCGGTCAAATTGTGCAAAAAGCCATTTTTCTCGATTTTTCAACCTAGCGGACTGTAAAATAAATAAATAAATGGTTAAAAATTTGAATAGTTCTATGGAGCGCATTTGCGGCGTGGCCTAGTTTTCCAAACCGACCGACTTTTCCAGAATGCCCGACACTCTGGTCGGTTTGGAAAACTAGGCCACGGCGCAAGGCATCGGAAAGTGTAAACTTAGGCTTTAAGCCATTCCAAGTGCGACCAGGAGGTTTCAAGTTGGAATGAATGAAGTTGAATCAAAGCTGTTGCTGAGAGTGGGACACCCTAGGGCGATGTGGCCCGCAAATTGTCAAAAAAGCCATTTTTTAACCGATCGGGTCTACCCGGGATAAAAAAAAACCACCTGTTGCTGCGGATAGGATCCCAAAGGCTGCTGTGAATAGAAGCTATCGTCCGGGACATGTCCATACTGAAAAAAATCAATAAAAACCCCTTCAAGACCATTTTTGAAGCCTACATTGTTGGGCTCCGTATCGAAGGGATAATGAGCTGGGAATCGTTTTATATTTCGTGTCGGGACCTCGTTTGTCGCACCTGAATCCATGTTAAAAATATTTTTTCAAGAGCCATGTATCAAAAAAATGCTCCTCTCACTCAAAAAATCCCTTCAAAGGCGTCAAGTGGCCACTTAAGAGAAGTAAAATAGCATTACTCAGGAACGTCAGAGTGGCCACTAGAGAAGTAATGGGAAAAAAATTCCCTATAGTGATCAAAATACCGGTCCCTAGAGGGCTAAAGTGGCCCCTATAGGAGTTTAGGTTTGACTCTTTAGCCCCTGAAGCTTGAGGCATCCCTATAGGGATTTTCAAAATGTTTTCGTTCGGATTTCTGCTGGAATGTTCCCCTAGAGTGGCCACTAAGTGAAAATTTCAAAGTGGTTTTTCTTGCAAGCTTCAGTTTGCTTTATAGTTCCTCGAGGCGGACCAATAAGAGACCCTGAAAGGGCCCCTCTAGTGGTCACTCTGCCGATCCTAGGTACAGTATTTCAAGCTTTCGAAGCGCCTTACCCGAAAAATCTGATCCATCGCGAGACATTTTTTTCTTTTTCTGGAACCAGAAGGTCCTTAATAAGACCGGGGGGTAAAAACGTCGCATTTTTCCTTTTATTACACCCTCCCATATGATATGGGCCATATCAAAGTTCATCCAAAAGTAGTCAGGATTTACCTTTTTTGGGAACTTTTTGCCCCCATTTCTTGCAACAGACCCTTTTTCAATTAATGAAGCTTCGAAGTTTGGAAAAAACGCAAATTATGACAAAAAAGGGCATATACAAGCGTTTGAAGCGGTAAAGAAAAGGTAAAAATTGTCCTTTTTCTCTTGTTGGTTTTGAGATCATTTTCCGTTCATTACATCCTCCCATACCAAAGTTCATCCAAAAGTAGTCAAGGATTTACCTGGACAGGTGCAACTGGAACAAGGTTTCCCATCGAAATCGTCGTTGGCACAACGACATCCGCGTCGTTCGCAGGGTCCTTCACCTTGAATAATTATTTTTAATCTGATTATCTTTAAATATTGATCATTTTCTCACAGTTCTTACAGAATTGAAGCTTCCCATTCAACTTAAAAGATGGAACCTTCAAGTTGAAAATAAAGCAACACACTTAAAAATGGTCCCTGTAAGTTTAAAGGAGCATAGAGAATCCTAAAAAAAAGGTCTCGGGACGAAATTCCGTTTTGCAGTTTTTATGGCTCTATAACACTCTGGCGCCCAGAAATTTTCAAACCAATTATAAATTTTAAACCGGAAAGTTTCCGGTCGCATTTGGAATGGCTCAACGCGCTGCAGTTTGATCCAGAAATTCATGAAGCGCAAGTCGTTTTCTAGTCGGTCGCAACTTCGAGCCATTCGCAGTGCGAACAATTTATCGGATTTGTATCGTTTTTACCATTATTTTCAATAAGTGACTTTTTCGAAAAGAGCCCTTTTGGATTCCGTTAAATTTTTCAATTTTTCAGGGAGAGGCTTTTCATTTTTTTATTCTCTTTTTATTCAATCACGTTTCCAAGAGCCCTTGAGAGTATCCATTACGAGGAAATATCGTGTTTTCTCACGTTTATTCGCGAGAAAAGCCGGCGGCTTTAGTTTGGCCTATTGAAATCGGAAACTCGAGCCTATTTGAACGTACTTTTTTGGGGGGTTTCGAAAAGTTGATACTGAGAAGATAGAAGTTGGGAAAAAAAATTTGAGGAAAAAGAAGGTCACGAAATATTTCAAAAAATGTTTTCAATTGGAAGCTGTAAACATCTTTTTGAGCTTCTCAAACCCCTAGAGGGGCCACTTTAGGGCACTTGAAAAGACCCCTCTAGGGATCCCTAAAGCTTGCGAGAGTGGCCCCTAGAGGGTTGAAAAATATCTTATCGAGTTTTAGTGAACACTTTTCAACCTACAAGACAGAAAAAACAAAATCCGAAGACCCCTATATGGTCCACTTGAGCTTTAGATGCTCAGAAGTCAGACCCTAGATCCCTATAGGGACCACTTTTCGTCTCCTACAGGGACCACTTGAGCTTTAGATGCCCAGAAGTCGGATCCTAAACCACTATAGGGACCACTTTTCGTCTCCTACAGGGACCACTTGAGCTTTAGATGCTCAGAAGTCAGACCCTAGATCCCTATAGGGACCACTTTTCGTCTCCTACAGGGACCACTTGAGCTTTAGATGCTCAGAAGTCAGACCCTAGATCCCTATAGGGACCACTTTTCGTTTCCTACAGGAACCACTTGAGCTTTAGATGCTCAGAAGTCAGACCCTAGATCCCTATAGGGACCACTTTTCGTCTCCTACAGGAACCACTTGAGCTTTAGATGCCCAGAAGTCGGATCCTAAACCACTATAGGGACCCCTTAAACTTTAAATGCCCAGAAGTCGGATCCTAAACCACTATAGGGACCCCTTAAACTTTAAATGCTCAGAAGTCAGATCTTGAACCCCTATAGGGGCCACTTTAGATGCCCAGAAGTCAGACACTGAACCCCTATAGGGACCACTTGAGCTTTAGATGCCCAGAAGTTGGATCCTGAACCCCTATAGGTACCACTTGAACTTTTAGATGCTCAGAAGTCAGACCCTAAACCCCTGTAGGGACCACTTTCTGTCTCCTATAGGGACTGTTCTTCCCCTAACCCCTCTAGGGGCCACTTTAGCCTTTTAAAAAACAGTGCTTCAATTTCAAGCTTTTCCAAAATTCAATTTCGAGACCAAAAACCGAAAAAAAAAAGTCTAGTTGTTCTTGTTGCAAAACGGCCAAAGTCAACAAGGGGGAGGAAAATGTGGCAAAATGCCATACGAGTCTCCGCGCAAAATGCAAACAATCCCAAAATCCAAATTCACCATTGAGAAAGGAACAAGAAAAAGTTGGACTGTCCACTCGAATACAGGAAATTTTAACAAGCTTCGAAAAATATGAAAAAGAGGAAAAATGACGTCATTCGAAGCGTGAAATGATGGTTAAAACGAGAAAAAGAATATTTCTGCGACACCTACAAAGTTTTTTTTGGAATTGGATTCATGAAGTTCATTTTTAACACTTTTTCTTGGTTTTTGGAACGGTTTTAATCATTAAATTTCGATATTTGAATCACTATATGTTGAAAAATTAATAGCAAAAAAACGACGGCGGCAAAAGGTTCCGAACCCACAACATACGCTTCGCAGGCTACCTCGCTAGCCACTGCACCACGCTCCTAGGTGACGTCTAATGGCTTGTTCCGCGGCCAGATTCTTTCCAAACGCCGTTACATGATTAAGGACAACAACTTTGAAAAATCATATCTCAAAAAAAAAACTTTGCCCAGATAGCGACTATGGGGGATCGATTCCCAGTCTTTCAGAAAAATTTATAGAAAAATTCCAAACCCTACACAAAAATGAAACCATCCATGTAAGAAATTTAAACAAGGAATCTAGAAAAAAATGAATAAAATTACTTGATTCGAGCAAAGAAAAAAAGCGTAAAATACGAGAAAGGTGCTCATAAAGAATGTTAAAAATATCTAGAGGAAACATTTTTTTATTATATGATGTTCAACTTTACCGATATTCCTTCAAAACCAAAAAAAAATGATGATAAAAAAAATATATTGTGTTTTGGAGTAAATAAAGTTTCAATTTGAATAAAATTCCTTATTTTTTATTTATAATTAAATAAGGTAAAAAAGTCTTGATTATATTTAAAATCCGGCAACTGACCAACTTCAAAATCGGGTCGCGTCGTATCATAATCAGCGAATTCGTTCAACGCTTTCGTGTGATTCGCGATGAGGGCCGCGACATCGTCTTCTTTGGGGATGATGCGCGATGTCGCGTTGCCCGTCGACGCCTTCAGAACGGCTGTGGATGCTGTCTGGAATGATTTTTAGAAAGGGAAAAGAAAAAAATGACGATTTTTTAGCTTCTGTCGCTTGGATATGGTTGAAAAATGCTTGAAAAGCTTCTTTTTAAAATTCAGTTTGATTTTTTATCGAAACTCAGTATTTCTCTTCACTTTAAACTCTCGTTAATCGTGTCTGATATTATGAAAACCAAACGGCGCATTGTAGCGCAACAGGTTGTGGACCTGTCTATGGTCCGCAGGGTCACAGGTTCGATCCCCGTCGCGTTTTTTAGGAAATCTTGGTAGTGGGAAACCACGGCTTTGTAACCAGGATATGTCACTGGAGCCATTCCACGGATCGTGTTATCGATTTTCAAGCAAAAAGAAAATGAAGCGGTTCAAAGGCTTAACACTGCCAAAGTCGGAAGTGCGGAAAACGGGTGCAAAATAGCCGCTAAAAGGGTTCCGTTTCGCGACCTTTATTAAGCCTTTTTTTCTTGGTCGGCTAAGAAACGGTCCAAAAAAGGTCCAAAAAGGGTCCAAAAAGGATCCATAAAGGGTGATGAAAGGCTCTGCTATTGATTATTTCCGATTTTTTTTACTGTAGCACATTTTAGTGCATACACAGTCAATGGTAAAGATTATTCTCAATTTGAAAATTTTTCTCAAAAAGGTCCAAAAAGGGTGGATAAAGGCCGATGAAAGGACGCAAAAAAACCGTAAAAAGGAAACTTTTGCCACCCGTCTAAGAACATTTAATGGAAACCTTTTGATCCATACCGGGCGCTCAAAGGGTCCCTCCGAATGGAAGAGCTTATTATCCCTATAGGGACCCCTTTTCGGCCTTTATAGGGGCTGTTTCGCTCAAATGACCCATAAAGGGAATCGTAGAGCTTTTAAAATCGTTCATTTTGTGTAGACATGGAAAACCAACCTCTGCGGGCATAAACATGACGAAAATGGAGTTTGCGATGAAAAGCAACGCGATCATGATGGCGCAGCAGATGCAGCAGATCAGCGGCTGACAAGGCAGTTTTGATTTTTGTCAATCTGAAAAAAATTCTTCTCTCATTTTTCTCTGGGTTTTCAGATCAAACCAAAAATATCCGTGGGTTTCACGCAGAACCTCCTGGAAAAGTCACCGAGAAGCAGAAGAAGAAATGAGACACTGAAATAAACCAATGCAATTACTCAGGAAGAAGAAATACAGTCTGTTTAGATTCTCGCAGTAGAGCGCTAAAGGAAAAAAAGATTATTGTCTGTTGAGATTTTCGAACTCAAGTCAAGCTCCGCCCCTTATGGGCCGGTGAACCAATCAGAGAGCGAGCCATCCACAGAGCCTTTTCAAATGACGACATTCTACTCGAAATTGAAAATCTGGACAGATTGTAATTCAGCAATATGAACTTGTGGTAATTAAAAATTTAAATAATAAAATAATAAATGAATTCAGATAATAAGATCTCAACGAAAAAAACGTTTTTAGAAAAACAGAAAAATTAATTTTTTTGTTCGAAAAATTTAAGATAACAGTTAATCTTTAAAAACATTTTTTTGTAGCAAAAAAATACTTCAATTTTTTTCCAGAGATCTTAAAACTTGAATATTAACTTTAAGAATAAAAATAAGACAACTAAAAATCGATTGAATTAAATTTTACTCGAACAAATAGAAGTTGGGAGCTTAAAAAAACTTTTCGTCATCAATTTTTTTCGATTACTTTGAAAGATTTTAGGAAGGAAAGAAGGAAATTCGAAAAAAACTTGTAAGAAAGAGGGGAAATTCAAAAGAAAAAAATTAGACCCAAAAATAAACATCTTTTTGTTCAATTTTATAGAAATTTGTCGCTTAAAAAGAGAAGGGGGTTTATTTAAATTAAAATCCAAGAGAACTTCGACAATTTTTTTGTTTTATAATTTCTAAAATGATTCAAGCTTCAAAGATAACGAAAAAAATCTAGAAAAATTTTGATGAAAAGTATAAATAAAATGTGAATTTATTCGGGGAGCCTACTGCAAAAAAATATGATTGAAAAAAATTTTTTTCAAAAAAATATAACCAAAAATCAAAAAACTCATCATTTTAGTGAACGAAATTTAAAAAAATAAAGAGTGAAATAAATATTCAAATATTCAAGTTTCAAGTTTTAGCATAATCATTTTTAACACTATCAAGACCTCGGGAGTGATAAAAAATCCGAATAAAACGTCAAACCGAACCAAAAAAGAGCAAAAGAGATGCCCCGACGGTTGTTTTGGAGGTCCCGTCAAAGGAGCAAAAAGGGGTGGAGACGGGGCTTTCGTTCTCGAATCAACGTTTGCTTTCTCTGGCGTCGCGAAATGTCCAGTGGAGCACCGGTAGAAGGGGCGGAGCCGGAATACGTCATTCCGGCCGGGGCTCCGGATAAGGCTCCATTTTTGGCACGGTTCCGGCCTGGGAAATGAGACAGATTGGTTTTTTTTCATAAGGAGATTTATCAAACGTTCATTTTCTCAAATTGAAAAAATTCTAAGGCTTTTTTGAATCTCACAAACACTGCCAAAGGAAAATGGCTGCAAAATGGCCGCTGAAAGGGTTCCGTTTTGGCGCCTTTTTGGAGCCTTTCTGTCTTGGTGGTCTAAAAAGTCTCAAAAAGGTTGAAAAAAGGTTCAAGAAGGGTGAAGCAAGGGTGAAAAAAAGGTGAAAAAAGGGTCCAAAAAGGGTGCAAAACAGGTTCAAAAAGGGTCCAAAAAGGGTGCTGAAAGTCTCCGCCATTTCCCGATTTTATTACTGTAACACATTTTGGTGCATACACAGTCACTGGTAAAGATTATTTTCAATTTGAAAATTTTCTCAAAAGGGTCAAAAAAGGGTCCAAAAAGGGTCCAAAACAAGTCCAAAAAGGGTGCTGAGAGGCTCGGCCATTGATAATTTCCGATTTTTTTACTGTAGCACATTTTGGTGCATACACAGTCGATGGTAAAGATTATTCTCAATTTCGAAAGTTTACTGTTCTCAAAAGGGTCCAAAAAGGGTCCAAAAAGGGTCCAAAACAAGTCCAAAAAGGGTGCTGAGAGGCTCGGCCATTGATGATTTCCGATTTTATTACTGTAGCACATTTCAGTGCATACACAGTCAATGGTAAAGATTATTCTCAATTTTGAAAGTTTACTGTTCTCAAAAGGGTCCAAAAAGGGTCCAAAACAAGTCCAAAAAGGGTGCTGAGAGGCTCGGCCATTGATAATTTCCGATTTTTTTACTGTAGCACATTTTGGTGCATACACAGTCAATGGTAAAGATTATTCTCAATTTCGAAAGTTTACTGTTCTCAAAAGGGTCAAAAAAGGGTCCAAAAAGGGTCCAAAACAAGTCCAAAAAGGGTGCTGAGAGGCTCGGCCATTGATAATTTCCGATTTTTTTACTGTAGCACATTTTGGTGCATACACAGTCAATGGTAAAGATTATTCTCAATTTCGAAAGTTTACTGTTCTCAAAAGGGTCCAAAAAGGGTCCAAAAAGGGTCCAAAACAAGTCCAAAAAGGGTGCTGAGAGGCTCGGCCATTGATAATTTCCGATTTTTTTACTGTAGCACATTTTGGTGCATACACAGTCACTGGTAAAGATTATTCTCAATTTTGAAAATTTTCTCAAAAGGGTCCAAAAAGGGTGCTGAAAGTCTCGGTCATTGATAACCGATTTCAAAAAAACTTATCGAAAAATTTCGGAAACTATAGTCGATGTGGCACAAGTTGAAATTTCATGGAACGACACTCCGCTGTTTCGATTTGTGCGGTAGCGCGCATCTTGCGAGTTTGCCAACCTCGGCCACGCTAATTTTTTTTTTTGTTTACTTACTAATTTTGATCGTTTTTTAATTGTTTTATTCCGTTAAAATGTATTATTACCGTTGAGAAGGATTGTGTTGTACAAATGTAAACGAAAAAACACAGTAAATTTCATGATCTTTCTCGAAAAAAGCGATTAAAAACAAGTTCGAAAAACTTCATGTATTCGTCAATCGCTTTAATATTGTTTTTCTCGTTTCTCAAAAAAAGTTTTCAAAGATTTACCAAAAGGATTTGCGAGTGAAACAGACCGTAAACGCCAAAATATTCTACAAAAGTTTCTGTGTTTTTTTTTAGGCCATGTTTTAATGTTTTCATCGTTTTTTTTTTGTTTGCAGTGGATTTTTTCAGAAAGTGAGTGGCTTATGAAATGAAGACGCTTCTGTATAAAGCTTCTGTAATTTTTCTTTCTAATTCTATTTATTTTAGCCAATGTTCATCGTAAATTTGGTTTCTTTGCAAAAAAATTGAACATGTTTTTTTTAAAAACTGCAAAAAAATGGGGGTGAACCTTTTTTTACGATATTATTCACGATAATTATGCCCCCGTAATGTATAATTACTTAATTAAAAAAACGTGACCTTGCAAAAAAATCTGCTTGGTTTTTTTACATATTCCAATGGATTTTGGTGACAAATTGAAGAAAAATTTAAATGAAAAATTCAAAAAAGGTTGTTTCAGAAATAGTGTATACTTTGAAAAAAATATCGTGCAACATATTATTACTCCTTTCCCTCCACTACCAAAGTCGGAAGTGCGGAAAACGGGTGCAAAATGGCCGCTAAAAGGTTTCCGTTTTGCGGCCTTTTTTGAGCCTCTCTTACTTGGTGGGTTAAAAAAGGGTGCTGAAAGTCTCGGTCATTGATTATTTCCGATCGTATTACTGTAGCACATTTTGGTGCATACACAGTCACTGCTAAAGATTATTCTCATTTTGAAGAATTTTTGGTCTCTCAAAAAGGCCCAAAAAGGGTCCAAAAAGGGTCCAAAGGGTCCAAAAAGGGTCCAAAACAAGTCCAAAAAGGGTGCTGAAAGTCTCGGTCATTGATGATTTCCAATTTTGTTCCTGTGGCACATTTTGGTGCATACAAAGTCACTGGTAAAGATTTTTCTCACTTTAAAAAATTGCGTTTCTCAAAAGGGTCCAAAAAGGGTGCAAAATGGCCGCTAAAAGGGTTCCGTTTTGCCGCCTTTTTGGAGCCTTTCTGTCTTGGTGGGCTAAAAAGTCTCAAAAAAGGGTCCAAAAAGGGTGGATAAAGGCCGATGAAAGGACGGAAAAAGGCAGTAAAAAGGAAACCATTTGGGAACAATTAATGGAAACCTTTTGATCCATAACGGACGCTCAAAGGGCCTGTATAGGTTTCTTCCGAATTCGCCTATGGAAGAACCCTATAAGGACCTCTTTTGCGGCCCCTATAGGGAGCATTTTTCCCTATATTCACTATAAGGACCACTCTGGAATCTCTAGGTCTTCATGGAAAAATATAAAAATATCGATTTTCCGTATATTTCAAACAGAAAATTGATAAATTGGCGCTTCCCAGAGCGTCTCTATGTGCTAATAAAGCCGTAAAACAGCTTTTCGAGACCTATGAAAATTCATAATTTTCCCCTTTCCCATCCAAACTCCAAGTCCGGGGGCCAGAATAAATACAGACATTTGGAACGATTTCAAGGGCAAACAAGGGGGATTTCAAGTGGAATGGTTATGTCCCGGTCAAAACATGCCGTTTTTTGCCTCGGGAAGCTGTTGGAAACGAGTGCTGCGGGAGCAAAAAAAGCCGTGTTTGTGTCCGATATATCCATTTTGTCGCGAAAGCCCGCCGCCGCCCGGGCCGATATCTGTCAGTTTGGCGTCGATTTCAGCGAACAGCTCGAAACGGATCCGAACGTTCCTAACACGGGAAGTGCAAAAGGTCGAAGTATTGGAATTTAATGAAACTTGGTATATAGGTACTTTAAGACTCCCTGATTCCAATAAAGTTGAAAAAAGTGCGCCTTTTTGGTTTTAGTCGAGTTAGGGCGCCTCAAAGTTTGCACGCAAAAAATGCATTGAAGGGAGGAGGGAATGTGTTGCGGCGGCTATCTCTAGCTGCCAGCAGGCGGCGTGGTGTAGTGGCTTGCGGCCTTGCGCTGTGGAACCTATGATGAAGGTTCGAATCCTTTTTGGTGCAATTTTTTTTTGCCAAATTTTTTCTTGGAAAAAAAGATGGAGTTTTGAAGATATTGAAAAAAAAATCCCTTCAAATGTTGAAATTCACTATTTTATGTCGTTTTAAGCAAGATTTTTGACAAAACAAATTTTTTTTTTCATTGTTTTTTGTAGTCAGTGGACTCTTTCTTGGAAAAAGTTTAATGAATGAAAAGTTCAGAATTATACGCAATATGCAATGATAATATAGCTATATATTTTCCACCAAAATTTTTTGATGAAAATTCTTACTGTCTATTGAAGTCCTTTGAGCCTGAAAAAGATACAGGACGAAAAAATTTTTTGGTCGAAAATTTTCCTTAAAACGACATAAAATGGTGAATTTCAACATTTGAAGGGTTTTTTTTTCAATATCATAGGTTCCACAGCGCAAGGCCGCTAGCCACTACACCACGCCGCCTGCTGGCAGCTAGAATTAGCCGCCGCAACACATTCCCTCCTCCCTTCCAATGCATTTTTTGCGTGCAAACTTTGAGGCGCCATAACTCGACTAGAACCAAAAAGGCGCACTTTTTTTCAACTTCTTTGAATTCAGGATGTCCTAAAGTATCTATATACCAAGTTTCATTAAATTCCAATACCTCGACCTTTTGCACTTCCCGTTTAAGGGGTGCCCTGTTCCATATTGGGTGGTAAAATGTTTCAATTTTGCCCGATTTTCTCAAATTTGGTTGGAAATAAAGGTATCAATCTTGAAAGGAGCTCATTATTATTGCTCGAAACGGATCGGACGTTTTTTAAGGGTACCCTGTTCCATATCGGGTGGTAAAATGTTTCAACTTTTCAAAATAATTTTGTGTCTATACACGTCAAACTCAAAAAAGAAGCACTTATACAAAAAAGAAAAAATTGCAAAAATACTTTGCCTGCGCGGGGGCCGAACCCATGACCTTATTTTTACCATTCCGAGGTCTTCCCCGCTGCTCCTCGCTGCAGTTGCTGCTGCGGGATCACAACACCACACCCCTGCGCGCATCCCCTTACGTATGGCGGAGCTTTGAAAAATCATATCTATTCTTAAAATTTTTTTGGGATAAAGGTGAGCTGTTTTATGTTATCAGAAGAACGAGATCTTTACATGCTCTAAGAATGAGCTCAATTGGAGACAATGAAATTTTAGACTTTTGTGGGGCCATAACTTTGCTCACAGATTTTCTCGGCAGTTTTTGAGACCAGAATCGGACTCAGCGTGAAAAACTACTTCTAGTAAACTTGGTCTCATTCGGGGTCCCCCTGCGACCGAAGACTTTTACACGAACGATCAATCCGAAAAATTCAATAAGATAATATTCTTTTTCTTCTTCTCAAGCCTCTGTTGTACCGTTCGAGCGGCCCTAAGTCAGTGAGACGAAAATAAGTGGACAGGTTCTAGTGCCTTATCCTGATTTTTACGGTGTGGTTTCAAACTCTACCAACATTCTCGGACACATTGGTTCGGGGATCGAACTTGTGACCCTGTGGTAGGGACCGCAGACGATTATTCAAAAAAAAAAAAAAAATTTCGATTCGAAACTCAGAATCGTTTAGTTTTTTTCAAAAAAAGATTGAGGATGAAAAAAAGTTAATTTTATTCTCTAGTTTCAAGAGCATTTTTGCGTATTAAACAGCTTTTTCAAACACAGATTGTGTGGAGAAAAATTTAAGTAAGCCCAAGATCTAAACTTTGAAAAAACAAAAATTCGATTATATTCGCTTATTAACGATATTTTGAATTATGGCTTTCGACACTCCATAAAATTTTTGGCAAAGACGAATTTTTCATTTTATTGTTTTAAAATTACCGTTACTTGAATCAAAATCATTATTTAAAAAAAGAAAGAGTGCGTTCGACCTGAAAACACATGAAAAAGCAAAAAACGACAAAATTTTTTAGTTCCATTCACGTTTTTGTACGACATTCCGCGCGAACGCATCAAAAAAGCGTGAAATATTTTTTTCACGAAAGAGGAAGCTTTTCTGTACTTGTGTGTCAAATTTTATTAGCCAGTTCCACATATTTTGCAACTACAGCAAAATGAAAGTTGAAAACCAATAAAAAGCCACTTTTTTATCCCGAAAAGGGGCGTGGCTTTGCGGTTTCTACCCTGTGGACCGTAGACAGGCACACAACCTGTTGCGCCACGGCGAGCCGCAGAAGAAATGAGAGCAATAATGAAAAAAGAAAAACCAAAAAAAAAAAATGAATAGAGAAGAACGTGTACGTATATAAGCCAATGACTGTAAGACGGGTGGTATTTCTCTACTTTGATGATCAAAATCCGTCTGCTGCTCTTCGGAGCCATTCTATTCGCGTCTGCTATGGCCCGCCCCGAAGTCGACTTCGACAAGTTTAAAGATATCAACGAGAAGGTGTTGCAAACTCTGGATAGAGGATCCTGCGGCGAGAAGGCTGAGTGAGTTGAAGGTTTCATGTGTCATGTTCAAAAAAAAGAAATCAAGGGATGTTGAAGACCTAGGGAATTCCAGAGTGGTCCCTATAGGGGTTTAGGGTCTGACCCCTTTGCCCCTAAGTGGTATCTATAGTGGTCTTTCAACTTGATTAATTATGTATTTAATTTTTGGAATTGCTTCTTCTCATAGTGTACATAAACTTCATCGATTAGCATGTCCCATATAGGGCTCACTAATTAAAAACCCTACAGGGGCCACTTTTGCACGCTTTAGTGGCCTCTATAGGGGTTAGTCAAGTGGTACCTAGATGGAACCCTCTTGGAAAAGAGGAAGGGTCTTTTTTTCAATAAAATAAAAAGGTGAAAATTCAAATTTCCAGAAAAGGAGGGATAGCCATCAGAAAGGGTCATTTACCTTGTAAAGGTGATAAATTTACCTTTATCTGGACCCAAAATGAAGCTTTTCACGTTCTTTGAAGGTCCTTGCAAGTTGAAAGCTTGTGGAAAAACAAAAATCATAACGAAAAGTTCTTTTGGTTCAAAAATGTGCACTTCAGAGTGGGCGATCATCTTTATGTCGATTATACCATTTACGACAGAGCGGGAAAGGAATTAAGAAGTGGAAAGGAATTAAGACCAAAGGATGTTGAAGAGGACGTAAGTGATGGGAAAGATTCGTGGGCGTTTTTTAAGCTTATAATTAATTAATCTTGTCTTTGAACAGCACGTCTTGTTTAAAAGGCATAGGGGCAGTAAAAAAAATGGGGTTTCAGGTGAAAACAGTATCTTATATAGTTTTTCTTTGCGAATCGAATGGTGTACTCAAAACAATTAAAGATATGACAACTTTAGAAGAAAAACGCGATTTTACTTTCCCGCCTTTATTTTTGAAAAAAGCTTTGGACCAGTATACGAACAATGTTTACAGTAGCCGTGCAGAAATAACCGGATGTCTGCTTCAAATTAAGGGTTTCTTTTCTGAAAAAAAACGTTCAGTCAAACAAAAAACACACACCGATAATAAAGGAAACACAAAATAACGCTATCCCAATCGAAACCGATGTAAAATCATCATTTTTCACCAAAGAAGCATTTTTGCGATCAAAGTTTGCAAATTATACAAGAAGAGAATGCTTTTGTGACGAAAAGAACTTTGGTGACAACAGAAAAAATTGAAAAATAAAAGAAACGAAGAAAAAAGCGAAAATCCGGAAGATGGGAAAGCCTGTTGTCCATAGAGCAACTTTACTGCAAAGTGCCCTTTTTGCGGGAACTCAAACTTTCCTCTCTCCGACTTTGAAATATTTTTTCTTCAAAACTAGGAAGTTCGGTACGTTTTCAAGTTGACCGTTCTATTCGCAATGAAAAAAACTCTACAAATCCACACGTTCTTAGGGAACTACAGAGCGGTCCCTATATGGGCAACCTTAAAGGCTCTTGGAGGATTCCCCTCTAAGGACCACTTTACCAACCCCTATAAGGACCATTAAAGCTTGCAAAGCGGTCCCTATAGGGAACATGCTAGTCGATAATTTTTATGAACTCTTGACGAAGAAGCATTTCCATGGGAAAAACTGAGCAAATAAGCGGTTTTTGAATAAAATTGAGGACCACCTTACCTTTGCCCCTATAGGGACCACTTTTTCGGCCCTTATTGAGGTTTTTTTTTCGGCAAACCCCTGAAGGGTCTACTCTCGAATTCCTGAGCTCCAAAAAAATAAATAAATAAACTCATTCAAAGAAAGAGACGCCATGGAATTTCCAAAAAAAGCACGATCAATTTTTCCGGAATTTTTTTATAAAAAAATTTTCAGGGACCTGTTGGCATATGTGTTGGCGGTTGGATAGTATTTGCTTTCCCGGGAGAAGGTTTTGAGCTTTTGAAATTTTTTTGAAAAAAAGGATTGATACGAATATAAAAAAATGGTTTACGGTCGGAAAAATCGTCTTTTTATCAACAAACGGAGCCCAAAAGGACCACTTAAGTGGAAAAAGTCGAGAGTGTTTGGCCTCAAAAACTGGGTCATCATGGGAAGGCAATCTTTTAATCAATAATAATTTTCCACTAAAAGGATCACTTATAAACCTTTATGATAAAAGGAGCCCCACAAGTGATCATTTTAGTGGAAAAAGTCGGAATTTTCGGCCTTGAAGGCGAAAAACAGCTTCGAACCATAGGTGCAGGGCTTATCCAAACATTTCATCGGAATAATTATTTTAAAAAGGATCCATAAATTTACTGGATCTTACCAAAATGTTGAAATTTCCAGACAAGGTCTATCTGTATGAAATCACGAGCATCGAAACGAAAGATGGCAAGAAAAAGAAGGGCAACGCTCATTCTTTCATTCTTTTTGCTTTTGCCGTCGCATTTTTCGCTTTTTATGACTCGTATCGATTTTTGGAATGAATCAATTTTGATGCATTATTTTTTTTGTCGTCTTGGAATCGTTATAGAGTTGCTTGAAAATTCGGTTCGAAAAAGTGAAAGAAAAAGAAATTTTCAATTTTGAAACACCTAAATTTAAGGGAATAGGGACAGTAAAAAACGACGTTTCAGTTCAAAGCAGTACTTTGTAGAGTTTTTCATTGCGAATCGAACGGTGAACTTGGAAACGTACAGAACTTCCTAATTTTGGAGAAAAAATAGTTCAAAGTCGGAGAAAGGAAAGCTTGAGTTCCCGCCAAAAAGGGGGTTTTGCAGTAAAGTTGCTCTATGGACAACACGCTTCGCCATTTTTCGGATTTTTGCTTTTTTCTCCGTTTCTTTCGATTTTCAATTTTTTCTGTTGTCCCCAAAGTTCTTTTCGTCACAAAAACTTTCTATTCATGTGTAGTTTGCAAACTTTGATCGAAAAAATGTTTTTCTGGTGAAAAATGATGATTTTACACAGGTTTCGATTGGGATTGCGATATTTTGTGTTTTCTTTATTATCGGTGTTTGTTTTTTGTTTGATTAAATGATTTTTCAGAGAAGAAACCCTTAATTTGAAGCAGATATCCGGTTATTTCTCACAAAATGCGAGATCGCGTGCATATCTACTGTAAGCAGTTCTGCGTACACCGATCCTGCCTTTTTGCGCCATTTTCTCAGCTCTTATGCACCATTTTTACTGCCTTTCCTTTTTTCCATCATTCCTCGAGCCTTTAAAATCCCAGAAAAATGGAAGGCTCGATAAAGGGACTCTTTTCGTTGCCTTTTTGCGCCCTTTTTGCCGCCTTTTTAGCCGCCATTATCCATTTTCTTCAAGGTGTATATCTTTCTCCCTTTTCAATCCAAAAAAAAACCAACAAAATTGAAATAATTTATCAAGATTGGATAACTCGTATGAAATGAAACGAAAAAATTGGAATGTAAAGAAAGAAGCGGAATGTTTGCGATATGATAATAATTCATCAAATGAAATGGTGGAAAAATTTCACCAAAATTAATATTTTGGCGGGTTTTCGAAAACCAACGGAATGATATGAAAACTCACAGAAATGATTGTTCCTGAATTATTAAAGGGAAAAGGCAATAAATGTGGAAATACCGTAGAATTTGGGTAACTTGGGACAAAAATGAATGGAAGTTATATCAGAAAAATGATTTGGATACTTCAAATTAATAAAAAAAAAACATTTCGCATCATAAAACTTGATTATGAAAATTCAGAAAAGTCCTAAAAATTTTCGATTTTCATGAAAGTACTCCATTCACCGTTAGCTTGTCACGAAAATAGGAATCTCTTCATTTCTCGCACTATTTCTCCAATCTTTTTCCACACCTATGAAAAATTTAGTATTTTTGCTCAAGCTAGCGGTGAACCATATAAAAGTCATTTTGAAACATTTTGGTCGCATTTGGAATGGCTCAAAGGCATTTTGCAGCTTTGAATAAGCCTCAAAGCGCAACTCGTTTCAAGTCCGGCGCACTTTGAGCTCTTCCAAGTTAGAAGAACAATTGATATGAGAAGCAACACAAGGGATCAATAAAAGCGGACAGAAACGGGAGAATCGGAAGTTTTGGCCAGGACGGCCTGTCGTCGGACGATCATCGCCGTGAGGACCACCGTCAAGGCGACGACGGTGACGAAAAGAAGCGGTCCGACGGCGAGCAGAAGACGTGGCATGCAGACGGTTGACGGCGTCGGGAAACCGCCGTCATGGGGGTCCAGGACCAGGAGTTCCGCCGTGGAGACGTCGACCTCGATCTCGTCGCCATGTCGGAGAACCGTAGATGAAGCTCCTCGTTTGGTTCTGGTCTCGGCGACTTCGGTGTCGTTGGAGAAGCTCGACTTCACCCGGTTGGCCCCGCAGCGTGGCGGCTGAAAACTTTCTCGTTGAAAAAAACAAACGATTCGTTACTTAATCCATTTTTAATGAAGAACACGATAAAGTTATTCGAAACCATGCCGCAACTGTTGAGAATTTTCTTGGAAACTTCAAATTGTACAAGAAGTCTAACTCTAAATGCCTACCAAAAATATATAGATTTCCTAAATTACATAAAAACCCAATCACTGCCAAAGTCGGAAGTGCGAAAAACGGTTGCAAAATGGCCGCTTAAAGGATTCTGTTTTGCGGCCTTTATTGAGTCTTTCTTACTTGGTGGGCTAAAAAGCCTCAAAAAGGCCGCAAAAAGGGTTCTGAAAGTCTCGGCCATTGATGATTGCCGTTTCTATTACTGTGGCACATTTTCGTACATACAGAGTAACTGGTAAAGATTTTAAGAAAAAATTTTGTGTTTCTCAAAAGGGTAAAAAAAGAGTGGATAAAGGCCGATGAGAGGACGGAAAAAGGCAGTAAAAACGAAACCTTTGCCACCCGTTTAGGAACAATTAATGGAGACAGACGGATCTGTAACGGACGCTCAAAGGGCCCGTGAAGGGTCCTTCCGACTTTGCCTATGTACATAGATCAAACAAAATCGAAGTTTAATCATAGACAAAGTCGGAAGGACCCTTCACGGGCCCTTTGAGCGTCCGTTACAGATCCGTCTGTTTCCATTAATTGTTCCTAAACGGGTGGCAACGATTTCCTTTTCACTGCCTTTTTGCCTCCTTTCATCGGCCTTCATCCACCCTTTTTGGACCCTTTTGAGAAATACAATTTTTTTTTAATTAGGAATAATTTTTACAAGGGACTGTGTATGAACCAAAATATGCAACAGTAATGAAATCGGAAATTATCAATAGAAGAGAATTTCAGAACCCTTTTGCACCTTCGCTCTTTCTTCACCTTTTTTGCGGCCTCTCCCTTTTTTAGTCCTTTTATGACCCTTTTCAGCCCACGTTTTATAACTAAAGCGCTAATAATAATGATATTGAATGGACAAAAGGTTACAACAAATAAAAAAAGGTCAGTTTGTACCCTAACGATTGCACTTTGACCCGATACCAGTACATAAAAAAATTACTTTTTCTTCGTGTCGGAACTATTTTTTTCAGTGGCTCAAGCCACCCGTCAGCTATATTGAAAATGATGATTTAAAAAGAATTTTCGGGTCAGATTTACAGAAATCAAAAGATACCATTTTTTTAAAAAAATTTAGTGAGGCCTGAATGATTTATTAATTATTTTGAAGCGTATTTCGATCCGAAAAAAATCCTCCTTAAAGCGATATTAATTAATTATTAATGATAATATTAATAACCATGATCAACCCCCCCTTCTCGTAGTTCAGATTCAAGCATAATGAATCCTAAAAAAAAAATCGTATTCAATCCAAAACCTCAGGTAGTATCGCGATACCCCTCGATTGGTTTCAGATCTCAAAAATCCCCAAATCGACGTTTCGAAACTCTTTTTTTTTCGAGAGCAGCTGTTATTAGGGTTCAAAAGAAGGGCACTGGATCTTGAAAATAGGCTAAGTAGGGAAGTCCAAAAAGAAAGGTTATAGCGAGCGACTGGTAATTGCGCGCGAGAGTTCGCCTCAATCGTCCGTGTCAAATTTCTACAAAAGGACGCGCGTCAATGACCAGTCAAAGTAAAGTACTTCTCATCCAAGGCCTACATGGTCAATCAAAATTTATGAGAAGAAGAGAAAAAAAAAGCAGCGCTTTTGTCTTAAAACAGCACATAGTACATTCACCGCTATTTACTCGAAAAATGTCCATAAGTCACTTTTTATCAATGGAGCAAACTCTAACCAACAAAAAAGGCTTTTTATTCTTCATCGAAATATAATTGACGCAAAGTGATCAAGTTTGTTAACAGGAACCTTGAGCCAAATTGATCGTTTCCAAAATAGGGACAATGAGCCATAGTTATCAATGGAGCACACTTTAACAAGTAAAAATGTTTTCTCGGTAGAGGATGTGTAAATTCACAAACAGCTATCCTTGAAAAGCCTCTAAATCATTTTTTTTTTCGTTTCGAAACGGCAGGGTGCCACTTAAGTGTATTTAAAAAAACGGTCAAAGTGCGTTTTTGGATCGATTTCAAAAATTATCGCATTAGTAAGCTGCTTTAGTGGAAATCACCTTAACCTAAGCCATGGAGGTTTATTTGAAAGAGAAAGTTCTACAGTTATCAATGGAGCACGCTCCAACCAACGAAAAAGGCTATTTTCCATTTTTATTCGTCTCTTTCTTCATTTTTCATTTTTCAACTTCTTGCAACTTTCTTATATGCATATAGAAGCTAGACATCGTGAGTATAAAACTTTGAAAACAAAAATTATATCAAGGCTCGAAAAAACAGTAATCAACCTTTAGTGACATTTTTTCTCAAAATCAAACCCTTTGAATCGAAGAACTCTAGTTCAAAGACTTTAATTTTTGAGACCCTAAAAGTGGAACGAAGGTCAATAGTTGACCAAATTTCTCGGCGGAAGGGCGCAACGATCCCGTGAGCAATTATATTACATGATCGACATTCGGAATGATTTTTTTTTTTGAGGTTCAACCGAGTACAAAATTTTGAACTTTGCGCGGCCTCACGAAGATTAGACATCGTAGGAATTTTTCTTGAAATATTTTTTTTTCACTTTAAAATCAAACTCAAAAATAAAAAAGGCGCCAACGACATGGAACTAGGTTAAGAACTCGAAGGAAAAAAAAGTAGTTTTGGTTTTTTGTACGACACTCCGCTAAAACGCTACGAAAATCGGGTGAAAAGTATATCAGATTGAAGAGGAAGGTTTTCTCTATGTTTCCACTAACTTTCTCTGTGTTTGGTTCAGTATTGCGCTTTTACGAAAACATCAAACACAAAGTCTAAAAAGTGCATTTCACCATTGCAAAAAGGGGCGTGGCTCTAGGTTTCTAGTTCAAAGCGCATGTCCAGGTATTCATAACAGGAAGCAAAATTTTTCATTTTTGCTCATTTTTCTCATAGAAAAAGGACTTTTAGATTCTGGAGTAGAAAAAAAGAAAAAGTCGCTGGAAATTTGGAAAAACAGTCTTTTCAATTTCTGCAATGATAACCAAGGCTAGGGAGTTCAATCAAACCGCGAAAAAGTCAAGATTTTCGAAAATTAGCGATGGGGCACATTTTCCCATCTGCAAGGCTATTTTTTCCAGTTATTTTCGCGATGGGGCACATTTTCCCTTCTGCGAGGCTATTTTTCCTTTTTTCGCGATGGGGCACATTTTTTCTTATGCGAGGCTATTTTTTCCACTTTTTTTTCGCGATGGGGCGCATTTTCCCTTCTGCGAGGCTATTTTTCCTTTTTTTCGCGATGGGGCACATTTTTTCTTATGCGAGGCTATTTTTTCCACTTTTTTTTCGCGATGGGGCGCATTTTCCCCTCTGCGAGGCTATTTTTTCCACGGCTACAATACCAAGCTTCACACGAATAATTGTAACTCATTTTGACGACGAAAATCACCTGAACTCATGTATGAATCAACTAACTATAAATCCTTAAAGCTACCAATTCTCCCCCCTGAAATCCTCACCGTAACATCCTGGCACATGCCCATCTGCTTTTGACAGAGTCTGATTTGACAAGTGAAGTAGAGCTGATTGGAGTCGGCGTATTTGAAGACCTTGATTTTTTGATTAATTTTTAAAGTTTCGAGAAAACTGTACCTGACTGGAGGCGTGTGCCCGCATCAAGGTACTGTCATAAATGAGCTCGCTGAGCAGGAATGGGTCCGTTGAGCAGCTGGAAAGTGTTTTTATTTCAAGGGATTACTAGAAAAAACATCACAAGTCTGAAGAGAGTTCAGAGAAAAAGAGATTCTCTGATTTCTCTGGCGTCTCTGGCGTCTCTTCAGCTTGCAGTTGATCTCTCGTTTTTATATTTTATGTTCAAAAAGCAAGGATTTTTCAAAAATCGGCTCGAGAAGACAGAAGTGAGAGACAATGACGCTCAGAAGAGACGATAGAGAAAAAGAGATTCTCTAACTTCTCTGGCGTCTCTTCAGCTCGCAGTTGATCCCTCGCTTTAACCAAATCATCAAATATTATCATGTCTCGTTTTTTTTTTCATGACGTTATTTTTCTTAGTAACATGAGCAATAATTTTCTAAAAATACTAAAAACTAGCTTTTTCCTGCTTCTAAACACTTTTGATCCTTATGTAAAAAAAAAGTCAATAAATTTTCAAAAATCCTCTTTGAAACCTGACAGAAAACAGCCTTCATTGCATTGTAAAAAATTTCAAACATAAAAAACCCCCAAAATCGACATTTTCTCCAACTTTGAACGGTCCTCCCACATAAAAAAAACCCAATTTTCAATGCCTAAAATGCAAATAAAATCGTACTTTTCAGTGATTATTCCGTCTGAATGGCTCTCTTCATTGTTATTCAGGGCTGAAAGATCGGAGAAAGATCGAGAAAAAAAGACATGCCATCCAATGAAAAATGATTACAAGGTTTGAGGCGACTCAAGGGCATTTCACAGGGAATTTCGACATCCGAAAAAAGTTTGATTCAATTCAAAGACTTTCATTTTTTTGACTTTTTTTGTTTGTGAGAAAAACATATTTAACGATGCGGATAGATGTGTACAAGAAAAATTACGATTTTTCCTGGATTTTTCAAAGTTTTCAAGCTTTTTGGGGGGGGATTCGAGAAAAATCTTTGTTGGAAATTTTTGAAATAATCAAAATCCTTGTACTACATAATGAAGAATGGTAAAGGATAGCCGCTAAAAGAAAGAGGCAGCAAAAAGGCTTCAAAAAGGCTGCAAAAAGGCCCCAAAACGGCCGCAGAAAGGCTGCAAAAAGGCAGCAAAAATGGTGCAAAACAGCTGATAAAAGGCTTCAAAATGGCTGCAAAAAGGCCCCAAAAAAGCCGCAGAAAGGCAGGAAAAAGGCAGCAAAAAAGACACCAAAAAGGCAGCGAAAAGGCTTCAAAAAGGCTGCAAAAAGGCTGCAAAAAGACAGCAAAAAGAGCCCCTTTACAAAGCCTTCCTTTTTTTTCTAGTATTTTAAAGGCTCAAGAAATGGTGGAAAAAGGAAAAGGCAGCAAAAATGGTGCATAATAGCCCATGAAATGGCCCAAAAAGGAAGCAAACAGGAACATTTCTATGAAGCTTTTTCCATATTTTCCGAACATGGAAGTTCTTTTCTGTCGTTTTGAAATGATTATTTTTCTACCACGAACCCATCGAAATCCACGACAGCGTGGTCTTCTCCATCGCCATCCGTGACGAAGCATTTCTTGACGAGCATTCCCATTTCAGCCGGCGTGCACTCCCAGACGTGGAAAACCTGGAAAATTTGCAAATTTTGAGTATAAAGTTGTACAAAAAAAAATTTTCTGAATGAAAATTGTACATCAAAATTTTGCGTCAGAGGAAAAATAAACTTCAAAAACCTGATTTATTTTTTTCTAAAGTTTAAAAAAGCTTCACATCTGTTTCATTAAAAAAACTTAAGTGTCCCGGAATTTTATTAAAAACAAGTTCGAGGATAGAGAAAAACTTGAGAAAAATTAAGAAATTTTTTTGAATTTCGATAGCTTTTTCTTAACGATATTAGAACGAAGAAGAGCTTCAAAATCAAAAAAAAATGTTTGAAGTTCGTTCCAACTACAGTAATCCCATACCGTAGTCTCAATGGTAGGTAAACTACAGTAAGCCCTGCGAGAGCTAGAAACATTATTTTCTTAACAAAAACTACACAAGGTCTTGAAAATTTTACATACGTTTTTGAGAGGCTCCGCCCCTTTTTAGGGTTACGGTAATAAAAATACCAAAAAAAATGTTTTTGAACGAAAGCCAGTTGAACACTTTTTGTGTAAAAACTTTTTTTAAATATTTTTTTTAACGAAAAAAATCATTTTCTTTTTTTTCCGCTCACCGTGTCCCCAACGTTGGCATAGGTGAGGGAAGGGCCGTTGGGACCATCTCTTCTGACGGAATATTCGCACCGAGGCATGGCCATACTATCAGCCAACTCTGTCGTCGCCAAGTTGCTGAAAAGTCAATATTATTTAAATTTCAAAGCTGTTTCTATTGAAGGCATAGGGGCAGTAATTGTTTCAGGTCAAAGCAGTACTGTATAGAGTTTTCCATTGCGAATCGAACGGTGAACTTGGAAACGTACAGAAGTTCCTAGTTTTCGAGAAAAAAATAATTCAAAGTCGGAGAAAGGAAAGTTTGAGTTCCCGCCAAAAAGGGGGTTTTGCAGTAAAGTTGCTCTATAGACAACAGGCTTCGCCATCTTCCGGATTTTTGCTTTTTTCTTCGTTTCTTTCGATTTTCAATTTTTTCTGTTGTCACCATAGTTTTTTTGTCACAGAAACTTTCTATTCATGTATAATTTGCAAACTTTAATCGCAAAAATGTTTTTCTGGTGAAAAATGATGATTTTACACAGGTTTCGATTGGGATAGCGGTATTTTGTGTTTTCTTTATTATCGGGGTGTGTTTTTTGTTTGACTAAATGTTTTTTCTGAGAAGAAACCCTTAATTTTAAGCAGATATCCGGTTATTCCTCACAAAATGCGAGTCTAATGAGGCGTCCGCAACATCGCGTGCACGGCTACTGTAATCAGTTGTCTGCATACCGATCCAAAGCATTTTTTCAAAATTAAAAACGGGAAAGTAAAATCGCGTTTTTCTTCAAAAGTAGTAACATCTGTAATTTTTTTGAGTACACCGTTCGATTCGCAAGGAAAAACTATATAAGATACTGCTTTCACCTGGAACCCCGTTTTTTACTGCCCCTATTCCTTTAAAAAAAACACGCGATTTATCTGTTTCATTTTTTAAACACATGCCGTGTTGAAAGTAATTCCGCGAAATTCAAAATATCCACCAGCGAGTGGAAAATAGAACTGAATTTCAGAAATTCAGATAAAACTTATAATTCCGCGAAAAATATTTTGAACGTGCGCGAGAGCGCCGAGGTGCATGCACACGACACACTACACTTTACGTAAAAAACATGGGCAGTTAAAAAAAAACGCCGTTCTGGTACGTCAAGAATAATTTTTGCCGATTTTCAAGAGAAGGTTCAGATTTTGAATGTCAAGTTGTCGCTCAAGCTCCGCCCATAATGGTGCAATAAACCAATCAGAGAGCGAGCCATCCACAGAGTGTTTTTGAATGACGTCATTGCACTTGACATTAAAAATATGAACAGACTATAAAACACCTTCCTCGGGGGTTATTCACTAGAAAAATCTAATTTTTTCACCAACCTAACATCGATGCTCTGGGTGACGATCTCATCAGGCTCCATATAGAAGCACTTGACATGGAAAGCTCGGTCGTTTTTCGTGATAAAACCGGCCGGATGGAACGAGACGATCACCGTCACCATGAAGTTGACGCCACGGGGGTTGGCCTGATATATTTCTTTTATAAATTAGATTAATATAAGCGTCAATTTTGCGTTAAAGTATGGTAAAAGAGTTTTAAAAATGTTTATATAATTAAGTCTGAAATGAATAAAAAAATTTAATCAGTTTTTTTTGTACTTTTTTTATCGATTTTTTTCCGCTATTTTTTTTCGAAGCTTTTACCGTTCTTAGGGTTTGCGAGTGGTCTCTATAGGGATTATTGGAGAAAAAACCACTGTAGGGGCCGAAAAAGTGGTCCCCATAGGGGTAAAATCAAAGTGAACCCTATAGGGGTTCAGGGTCTGACCCCTTCGTCTCTAAAGCTCAAGTGAACCCTATAGGGGTCTCTAAATTTCATTTAAAAACCTTATTTATTCAGTTTTTCCCATGGAAATGCTTCTTCGCTTTGTTAGAATTCATAGTTATTTTCGACCAGCATGTCCCCTATAGGGGGCACTTTTGCAAGCTTTCGTTGCCCCTATAGGGGTTGGTAAACTGGTCATAAGATTGCCCCCATAGGGACCACTCTAGAGCTCCTAAGTATCGATTTTACCCTGAAAATACCCTAACACGGGGAGTGCAAAAGGAGGTCTGTTGAGATTTTGATGAAACTTAGTATATAGGTACTTTAGGGCACCCTGATTCCAATAAAGTTGAAAAAAAGTGTGCCTTTTGCGTTCTAGTCGAGTTATGGCATCTCAAAGTTTGCACGCGAAAAATGACTTGGATAGGAGGAGGGAATATGTCGCGGCGTCTAACTTCCACTGAAAGCAGGTGGCGTGGTGTAGTGGCTAGCGGCCTGCGCTGTGGAATCTATGACGCAGGTTCGATCCCCCTTTGGTGAAATTTTTGCCCTGAGGTTTTTTTCGAAAAAAATAGACGAATTTTTTTGAAGATGAAACAAAAAAATACCATTCAAAGTAATGAAATTCACTATTTTTATATCATAGTTAATGTCAAATCTCAACTTTAAAGGCCAGTATCAAGCTTTTCCAATCGTTTCTTTTCAACTTAAAACCTTCCTCAGTATATTTTCGGCAATTCAAAGACTTTCTCAACAGACCGATCTCAACCGCTGCATGCCGCACTTGCCGAGGGGCAGCGAATAAGAATTCGTCCCATTATTGGCGTAGGACTGTCGACAGGACTTGTCCTTTGCTCGGCCTTTCACAAAAATATTCCCCTAAAAAGGAGAAATTCTTCGAAATTGAGTGGGAAATCCCGCCTGGAAGGGCTTTGACGTGACAATGTCCAGCGCAAGGTCATTCTCAGCGCAAATCACTTTCGGCACACCTGGAATTATTTTTTTATAGACCATTTGTATGTTCTTGCTGTTGAAAAAACGGATTTTTCTAGCTAAAAAATATTTTAAAAAAATGATCAAATTTAACAAAAATTGAAAGATCCCTATAGGGACTACTTGATCTTCATGGGCACCTATAGGGACCACTTTTTCGGCCTCTTTAGGTGCTTTTTTTCCCGCTAATCCCTGTAGGGACCACTCAAGTTTTCTATATTTTTAATAAAAGCCCATGAAAAAAACGGAAAAATTGTCAGTGAGAAAAAAATCGGTGGTATGAAAAAAACACCAGCGAAAATTCAAACGGCGACTTTTCCGATTTTTTCATATCGCTAGGGAACTTTCCGACGGCCACCTTTCCGACGAAACTTTTTCCGACTTTTTTTCTCGATAAAAATCTTCGTTTTAAATCTTCTTATATAAAGTAGGTAGTTGGTTCATGATTTAAACACAAAGAAATAGGAAAAAAAAATATTAATAGATGTTCTATAAACCGAAAAACATAAGGGAATAAAGTCGGAAAGAGATTCGTCGGAAAGGTGGCCGTCGGAAAGTTCCCTAGCGATATGAAAAAATCGGAAAAGTCGTCGTTTGAATTTTCGCACGTATTTTTTTCATACCACCAAAAAATCGTTTTTGTTGAATTTTGAAAAAAATTATGTTTTCTGTCATTTATCACTATTTCTTCTTCAAAAGCCACCCACCAACAATGGAATTATCAATGTAGTTGATGGGTTTCGGAGGAACGTCTTGCCCAAAAACAACAGCTGACAGAAAAACGACGGCGATCGCCAACCTATCCATCATTTTTCAATGCTGGTAGGGCCTGAAATATCGCGCTGTTCATTCTTTTTTTTTTAGATTCAAACATGAAAAAAGAAATTGGGTTCGAACTCGAGCAAAAGGGCTGCAGAAAGGCCGCAGAAAAGCCGCAGAAAGGCTGCAAAAAGGCAGCAAAAAGGCAGCAAAAGGGCTGCAAAAAGGTAGCAAAAAGGGAGCAAAAAGGCTGCAAAAAGGCCGAAAAAAAACCGCAGAAAGGCAGCAAAAAGGCAGCAAAAAAGCTGCAGAAAGGACGCAAAATGGTTGCAAAAAGGGAGCAAAAAGGCTGCAAAAAGGCCGAAAAAAAACCGCAGAAAGGCAGCAAAAAGGGTCCCTTTAACGAGCCTTCCATTTTTTCTACAATTTGAAAGGCTCAAGAAATGGTGGAAGAAGGGAAGGGCAGCAAAAATCGTGCAAAATTGCCGTAAAAATGGCGCAAAAAGGCAGCAAAATGGGAACCTTTTTCGACCCTTTCCGATTTTGCCTTCGGTACTAACAAACGTTAGCAAATGAAACAAAAAGTTTAAAATCATAAAAAAAAAAATCAAAACGAAAGCCTCCTGAAAGGTTCTCTCAAAAAAAAACCTTATAATTGTCCCAAAAATGTCTTTTTTGCCTCTTTTTCACTTCCTTCCATGAAAAAATGCTAGAAAAAAACTAAAAAAAGGCTCCAGGGGGTTCAAAAAGGATGAGGCTATCAAAAGAAGCTAAAAATACGTTTTTCAATATTTCTAAGAACTTATATCTTCTTCTGAGAGTCCCCAGAAGAAAATTTCCGTTTTGCCTATGTTATCTTTTTTGAAGAATATACGCAATCAGTCATTTATTGAAACTCAATAAAAACCAATATTTAAATATACGGTTTTTTTGAAGCAGTAAACTGCTCAGTTAAGCTGTGATAAAAATCGAAAAAAAAAATAGGTAGAAAAGTTATAAAACACATTTGTTTGGAAAGAATTATTAGCAACGTCTAAAATATAGTTTAAAAGATAGAAAAGAGCTCGCGGAAAATTTTTAAACGATTCAAAAAGATATTTTTCGAGATACATTTGCAGAGGAGTTTATTAAATTAACAAATTTGCGATAAAAGCTCCAAAATACCTGAATGACTAAATTCCAAGGTACGAGAAGCTCCAAAACGAACTGAAGACCTTCTAGAGACTTCCGTGGACTCAAAAAGTCTCAAAAATCGACAAAAGACCTTCAGAAGGCCTTAGGAAGCCTTGGGAACTAAAAAAAAACCCTTCAGTAGACCTTAGGAAGCCTTAATAACGCTCTAAAATGAACCAAAGCCTTTCAAAAAGCTGAGAAACTTCGAGAAAAAGGTTTCAAGTGGAAAATATCTCTCTGTCTTGAAGAGATCTTCTTGAACTAAAAGGGCTATCCGGGATCCAAAAATTCTTCAAGGTTCCAGAGAGCCTAGTGGACTTTGTTAAAGAAATAAAGCACGCGAGGCTTTAAAATAAACTGAAGAGCTTCCAGAGGCTTCAGCGCATTTAAAAAAAGCTGAAAAAAGGCCTGAAGGACTTAGTTTCATGAGATGAGTCTCCAGGAAGCTTTCGAATGAACTAAAGAGCTTCTAGAAACTTCAGAAAGTCTCAATAAATCTGCAATCGACCTTCAGAAGACCTAGAACACTTAGTTTCATAAGATGAGCCATAAGGAAGCTCCAAAATGAACTGAAAAGCTTCGGAAGGGGCGGAATACTCGGGAAAAGGGATTTCTCGAAATAGAAGAGCTCCTAGAGACTTCATTGTAACTTTTGAAGTGTCAATGAATCTACAAGGGACCTTCAAAAGGTCCCAGAGACTAGGCTTCATGAGATGAACCATTAGAAAGCTTCAAAATGAACTGAAGCGCTTCTGAAACCAGAAGAGTCCAACTCGAAAAAAATTGGAAAATGGAGATCTAGAAGAGCTTTTGGAGGCTTCAGATGAATCTAGGAAACACCTTTAGAGAACTAGAAGAGCTTCTGAAGCCTTCAGAGAGCTTCTAGAGAACTTAGATTCCTGAATCGAGCCATGAGGAAGCTTCAAAATGAACTGAAGTGCTCCAGAAGAGGAGAAGACGTTCCAAGACACGTCCGAGTGCGGAATATGCCCCTGGCTCGGAGAAGATCATGGGCGGAGGCCTGAAGGCGTCGTTCGCTGGTTAATTGCCGACTCCGCCCATTTCCCCCCGATCTCGACGTCCTTATTAAAGGATCATGGTTCAGCAAGGGCATTAGCCTTCTAGGACGACCGATGTTGCTAAAAGTTCCTCAGTGGTTCTCGAATTTTTTTTTTGAAGATTCGGGTGAAGGCCGGCACTCGGTGATACACTGCGGAACGGCACGAGAAACGCAAAAAAGACCGTTTTCCAGCATTTTTTCTTCTTATTCTCTATGGTCGAGCCTCCATGTTTGCGTTTAAAGACCAAGGATTGATGGGTATTCCTCGGAAATGAATACAGTTCCGTTGAATGGACTACAAAGGGCAACCTACTAAAGTTTTTTCAAAGATTTTAGAAAAGTGCGAAAAGATGTTCGAAATGAAGTTTTAGGGTACTTTTTCAAGCTTCCTGTTTGTTCGATCTCCTGAGTGGCCACTATAGAGGCTCGCCAAGGGCTACTTGGAGGGGACACTAAAGTGGCCATTGAACCAACCTCTACAGTAGCCACTGTTTTCCGTTTTAGTGGCCACTTCAGTAGTTTTTCATCTAGTATTCCTTCCAGTAACTCTGAAAATTTTAAAACAAACAGATTGGACCAGTTATGTTGATCCATTGACCCCTTAAGTGGCCACTAAGTGGTCTAGTAGTAGCACTTAGACCTCTATAGAGGCCACCAACTTTTAACCCCTTAAGTGGCCACTAATTTGACTACCATAGAGGTCACTGAAACGTCAAAACCCTATAGTGGCCACTAAAAATTTACCCAGTGTTTTTCATTTTTATTTTAGTGAACATATTCTTAGGAACCCTCTAAAGTTGTCCCTATAGGGGCAACCTTAGAGGTTCTTGGACTCTATAGTGACCACTTTACTAACCATTATAGGGGGAATAAAGCTTGCAAAAAGTGATTCCTATAGGGGCATGCTAGTCGATAGTTGTCATGAACTCTAAGAAAAGGGAAAAAAAATGAATGAATAAGCGCTTTTTGAATGAAATTTGGAGACCACTCAAGGGTCCACTTGAGCTTTTGAGCCTGAGAGGCCTATAAGGACCACTTTTTTGACCCCTGCAGGGGTCATTCTCCTCCCTAACCCCTATAGGGGACCACTTTGGAACTCCTAAGTTCTTAGAGAGTTTTATGAAGACTCTAAATTTGAATATACATTTTCGAAAAAAATCAGGAATTATGCACTGAGAAGTAAATTTAGAGAAAAAAAGAAAAAAATAAAACGTAAACATTTTGCTGAGATTTTTGAAGGCAAAACTTGAACTGAAAAGTATTTTCTGAACCTCCTTCAAGTTTAAAAAAAGCTTGCTGGGGATTCAAAAAGGTTGTGAGGAATGATTTTTTTGTAAATTTATTACATTTTTTTCTTATTTTTTTCTTCAAAATTTCTTATTGAAAAAAACAGAAAAATACTGTTTTTCTGAAGCTATAAAGTATCTTTGAAGGCTTCTTTTTCGCAATTTATATCATTTTAGTAAAGTTCTAACACTTCTTTCGAACCAAAATCGACGAATAATCAAAATTTTAAACTTCTAATTTACTCACAGAGGAAGAAAATGTATTTTAATGCCTTAAACTATTCAAAATACTTCAACCTTCCAAAATCCGACACTTTTCCCTGTCCCCCCAATAATTTTCTGATTTTCCCCGCGACTACCCATCAAGAGCTTCAATTATGAGGAAAAACCGCAAAAGATGATGTTGAAATGAGGCGGAACATCAAGGTTAAAGCAATCCCGGGGGCCAAGAACGAATTCTGACGCGTTTTGGCGCCGGAAGATTTCCGCATAGACAAAGTCGGAAAGGGGGGAAAAGGCTACATAGAAATTTTTCTAACTAGGGAATGGTCTCCATTCGCAGTGGGACTTCTAAAGGAGACCACTAGATGTAGTTTTTCACGCTTATCCCAAATCTGGTCTCAAAAACTGCCCTCGAGGCTTGTGAAAAAAGTTATGGACCCTCAAAAGTCGAAAATTTGAGTGTCTCCGATTGAGCTCATTTTTGGAGGCTATACAGCCCTTGTTCCCCCGGACACGGAAAACCAATTGATTTTTTTCGAAAAGGTTCTGGAGCTCAGATATGGTTTTTGAAAGCTCGGCGCGTGATAAGAGCTTGCGAGCGCGGTGTCCTATGGCTATCCGGCGGCCGTCATACCAACGGCAGCGAGGAGCAGTGGTAAGGCGGCGGGCTGGGAATCACGAGGTCAGAGGTTCGTTCCCCAAGCTGTGCAAACTTTTTTTGCAGTTTTTCTTTTTTGGATATTCTTGTATAATTGCTCCTTTTCCGACTCTGGGAGCGCGAAAACATGAAAATACTCTGTTTTGAGCCTATTCAAACACCTGGAATCTTTTTCGTAAAAAATTTTTTTCCATGAATTTTTTTGTTTTTGATGTGGGGGTGGAGAAAGAAAAAGTTTTCAAAATTTATTTTTGTTATTTTACTGCCTTGGTAAGCAAAGATACATTTCCATGGGGAAAACTGAACAAAAAAGAGCGGTTTTTGAATGAGAAAAGTTCCTTTTTTGCTACCTTTTTGCGCCATTCTATCGGCTGTTATGCACCAATTTTGCTGCCTTTCTTATTTTCCACCATTTCTTGCTCCTTTAAAATCCAAGAAAAAATGGAAGGCTCGATGAAGGGACTCTTTTTGAAGCCTTTTTGAGGCCTTTTTACTGCCTTTTTGCAGCCTTTTTGCTGCCTTTTTTGCTACCTTTTTGCAGCCTTTTTCGAGCCTCTCCCTTTTAATGGCCATCATCCACCGTTCCGACTTTGCCCGAGTGACAGGCGAAACAAAAAAAATAGTTTTCTTTTTTCGAATTTTCCGGCTTTGT